TATATATAAAAATCAATTTATAATCATTTATTTCATATAGTATATACTATCCTTCTGCAATGACTTTGTATGATATAGTTAGAATAACTATATGATTGAAATTTGTCTATATTTGTCATTAAACAACATAGATAGTTATTAATGAATGAGAGTTACAGTTTATTACACACATTAAAGTAATTGAACCACATTATTTGTATGCATTAGAAAAAAAATTAATGATATAGAAAATAAATTGCTTTAGCAAACACATTAAATATTCAAAATTGTTGCATCTGTTATATATTTTTATGAAATCCTTCTATAGTTTTCGATAAAATATATTAAACATATTAAGTCGAAATAATGCGGCAACTCTTGTTCTCTATTAGCCACGGTTTAAGGTCAATGCGTGCGTATCGTATTTTACTTAATTACGATTGATAAACAAATATAATCGAATTTTCCTATGTTAATTTCTATATTCTTAATAATCAATAAATTCCCATTATTTAACAAATATCAGTATATTATAATGTTAATCTATACTATAAAGATACGATTGTAAACTGTATCTATATACTATCACGTCTTCGTTCATAATAACTTTACTATATATTATTTGTTTTTCTTTATTTTCGGTGATTTAATTATAGAATAATAATTTGATTTAACGAGTTTCAAGTTTGAATCTAATTGAGGGCATACTAAATATTTTTTTTTTAAGAAATCATATTCGAAGGATTTTTATAATAGTTGATTTGAGAAAGATAAACAAATTATTTCTAGAAAATTTTCATTTATGATAGTCATCTGGAAAAATGAAAAAGTGGACGATATCATTTTATGTATGTTGTATATTCAAAATGAAAAAGTATTTACCATAGAATCTTTAAAATTGTATTACGAGTATATAATGACATATAATAGACCTCGATTTTCATGGGCATATATCTTTGTCGGTGTATATAGAGAAAAAGAATGATATTAAGTACGTAAATGAAACATTTTTACTCACACATGACCGATTTTTATTTATCATTTCATTCATATTTGATTGTCTTTAGACATATACTCTTCTATATTGATGTCTCGTGATAGTTTTGTCCTTCTAAAATAATGTTCTATTATAATTTTCATAACTTAAACTTGATATTATATCTAAATTATTCGTATTATACTAAACAATAGCCATCTATTCTACAATGAGAAGAACAGTTTCGTATCAATTTGAATCTTAAACACGAAATATATGTTTATCGAAAAGAAAAATGAGAACAAAAAAATTAACATAATGAATAGGATAAAGTATCAAATACATTTTATTCTAAAAATATTTTGCAACTCTTTTCACATGTCTATTTTGAACTTGAAGAATCAAATATCATAATTGAGTATTTAATTTCATGTGTTCATGTGATTAATAATATATATCTTAACTTCCAGGAAAGTAGAAATTACCTTAAGAAAAGTTGTGATCACTGATTACTTTCGTCATTCTTATCAGTATTCTATCGAAAATAAATGTTACTGTATATAGTTATGAGATAATCATTACTCTATGAAATAGATTTTTTTTTTCAGTACTAATCTAATTATAAAAGTAGGAGACGATGATAAAACATACTGGAAGAGTGTTATATGAATTTTTCTTAATTAAATCTGATAGGTACGTTAGAGAAACGGTGTATATAGTTGATAGTAGTACGACAACATCAGATTGTACTCGAAATTATATATGGTGTCAACGTTCATCTCTTTGAAATCTGCAAAACAACAACAAATTGATGATTCATTTTATGAATCTAATTTAATATGACATTTTATATTATAGTTTGTAGTTAGTTTCATGTATTCAACCGACATTTCTCATTTCTATTCATCATAGTACTACTTCTAAAAGAAGTAATATCCTATAAAACGCTGAAATGATTCTTTTTTGTGTCTCAAATGATGTCGAGTCTATAGTAAATTATTCAAATTTTAAGGATAAGTATATTTGTTTGACATTTAATTTAAAGACACAGCATCTTCTACTCTAATTACTTTCATTTTAAATTCATACTGAGACTAGTATGATTTCTGACTATCCTGTAGTTTTATTTTTTTACTATTATAAAAAAATTGATAATAAAAATTCTATATTCTCAGTTGTTTGTACTTTTATTAAATTCTATTATCGAATATAATTCATTTTTTTCTTTGTAAGAAAAATTTTTATTTAGAAAACTATTTGAATATATTTATGTTCTATTTATTAATATGGGAGTTAACTTTTAAGTTATCAAGATAATCTAATATTTATATACTGTTCTCCTTTTTCTTTCTATTTTTTTTTCTTGCTTTTCTGATCTGCTCTATTACGAGATAATTATTTTCCGCATCATTTTTATGATAAAAAAAAAGCACATTGAGAGAAATGAATACACTACTAGACAGGAAGAGAGAACGACTCATTTCACACTCCATCCAGCATACTCGGACTATATTACAAACATTATTCGGTCTTAAGCTCTTCGCGTTTTGTTTTATATGTGTTTGCGTGTACGCTCAGATATCTCTTCACTTAGTGTCTATCTGTCGATAGAAAAATCTCTAAAAACAAAATCTACATATTCATCAGAATGTTTTATGTTTTTTCACCATTTTTTTTCTCTCTCTCTATATACTCGACCAACAGAAAAAAATCAAATGAGATGAAAAGAATATATCTAAGTGTTTTTGGCACAATAGAGTTAGTCTTTCAAAATTGATTTGAAATCTGATCGATATACATCGGACAACCGTTTCCTTCTTCCTCTTTTAACATTATCATTATCATCATCATCATTATAGTTATAATAATTACTATCAGGAAACTGAATGACATTTCTTTATTTAATAGTATCAAAAGAAATAAAACTCGACAGAAAAAAGAAAACTTATCATTGTTATTGAAAATCTTTCCGATCTACTTTTTACTTGTCTATTAGTATCAATTCCAAACATGAAAATGACTACACCTTGAAATAAAAAAGTACTTAGTAAAGTAGAATACTTTTTTTTTGTGCAAAAAAAGAACATTTCAATATATTAAAAGTATATAGTTGCATGTTAATGAGAAAAAAAAATCAATTGTATAGAAAACTTGATTTAGACAAGGTGAGTTTATACACGCTATCATTTTCAGTAAGATGAATAGAAAAATATTTCTTTTTCATTATTTATTTGACTAAATGTCAGTTCAATAACAATTTTTATTTTTGTTTCTCATTAGTATATATAAATGAATGCATATCAAATTTAGTTGACTTAGGTTAACATACTATTATTTACATCATACACATTTATGCACGATTTTATCGGAGATTAATGTCAATAAATCATCAATATTCTCTCTATTAACACGACATTTTCTGGTCATTATATATCATCATTTCTTTTTTATATTCGATAAAAAAAAGTTTTAAATGACAGAAATAGTTAAGATTAATTAATCAAATTGATAATTAAAGACATCGATAATTTAATCTTAGGGCATATAACAAAAACAAAGTAAGTTATCATTTTATCATTCAACTATAATATGATTGTTGACCGATCAATAGAAAACTATACAAATCCCTCAAGTGTTCATTTGATTGAAGACAAGTTCTCTTCTATTCGTTAGTATACTATTGTCTTCTATGCATATGTAGATGCCCGAAAGCTACCAAGATGATTTTTGGTAATAAGAAATAAGAGAAAAGAAAACAGAAAAGATCTTATAGAATTTATCCATACGTTATTTAGGAAGCGAAGAAATGACGAATGAGATGACACATAGTGTCGAATAAATGATGAAATATGATTATTGTGAAAAGACTATAGCGAAAAATAAGACAAACAGCCTCGAGTACGACTGAAAAGAAGAAGAGAAATAGAGAAAAATATTTCTGATATGAGAGAGAAACATCTTTAATAAGGGAGAAAACTGTAAGGATGAGTAGTGCTAGTGTATATTGTTCACACAATATATTTCTTTCCTTTTGTCTTCAATTTTTTGTATAATCATAAATTATTTACTGATGGCAATGGTAAGATTGACAGTATCATTCTAATGTCTGTAGATGTTTTAAAAAATGAAAGATTGATCATATAAGATACAGCATAAGCATTAAAACAACAGCTTGAAAGAGAAAAGAGCAGCCTTTTTCGGTCGATTAGTGTAGCCGCCATTCAAAAATTTCCTTTACTCATTTTTCGTTTCATATATATTACAGACATCCATATGTTACTCTTATCATTGATAGTGAATACTATGATCGATATAACATACAATGAGTACAAAAAGTTTTGTGAGTTTGTAATACTACGCTTTTGATTTTCTTCTTTTTCCTTTCCTAATTTAGAAAATGAATGTTAGGATATAAGAAGACAAAGCTTTTTTTTTATTGAATATGTTGAATAGAAGAAATAACATAGAGAACTTTGTTCATCTTTTGTTTTGTTAGTATGTTTTTATAAGAACCGGAATAACCTTATCTCGATTGAATTCTTTTATTATTAAGATAAATGTTTTTTTGAGAACATTATATTTTTTTCAATCTAACAATTAAATAGGTTTTTGGTGCATCAAGATTACATTTATTGTATATAGATGATAGATTTCTTATATATATATATATATATATATATATATATAATCAAATAAATGTCGTTAAATAACATAGATTAAACGGATGTCGAATACGTGTCTAATATAGAAACATAATAACATTAGGATGGTATCAATTGCTGAGGAGGTTGACGCACACGTAGAATCATATACATCCGGCCATATGCCTGTCACTCATATTTCTTTTTTGTTTTCCTTCAGGTTAAAATCTGGAAAACAATATTCGTGATTCATTATTATAATGATGAGTACAATTGATCAGATCTATTTCGATTATTTTATTAATGATAACTTCTTGAAAAACTTCTCCCAAATATTAATCATTCAATAAAACATGATCATAAACAATTATCATTAAATACAACAACTAAATTTCTACGAAAATATGTCAATATTAACAAATAATACTAATAGTAAAATTTATGAGAAAAACGAAAATAAAAATGAAGACGATAATGAAGATGAAGATGATGATGAAGACGATGATGATGAAACAAAAGAACTTGTTTCGATTAGAATAGAAGATAATCAAGAATCACAACAGCAACAAACATCCGTTACAACATTACGCTCTATATTACGCAAACGAACCGAAAAAAAGTTGTCAATAGATGATTATAGTAATGTTCAGCAAACTTCAATCATAGCAGACCAGAACGTCAATAACGATGACGAGAGAGATTCTGATTACACAGGAGACGAGAGCGAAGAAGAGAGTAATGGTAGCTCTAAAAGTATAGAAGAGGAAAGTAAAAACAATGAACAAAAGCAACAACACTATCAACATTGTAGCAATTATACTCGTCATCAGCAAAAGGATCAATTTTTTCGAACATCACCATCGACATCCCTCGACTTTCCATTAGAAATAACAAGAACAGAAACCGGAATAACAAAAATAGAAACAGTAACATCAACAGCAAAAACATTTAATGGAAACGATCAGTCTCCTAGTCGTACGACGTGCGTGACATTTACTAAGGACCAACCGATCATTATACGTCGAAGTTCATCTACATCCCAAATCATTGGACTTGAAGTTCAACCACGTTCATCAGTTACTTATATAAATATGAAAGACGATTTATCAATAACAATGCCAATAACAACAACAACTGGTTCATCATCTACACTAGGTGCTGAATTTCGTCCTGTCTATGTTTCACCATTAAAATATCGACCATTAGTTGGTTTATCAGCAAATGATAGTCGTTTTCTACTTGAAAAACGTGTTTCATTACTTGGAAAACCTCTTGTTTTTCATCCAATACATAAACGTTCACCCTCATATCGACGTAGACAATTACAAATACACAATTTTTTAGAACGACCGCATGGTTGTAAAGCCATAGTTTATCATTCATTTGTGTAAGTAATCTATTCTTTATTTACATATTTAATTTGATTAAGAAAACAAAAACGAAAATCAGATTTCGTTTTCTTCATTTTCAATTAAAGATTAATTGTTTTTATATATTCAAAATAGCTAATACAAAAGAAAAGAATGAAAATCAAAACTTCTAATATATATAGTACTCTAAAAATCATAAACATCAGTCATTATAGATTCGAGTTTGACAATAGATCTTTGTTGTGTTCCCTATAGTACTATTAAAAAATATGTCTGTAGAGTCTAATGAAATCCTATGAAGCAAAATTCGAGAGAAAAAAAAAGATATTAATCAATCCCAAGTGATCTTAATATTTTTATATGACAAAGAAAATAAATATGATGTACATACAATTATAAACATTAATTAAAAATAGTCTATCATCAATAAAATTATCAAACAAACAACAACATTTAAAAAAAACTCCCGAGAAATCATAAGCTTTTCTTATTTTTCTTTGTAATTTCCACAAATTGCGTGACTTCCATATGAATAGAAATGAGTATATATATGGAAAAATGATTAGTCGTTAACTCTTTCGTTTACATATGTTACACACAAGAGTACTTCGTTTAGTCAAAAATATATCCAAGCACGGATACTAAGTAATATTGTTGCTTGTTACTTTTCACACGCACTGTTAACATGAGAGAAAACAAATAGGAAGCGAAACATTATTATGATTATAAAAAACATGTTTTTATTAATACAAGGCTACTTGTTGATTAGTATACGCTTGTCTAAATAATAAGGAAATAGAATTTTTCAAATAGGTTTATATACGTTTTAAAGATCTTGTTACATGAAATGCAAATAAAAAAGTATAATAGGTTCATAGAAATTAGTCAAAAGATTTTGTTTAGAAAATTTTCCTCGTAATTCTTTTCAAAGAATAATTATATCCTGTCAATAGCTAATTCATATATATATATTCTGAAAAAAAAATTTTTATCTATTAAATTTTAAATAAAATTTTCAAAAGAAATTATTTTTGACAAAAAAAACTAAAGAATTATTCATAGATTTTCGTTTTCCCCGAAGTGTAATTGATCAAATAATTCTTCTGTGAATCAATATTCTTTAGGGAATAATTGAATAAATCAAAAAAAGAAAATATAGATTTGGATTTCATTAATTGCAACTATTGTTTATCATATAGATTTTCATCTAGTATACTAATTAATTCTTTTGCTCTAAAATGAATGAAGTTAACAAAAGAAAACCAATGTATAATTAGAATTAATTTTTATCTGTATAAATAAATAACGAAGAAACAAAAAAAAAGAAATTAAAGGTAATCTGTTTTAAAAGCAAATTGTTTACGGAAATTTTCCGGATATTAAACATAACATATCATGTTAAATAAGAAAGATATATTTTAATAGAAGAATATAAATTAATATTGACATTAGAAAAAAGATTTTAATTGATTTAACCTTGTCATTTTATATATAAGAATTATAAATATAAAATAAAAAAACTAAATTTTAAAGTTTGTTTTTTGAAATAGGTTTCTTTCCGTTTTTCTATGTTTATTTCTTTCTGTGGTTGTTACAATGCCCAATTATGAATCGATAGCATCAACTGTGTTATTACAATCTGTAAATATATATATTAAATTGAAGAATATGTTGTCTTAATTATATTTAATAAATTTTATTTTAAAGGAAATTTTAGTCGTTATATGGCTTGGAATAGAATTATCATTACGTGTATGGAGTGCAGGTTGCCGTTCACGTTATCAAACATTGATGGGTCGTTTACGTTTTATGAAAAAACCTTTTTGTGCTCTTGGTTTGTATTTTGTGAAATAATAAAACTGAAAAAATAGAACAATTGATTTCATATAGATTTTACTGTGATTGTGGCTACTGTTCTAACACTTTTTCTTAATAGTCGAACTGGGAATGGAGTTTTTGCTGCTTCAGCTTTACGTGGTTTACGTTTTTTTCAAATTTTACGAATGTTAAGAATGGATCGTCGTGGTGGCACATGGAAATTATTAGGTTCTGTTGTTTATGCTCATAGACAAGTTTGTTTTTATCTATTGTTAATAAGAAAAATTTTAGAAATAATTATTTTATTATTTAAAGGAACTTATAACAACAATTTATATTGGCTTTTTAGTACTTATTTTTTCTTCATTTATTATGTTTCTTGTTGAAAAAGATAGTTATGTTGAACCAAGTAAAATAATTATTACCAATGAAACAACTATAATAACAGCAGATATGCTTGCAAATTTAATTGATACAGATCGGCATAAATTTGAAACATTTGCTGATGCACTATGGTGGGGAATTGTATGTAACAAAATATAATTTAGATTTTCGTTCATATATTTAATAAAATGTTTTTTATTTTTTGTAGATCACATTATGCACAGTAAGATATTGTTAATCTATTTAATAAATAGAAGAAGAGAAATATTCGATTTAGGTTGGATATGGTGATAAAGTACCATCATCATATGCGGGTAAATTTGTTGCTGCTATATGTTCTTTTATTGGTATTAGTTTTTTTGCATTACCTGCGGTAATTCTTTTTAAATTTTTTTGTTTGTATGTAAATGATTAATCTATTTTTTGTTGTATAAATCTAGGGTATACTTGGCTCAGGTTTTGCATTAAAAGTTCAACAACAACAACGTCAAAAACATTATAAACGACGAAAGATTCCAGCAGTTTTATTAATTCAAAATTTATGGCGTGTTTATGCAGCGGATGAAAAATCTTTATCGAAAGCTACTTGGAAAGTTCATGTACGTCCACCACGACGTCACGAACCTAAATCTTCTTCATCAACACAGTCAAATACGCATCCACCGTATGAGAGTTTATATATATGTATATTTATCTACATCGGTTTATTTTGTCTCATTCTAGTTCATCAAAAATGCGTAATAATCCATCATTTTTAAATCGAGTTAGTTTTCGTCGACGTCCAACAACAACAACACGAGAAACATCATTAACAGTACAAAATAATCTAAGACTTAGTAATAGTCTTAATATTAAACCTGCACCTAATTCAACCGTAGCTGCAATGCGTTCTTGTATGGATACATTATCTGAAACAGCTAATATGACACCACCTCCAACTATAACGGGACCACATGAAGGATCATCATCTGGTAAATTAGCTTTTTTCTTTTCTTAACAAATATATTTATATGTTTCTACTATATATACAAAATAGATAATGAAGAAGATCGTTTATATTATGCAAATGATGTTCAATCTTTAACAACAGCACATCGACATGCAATAAGATTTATACGAAAGATAAAATTTTTTGTATCAAGACGAAAATTTCGTGAAGCTTTACGTCCATATGATGTTACTGATGTTATTGAACAGTATTCAACAGGCAATGTTGATATGTTAGCCAGAATGAAATATCTTCAACTTAGGTAAGACTTTAAAAATGAAAAATATATATATTTATTATATTTGTTTTAGATTAGATAAAGTATTAGGTATATCAAAATCAGTTGATAGTTATGAATCAGGTCCAAGTTTAGCATCAAGAATATGCAAAATTGAAACACAAGTAAATTCTTTGTTTTTTTCTTAAAATATTTTCTAGAAAATGATCTGCTATCGTTCATATAAGATGTAAAACTAAGTAGTTTGTCTGACTAAAAGAAGGTTATCTAGTTATTTTCTGCACGAGTAAATATCTAATCAACAATTAGCATGTTGTATGAAACATGAATTTCTACTTGATATCCTCATATAGATCTTATATATTACTGAGAAATAAATCATTCATTAATTAATTCGAGAATAAAATTCTAAATTTTGTTTCTAGGTTGATAGTTTGAATTTAAAAGTGGATCAACTTTGTCAATTGGCTACTACTGTATTGGAACGTGGTGTTCAACAACAAGTATCAACTCCAGGACCGATTTTAGAGCCAATAATACCTATTATCAGAAATCGAATACGAACTGGTAATCGTTATCGTATTTATCGATGTCGACAACGACGAACTCATCCTCAAACTAGTACACCAATATCAATACCATCTGAACCATCACCACCATCAGTGGTAACACCTACGACACGTACTTTATCTGAAACAAATGTATTAGAATCATCAGTACCTCAATCATCGACACCAAGAAATTATTCACGTGAAAGTCTTATGAGTTTATATTGGCTCTTTCAAGATAATATAAATCCATCAAGCGATCCAAATGTCTAATATTTTTTTTCTTTTTCTTTTCTCTATGATAGCTGTATTTATTTATCTATATATACATTAGAAATTGTTCTATTTCGATAATATTTGTTGCTTCATGTGACCGGTGCCTTATATCTGGTTGTTATAATTCCTTTTTATGTTACTCACTGTTTTTTTCATCGCCGACAAAAATATAAAAAGAAGAAAAAAAAACGGTTCATTTTTCATTGAGATTTTGAGTTTCATTTATTGAAAATTTAAAAATAAGAGGATGACAAACAAAATCTAGTTTGTTTTAGAAAAAAGAAAATATATATATATACATATGTCTAGAAAACACCTAAGATTTGTTGAGATTTTGTTTTTTTACAATGACAATGTGAACAGGATTTTCTTTGTTGTTGAATTAAAATAATATGATCAATATGAATTTGATACCGATGATGAGAACGACGATGTTGACGTTGTTTCTTGTGTATTTTATTATGAACTGTCATATTTGGACGTGGTGATGATATAGGAACAGGAATTGTTTGTTCAATGATTGGTTCTTTAAAATGTGGATTTGGTGTTGAAGAACGTGGAAATATTTTATTAGTTGGAGTTTGAGGAGTACTCGTACCATTATAAACAGTATTAATCGATGAACGAAAACGTTTATAACCTTGTGATTGTGCCATTAGAATATTATCTAAATAGGAAAAAACAATACTAAACAAATGAATTAATATTCTTGTTTTTATATTTGCAGGACTTTTATTATCATTCGAGAAGTTAAATATAGAAAAATACTTAGTAATCTAGTAAATAACAAAAACTTATTCTTGTTTATTATATTAAGTCAGTTTTATATTTATAGATTCAAATCCGAATTGTCTAAGACTAATGAATAGACATAATAACATTATTTTCAGTAAATTTATATCAAATATAGAAATAATATAAAACCAACTTACTTTTCTATAATTTTTTATAATGAAAGAAGGCGTATCGAATAAATTGAGCGTATGATGATGATGTGTAGTGTCTCACTAAATATACAATTTAACTATCTAATTGAGATTGACACTTTTCTCTCTATATAACTCTTTTCTTCCTTCTCTCTTGTTCTCTCTTTATTTTCTCATGTCTCTATTCACGCTTCTCTTTCTTCCGTAAATTAATTATGCAATCAAATAAGCAAATGTCTATAATATGCGAAGTACCACGTGTCCGAGTGTTATAACATACATAAATTTAGAAAATTTATATATATAGTCGCCGGTGCTCGTCAAGTGTTCGGAATAGTTTGACGGAAGTCCCAGGCGATATAGTGAAATTGAAATGTGTCACTCTTGACCTAGAGAAAGTAGCATGAAAAAAATATATATAAAAATTTAAATGAGCAAATAAATATTAAGAATGCAGTTATGTATATGAAAAGATAACAATTAAAAAGAGCAACATTATTTCGTTGTTATGATGATGCAATCAGAAAAAGAGCAGCTGCAATAATGTCTCATTTATATAACAACTTATCAACAATAACATTGAACATATATGTAAGCGTATGTACATATGTATATTGGCGACAGCTTTTTTTCTTATGTATGCAGAATAAACGTAAAAGTGATGAAGCTGAGAGAAGGAATGATGATGAATGTCAAATAGTATCGGAAAGAAGAAGTCATAGTTTTGATGTACTTCATATTTTTTAAATAGGTGTGAATAACGTGTTCACTATGAGAGAAAAAAATAATATTATCGTTATAGAATTTAATTGAAAATCAAATGATTTATCAAACAAAAAATCAAATAATATTTATGTCTTGAAAAGAAAAAAGATTTAAATTAAGTGAGATTATCTTTTATCTTATATTCGTTCTTAATGTAGGATGAAATCAAATGTTTTCTTTTTCAATGTTTATAAAATTTGTTTTCTTGATAAATCAATCAAAAGACTTATTTTTGATTTGATATTCAAAATAGATCAAGATAAACTTTAATCAATAATATAACTATAGGTACCAAATAAGTATTACTTTATTTTTACTTTAATAGTTCAGTATTTTTTCAGAATAACTCTTTATTATGATGTAAAAACAAAATTTTATTATTTTTTTATAGAACTTAAAATCTTTTCTGTTGTATCAAGTCTCATAAATCAATAGATACAAAAATTGCTATATTTTTATTGATGAAAGAAAAGAATAAAATTGATTTGATTGTAACACTTTCATAAAAAAATTCAAATCATTAAAAAACGAAGAAAAGAAATTTTTGAGTATTTTTTTTTACTTCAAAAATATAATAAATAATTTCGCTTTTCTTTTAATGATATAAAACGATTGAATATAGTTTATAAATCAATAATTATTGATCACATGTATTCTATTATGTTTGCAAATATAAACGTAAAAATGAAAGAGAGAAAAAAAAAGAGAAATGTTCATTTCTTATATTCTTGATGAAAATTCTTTTATTCTTTTCTTATGTCTTTCTTGTCTACATTGTTTTTGGTATTCAACGGTAGACAACATCAACCGATTTTTTCTTTTTTCCTTCTTTTTCTCTTTCTATAGGCTATTGTTGCGTCCTTCCTTACATTAAACCATGCCACAGCATCCTTCGTTACCATGGTACATTGTTCTGTTATGCCACTCTTCACTCTTTTTCATTCGCCTTTAAGTAAAAATGAAATGAAAACGCACGGATCATTTTTCTTTTTTTTTTTTGCAACAGTGACGAATATGTTTTATTTTGTTTAGATTAAATTATCTATTTAGAAACTTTCCAAAAAAAAGAAATCTAACCATGACGCGTATGGCCTTTGATACCCGCACACAAAATGCATGGAAAGAATTAATTGAAAAAGAAGCAATGACTCGTGTCTCTTGGCATCGAACATTTAAACCAAATCCAAATGATGATGAATGGTTTAAACGTGGATTTTATACACAAGCCACTGATAAACCTATTGGACGCTCTTTACCATCAATTGTTTTTCCCCCACGACCTAAACCACGTTATGATCCAAATGATACATTGGAAGAATTAGCAAAAAAACTTGATTTAGAACATAATCCAAATGCATTAAAAGAAATGTATCCGGTTAATAAACAACATCATGATGTTCTATTTGATGGTTTTTCAAAAGAAGAAAAAGGCCGTTATAAATATTTAAATTTACGTAAAGTAATTCCACCTGAAAATAAATTTCAATATCCCGTATCAAATACAATGGAATATGGATGGAAATTAAGTGAAAGTGGACAACAATTCAAAGCACCAACACATGCTCGAGGAAAAATTGTTGAAGAATCATTTTATCGTCGTAATGGTGTTTTTTAAAACAAATTTTTTTCTCTTTATTTGATTAACTATTTTTTGAAATATATTTCTTTTTCTTCTCTAAATACTACTTTTATTCATTGTATATCAAAAAACGCTAACCGATTTATCATACTAAGATTTTGTAAACATATTTTTGTTCGTCATATTACGTCATAAGAAAGAAACATGTGAAATTAATTTCATTTCATAAATGTATTACATAATAAATCTCATAAAAAAAAATAAAGAAATACGAACGATGTACTGATTATTATTATATTTAACTAAATAATATATTACACAGTTGAAGAATAAATGTATTGAATATATACTATCTTAAACGAATTATCTGAATAATATTTACATAATGCATTCGATTAATTGCATGATCAACTAGAGTTTTCGTGTTGATAAATATGTACAAATGTTGTTTTTTTTTCGATATATTTTTTCTTTGCTTTATTCTGATTTTAAAAGACAAAACAATATCACCGAGTGTATGTAACATAATGAGAAAAGACTATGACACTCAAAGAAAAAAAGGAAAACATTTATCTATTGGAAAAGAAGAAGAAGAAGAAGCTATAATCGTTGTATAACTCTATTAGTTGTAGACATTTGATCTTGATCGGATGTATTGGGAAAAAATGAAGTTTTTGTAGTATGTGGTGATGATGTTGTAGTCAAATATTGTTGTACATAATCACGCATTGATAAAAATAAATTTTCATATTGCTCCTAAGAGAAAATTAGTTTTATTTTAATAAATTTGAAAAAAATTTACTTGATCAATAAATTGTGGTCGAATTGCACGAAGTAGACGAACAACTTTAAATGGATCAATGATTTGTTCAGTTTGCATTTTATCAATAGAATTACATAAAGCAGCAAAATATCCTGACCATGTTGCACCATTTCTTTAATTTTAAATTCATATTTTATTTTTCTAGAGCAAAATTTCAAACTTACAAACATTGCAAAATAACATTTTGTTCATTATAAGTACGCATTTCTTTTAAAAAACGTTTTACAATAAATAATAAATGTGAATTATCTTTCACTTGAAATTGACGTATTGTTCTTATTCGATCATTTGTCTAAAATAAAAATAGATAAGAAAAATAATGAATTTAAAAATACATACAAATACACTTTTGTTTACACATTTTAATTCAAAAACTCTTTCAATAAGTTGATCGTCTTCTTTTTGTGATGTAAGCATAATTTCAAATGGTCCAAAAAGTATTGCTTGGCCAGGATTTGTTGACCAATAATAAATAGTTTTCTTGAAAATATAAACAATTACATACACAATTAAATATTATATTGTAATATTACTTACCGAATCACGAGGTATAGATTCTAATAACATTATAATCGATACATTATGATCATAAACTAGACGCCAAAAATCAATGCATGTATGAGACAATGGATACTGTGTAACAATATAATTCGGAGTTTGACGATAAGACTAAAAAATAAATACATAGGTATATTAATGAAACTAAAAAGAATGATATATGTATATGTCATTGTTAGTTTAATTAATATATAATATGAGAATTATTTTCTCGTTCTGAATGTTACTAGAAAATATCCAAGGTAAACTTAGTCTGTTGATTTTTATTATTTACTATCTGTGTAGTTTTCAAAATTATAGAAGTGTCTTATCTATTCTATTTAAACTTGAAAATAGCGAAGAATGCGTTCGATACATAAAATATTATAGATTTATAACTATGTAAACATTTTAAAATAATAATAGAATTTTCTTTCAAGTTTTGTATGAAATATTTTAAAAGTTTTACAATCGAAATCGATTATTGAAAGTTTAGAAGTTTCACTTGATGAAAAAGAAGCTGTGCGAAACAAAAAGAAAATAATAAAAATTGAATGTAATGAATATATATATACACATATTCTCTTTTATTACCAAGGACATACTTATAAAGTATATAAAAACTATATTTCTATAACGAAATTCAATACAATGACTATTTATTTTCTTTATATTTTCAAGAACATTCAAAAAAATTTATTTAAAAAAATACTTACATTAACAAATACAGCATTGATATAATCAGTTGTTTTATCGACCTGTGTCATTAAATATGGTCGACTATTATCAGCTAAAAAGCAAATATATTTTTGAGATTTTATTTAAATAAAAATCATATATATATATTTACAAGCAAGAATAGTTTCAACACGATTTTTACTTATATTAGCTGGTTCGAGTGCTCCTCGATAAGAATATTCAATATTTGATTGTAATTGTTCTAAAAGCTATCAAAAAAAAAATAAACAGAATAAATAACTTTCTTATTTCTTTCTCTCTCTACTTTGTATTGATTTCTTGGATCCATATGAAATTTTTTCGTTGTCATATATTCGTCTAATGATATACTTATATCCATAGTTAAAATTCCTTCAATTAATGTTCGATATAGAAATACATATTGATCAATTGTTTGAATCATATATACTCGATTTTGTCTAAATTTTAAATAAAATATATTTCAATTTATTATTAAAACTAACTCTATACCTCATTCGATGGGTAAAGTCAAGTATATCAATAGTATCTTCATGTTCAGCTTGTTCTAATAAAGCATCTAAAGCAATAAATGTACCTGATCGACCAACACCCGCACTAATACAGAAAAGAAATCGTTTTTATTATAAACCAACAATATAAATCAAACCTGCAATGAACAAGTATTGGACTTAATGATTTATAATCAGCACGAAAACGTTGTCGAAAATCGAGCAATGGTGTAGATAAAGATAAACAACCATGATCTAAATTATTTCATTATTATATCAAATAAAAACATATGAATTTCTATACCTGGCCATGATAAAAAATGATACTGTTTAACTATTAATGGATCTGCGGACTAAAATAAATAGATTAATCATACACATATATAAGTCATGTTAAATGTTAAAGTATTATACAATCAAAATGAACTGTATTTATATAATAAGATAAGTAAATAAGTCTTTCGTTTCTTAAATCAAATAATACCTCTGATTGATTGATTATCATAAATTTACGTATTGTATAATCAGCATATTTTTCTTCATTATCAATACGAATTCTAAAATCATTCACACGTTTTTCACCTTCATCTGGCCAATATTGAATACATTTATGCTAAAGATCAAAAACAAGAAAATTTTGTACAACAAAATAAAAACTAATTTGTTATTTTTTTATTACTTTTCCATCTTCAAATAAACGTGTAACTATAACAATTGATTGAATACGTAATTGCCAAATCATACGAATAAAATCATGTAAGGTTGTTTCAGTAGGTGCTATATTACATCAATATTGATTTTATTTATATTTTATATTAATCCTCTTATCATCATCTGAAATCTATATCTTTTGTCGGATATATAATCGTTTTTTATATTTACTCAAAACCTATTTTTCTCTATCAACAATTACTAGATGTGTTCAATTAAAATATCAAATCAACCTTGGGTTAACGAAATCTATATTAGAGACAAGGATCAATTTAATGTCAAGGATATTCAATATAGATATAAATAAAAATGAAGTTCACGGATGTTTTTTTAATTAATAAAGAACTGTTTATATGTGAGTTTTTATATCACAATTAACGACATTGAGTGATATAATCAGTTTAATAACCTTCAATAAAGAACATATTTCTGTCTAATGTTATGTACTTGTATCATTAAAATGAGAATGTCTGAAGACGATAGATGATGATAAGAAGGCTAAGAAAAAAAGAAATGAACAAACCTTGAGCAGCTATATATAATTTGCTTGCACGATATCCATCTATATAAGATGCATTGATATAGTCACTTGATGGATCACTCGTTAAAGGTCTAAGTACAACTCGAGAATGATCATCTAAAATAATATTTATTTAGAAATTATGTAAATATTAAAAAAAGAAGATTCTCTGAATACAAACATGGTTCAATAGCATTGAAACGATTTTTTGATTTATTTTCAGGACGAAATGCTAATGTTTTAGGATGAAGTGATTCTGTAGGTAATCTCTAATAAATTTTAAGAAAAAAATGAACATTTAATTTGAATAATATGATTTTAAATTACTTCATATTCATCTCGGATACGTTGTTCAGGAAATGATTTTGAAATAAGCCATGATCGTAATTCATTTAGTTTTATTGGATTACTTAGAAGATGATGATTGCTATTACTAATAGGACTATCAGGAACTGTTCGATCTATTTGAGAGAGAAAAAAATCACGAAACTTTTAATTATTATAAGTCAACTTGACTTTTCTTCGTCAAGTTAAAATCAACAAATATTTTTATCTATAACTTGTGTTTTTTTTCATAATAATAAAGCAAAGAAAAAGTATCATTTGTCAGAATAAAAAACAGTGTTATATATCATTCTTTTCCTTATCTTTTTAATGTTTAGGTGTGTCGATGATGTATACGTATACATCTTTTGATCCAAGGTCATATATAGAGAAAAAAAGAAAGTCTTACTTCTATCATTTGTTGATAAATCATTAAGTTGTAAATTAGGAATTTTTAATGAAGAATTTCGATATTCTTTAGGTTTTTTTGTTGGTGCAATTATTTGTTTAAAACGTTTCCATAAAGGAATTTTATTTGATGAAGATGAATGAAATATTTCATCTGATGAATTTATTATAGGACGTGTTATAATTGGTACAACTGTTGTTGTTACAGAACGAGCTCGTGTTGATGATGATGATGTTGTTTGAGGTGATTCAGATGAATATTTTAATCGATATTTTATTTCATTTTCATCATTATTTATTTTCATCATTGGAGGAAGTGGTAAGGGAACTTGTGGTTGATATAATTCACCATGTGATTTAGCATGTTGTAATTTTTTTGTCACATGTCGAAATGAATATGTTGATGTCTCTTCATCATTTAATGGTTGTTGTTGTTGTTGTTGTTGATAATGATGATTTTGTTGTTGTTGTGGTGGTGGTTGTTGTTGATCAACAAACGAAGGATTAGAAATATGTTGTACTGATGTTGATAATTTCATAGATTGTGGAGTTAGTTGAGAACGACGACTAATTGGTCGAGAACGAGGTTCATCATCAATTACTGATACAGTTACACTACGTCGATTATTTTTATTGATCTATATATTTAAATATAATGTTTACATAGCGATGAATGAATAAATAACACAAAAAAACTTACTTGATAATTGTCACTCGTACGATTTGACAATGGTCGACGATTATAACTACTTCTATTTTGTCGTACTGTCAACCGTTCACTGTCTCTTCTTTCTTCGTTGTCTCTATTTTTTTCCTCCATGCTATATATATGGATTAGTTCTATTGTATTCACATACACATAGACTCAAACGAGCAATAGAAAAAGTCAAATCGGCCAAAAGTTCAATCTTGCCGTTGTTCTTCGTCTTCAAACGACGACAAATAGAAAAACATAGTTCTCTTTCTTTATGTATTACAAAACTAAACTAACGCACCAACTACTACAAGAAGAAAAAAGAGAAGGTGGTCGTCGAAAAAAAAAAATATATACGAGTCATACAGAACGAAAATGGATGCAGTCTGGAAGGAAAAAAACCCTTTCGAATGTCTTAGTACTACCCATCAGTATATATATTCATAGACGACTAGTGATAAATGAGTTAATGTACTCATTAATTTGCAATAAATTTCAATGTTATAACTAAATGAAAAAAGTCTGAATAGAATTAGATGGATTTTCAATCGAAATATATTTCTGACATTCTCTCGACTTTTTCTTTTTCCTCAAAATATCCATCATAAATAACTCAAGTTTGTAAGTATGCGCATCATATTGATTTCGTTTTTCTTTTCTTTTGCTTTCATCGTCTCTAGATTTATATATAAAATAAAAAGAGGAAAAAAGAAAAAAACGAAGAAACGAATACAATGAAAAATATGAATCAGTAGTCAAAAGTATAATAATAATAATAATAATAATAATAATTAAGAAACATCCATTGATTTAACATTTGTTGTCTGTGCTTCAGTCATCGTTGTATCATTATCATCGTGTGTTGCTGCATTTATTTTTGTTTCGACTAATGCCATTGTTTTTTGACACCAATCAGGATGAACCGCTTGAATTTTATCCAAGACTTGATTAACTTGAACACAAAATGATTCAATACGACGATCCCATTGAGCAAGTTGTTCACTAGCTACAAAATAAAATAATATGCCTAGAATTTATTTTAGTTCCTTTTTTAAACCTTGAAAATGAAGAACAGATTCAATTTGATCAACAAATCCGCTCAAACGCCCTTCTGATATCATTTGTGATGCAATTTTTTCTGACTAAAATGAACAAACAAATGAAAAATATGAATATATTTTCTCTATACTTTTTCGCTTGGAATACCAAGAAGACCACCTAATTCAGAAAATGTTATATTTGTATATATTTTACTAACTGCAACAAGATTATGTTCGATAACTGCTCGTTGTAAGATTGTATAACCTAAAACCAAAAGAACGTTTATTCATAAATATTTTCTTTTGTTTTTTTTACCATCAGCTGTAGTTGCTTTTTGATGGTCAGCTAAAAGACTTTCAAATTGTTTTGCATCATGTGGACTTATAATTCGATCTAAATACCTAAAATAATTTTTTATAGGTGAAAAATGTTTGAAATTGTTTTTATTAATTCTACATTTTATTTAACATTGAATAAGCAGGTGATCGTTGTGATCGTTCATCTTTAAATAATGTTCCTAACATTCTTGATCGATGAGGACCAGCCGGTGCCAAAATAGCACAAATCAATGCATTATCTAAAGCTCTCATACGTTCTTCACTACTAACAACAGATTTAAGTGATAATTCATTGTAACGTTGTGCAGCTTCGACAAATTTTCGTTTATAATCAAGAATACGAGCATAACATGCCTGATTAACAAAACAAAAATAAACAGATAATTTAGAACTACGAAATATTATGTTTCACAAACTCGATAGAGAATTTGTAATTCTTCATCTTTGGTATCATTTTGTAAGAGAGATGCACGATTAATAAAAATTTCTGCTTGTACTGAATCGTCATCTTCAAGATAAAGTCGAGCAATACGTAAATATGTTTTTAATTTATAATCAGAAGATAATGGTCTAGAAATTAATACATTTTGAAAATTAAAAAAAGAAGAATGTTAAAATTTTTTCTTATACTTTTGAGCTGATTCTAATGGTGCACCACAAAGAATTTTAGCTGCTTCACGCCAATTTTCTTCACGTTCATAAATATCAGCGAGAAAATTTCGATAATGACCAACTTGATCTTCAAATGATATTGCACGAGCAGCAATACGTTCAAGTGCATATAAAGCAACTTCTTTTGCTTGTTCAGATGGTAAATGATTTAAATATGATGTACATAAATCTGTTAATAATTGACGTGATGCAACAAGAACAATTTTATCATCAACAACTATATAAAAAAAGAAAGTAAGATAAGAATCATAAAGAAAATAATACAAACCAGCATCAAGAAATTTTTTAATATTATCTATTGTTTGAGGTTGTTTAGGATCTTTAATGATTTCATCAAGAATTGATTTAAATCTTAATAAGAATAAATTTTTAAATTAATATAATAGAAATAAGATTTCTGCGATGAATAGTTTACTTGTCAATAAGTTCTTTATGTGAAAGTCCTTTGTTCACTGCTTGTTGAAGTTGCTCGGCAATATTAGTCATAATTATCTAGAATAAAAAATACAAGTTTATTTTATTGATAATATCATAAGGATAAAACTATTCGTTCGATCCATCAAAGGCAACATTAGCTTCTGGTTCAATAAAAAAAGCTCCTTCATTTATATAACGTCTTAATTTCAAATAATTAACATTTCCTAGTGCCAATTTAGCCTCGTCACTATTTTGACAGATCGATTGAATTATTGTAAATTTTGTTTCTTTTCCATCTTTATCTTTTTCTGTTGAACGATTGAGAAGAAATTCAAGAAAACCAGGTTCATTATTCATTGCATGTAATGACCATGGTGATCGTGTTAATTCAAGTAAACATCGATAAGCAGCAAGACGTAAATCAACAAATGGTTGTTTAGCTATTTGAACAATAATTGGCAAAAGAGAAAATACTCGATTACATAAACGATAAATTTGTTCTGTAAGCGACGAAGCAATTGTTGATGTACGATCATTTGTTGATATATAAAATAAATCAGAAAGACAATTAAGTGCACGAATACTAAAATTAAAATAATAAGACAATTTGTTTATATTTTTCTTGTAATTATTTTACCGAATATCAGATTGAGCTGAACGTATCATTTGAATTAATTTTCCAATAAAATCACCGAATTTTGTCATTGAAAGCATATATTCTTTTCCATGTATTGTTTTACCAATGAATCCAATTGTATCTAAACATGTGAAAATCAGAGATCTCAATAAGATTTCACAAATCTCAATTAGAGGGTGTGGGTGGGTCGGAATGGGTGTGGATCTGAGTGGGTGTGGGTGTGAGTGCGGATGATTATCTCTTTATTTAATAGGCTCTCACACTCACACCCACTCCACGCGGACCCACCTCCACACTGTATTATAATCTCTTACCTAAACCGATACCAACATAAGTATCTGAATCTGTTTGAAGAAGAATATCAAATAAAAATGGTAAAAATCTTTCGAGTAATTGATTTTGTTGATTATTTGATAGATTTGTTTCAAGTAGTAAAAGATAATTACGTATATAACAACCAAAAAATTTAATAAAACCTGGTTTAATAATATCATAGAAACTATTTTCATCATTTGATGATGATAATAATAAATGAAGATAATGATCAATAATATTTGTTTTATTATGTAAATAATTTAATGTATGAGATTTTTGTGTTAATGTTGTTAATAATTCTAAACAATTCATTAAATAAAGTATATCACTATCATTATGTGTACAATCATAGAAAAATTGATCAAGTAAATGTTGTTCTTCTGTAATATGTTGATAAATACGTGAATCAATTAAACATAAATCAACTAAATATTCATATAAACGAAGTTTAACAATTTCATTAAGTTCATTTGATGAAAGTAAAATTTTTCGATTTGATTCATGAAAATAATGATCACGTAAATAAGTTTGAAAAATGTTTTTATCTTCGATTTGACTAACAGTTTTTATCATATGTTCAAGAATTTCTTTCGATTTAAGCCATAATGTTTGTTGATCACTATCAAGAAAAAGATGAAGAAGTGCATTGATATGTGAATATTGAAATAAATTTTGTATAACAAAAAAACATTCAGTTTTTGAACAACGAGCTAATTTTTCAAATGCTTTTAAACATAAAATTTTAACACGTTGAGATAAACCTGTTTCATTATCAAGACCAGTATTTAATAATGGATAAAAATTCGTCATAATTTGTTCAATAGATAAATTATTTATAAAATATTCCATAATTAAACATAAGAGACGTTCAACTTCATCGTTTGTATTTGAATGAATTAATTCAAATAAATGAGACCATGGTATATGTTGATGAACTTGTTCAAATTGAATAGATGATGATATACCTAATAATTCAATATGCATACGTTCGAGTAATTCGATACGTTGAGCATTTGTTGTTGTAATCAACAGATCCTCGAAAAGGCGAAGTAAATTACTATTTTGCATCTAAAATTATATGCACAGATTCAAAAATAATTCTTTCAAATATATCAATTAAACATAAGAAAAATAGGATTTAAGACTTTCGCTAAATCGCACTTTCACCAATGGCAAAATTCCATCGTTCCATTTATTACCCATTCTTGAAATAACTAAAATAAAAACATTAGTTTGCTATTATCGGAATTTTAAAAAATGGCAGTCAGCCAAAATGCTTATAACTCTGTAACCAAGATAGCTATAGTCCTGTGACCTTCACTATTCGAGAGAAGGTACTGGTAACGTTCCTTCTCTAGAATAATGGAGGTCACAGGACTCTAGCTATCTTGGCTAAAAAGTTATCAGCATGTTATCTGACTGCCTTTTTTTACAATGTAGGTAGTAGTATATACTATATAATACTCCTTTTATTCAAAATCTACAAATTAGTTATCCTTCTTGTATGAAATATCTATACAATTATTTTATCTCCTGTCGATTGAAGCAAAAAATTCCAAATTTAACAGACATGATATGATAAATATTTGAATTTTTCTCTCTCTTGATATTCCGTGTTGTCTTTTCTTTAACAACCAACTTGAACTAAAGATTGTAATTGAGAAAATATATCTAGTTTAGTTATAATCATTTATCTTGGAAATATTATGCAAAAAAATATTTCATTAATCATTTGATCAAATACAATGAAATATGTACTTTGTAACACATTAATTAGTAAAGCAAAAAAAGTAAAATGAACATTATAGTACATTTATTAAGTTTACCAATGATATTTTTGAATATAAATCCAACAGTCAATATCACATAAAATTTTCTCAATGTCTTTTTTCAATAAAACTGACATGATAACTATTGTATTTTTTAATCTAAACAAGAAGATAATAAGAATAATATTTCGTTTTGAAAAAATACTACTCTAATTCTGAATTTTTGATTTGTGTTTTCTTGTTCGTTTTTTGTCGTGAGCTAATTTAAGTTGATATTTTTCAGTACTTTCTTTATCGAGACTTATCTAAAATAATCCAATAAATATTTCTTATCAATGAAAAAACAAAATTTGTACTTTATATGTATGACATGTATTTCTTATAAAATCAAGTTTATTTTTAAATTCTTTTTCACGCTGAACATTTTGCATTTGTTGTTTATTTAATAATTCGATATATTTTCTTTCTTGTTCTTTTAATTTCTTTTCATGATCAAATAAATGACGTTGTAAGCATTCCTGTAATTCTTTTTCTCGATCTTGTAATTGATTAGAAAGGATATTCCTAGTCTAGAAGAAAAACAATATTTTCTCATTTATTAAAGAAATAAAAAACTACTTTTAGTTCTAATTGTTTATGTTCACATTGTTGATTAGATAATTCTAATGTTAAATCATTCATTTGTTTATATAAATGATCAAGATGTTCTTGAATTGATATTGGAAGAAAAGAAGATTTCCTATTCAATGAGAAGAATTAATAATAAAATAAAAACAATTTTTTAATTACTGAAAGTTTTCATCGCAAGGCGAATATTCGTTTAATAAATTAATATAATTCTCATTCAAGATCGTATGTATATTCGGTTTATTTTCTTTTATTGTTAATTTATTACCCTAAAACAAAATTAGATTTCGTTATGTATTTGATTTTATTTTTGTACATTAAGAAATCGTTGCCATGATTCAGGTTCAACTCTTTTCAATGGAAGACGTGATGAAAAAACACGATTTAAATAAATACGATTAACATATGCATAATCATTGGATGATGATGAACTAAATATAATCAAAAATCAGTAATTATTAATTAAAATTGAATTGAATAACCTAATGTATGATTTATTCGCAGATAATCTTTTAGAAAAAATAAAGATTTTTACTCTAGATATTTTAATAAAAGAAAAATCCTACATGGGTACAGTCGTTCTTTGTTTCATTATCGATAAGAAGAAAGTAAAATGTTCATGAAATGCTTTCAAAGTAATCTATATATATAGATTTGTCTTCCAGGAAACAGTGAGTAATTGGAGAGAAAAAGAAAAATGCAGAATCATATGTTCTCGCTTAGAGGAAATGCTTGAACAAAAATGAATATTTGATAAAATAGCAGGGGTAGTAAACATGAACTAAAAGAATTCATTTTCAGATAGTATTCTAATAGCCAAGGTATACAGAATCCATTTTAAATTGTGAACTAATCTGAATATTGCGCAAAAAAACAAATCTACTTTATAAAATTGATCTAAGAATATTTATAATACTAGGTCGTAAGATCTTTAGGAACTGTTTAAAATCAAAGATGAACTTTCTGTGATCTAGTTTTCCGGAAAAAAATAAATAGATGATTCAAGACTAACCTGCTATGTAATGTGTGCAATGATAAAGCATAAACTTTCAAATAACAAATTCATTTGAAAGAATGTAAATTGACTTCAATAGTTAGTTGCTTTTGTATTCTGTAGACAGAAGACTATCATTATGTTAGCTAAATAAACTCAACATTTCAATTTCAATTCGAAGAATTAGTTTCAACATTTAGACAAAAACAGTAACCAATCAAAAAAGAGTGTCTAGACTCTACATTCACAACACTCATATAATAATATATTCAAATAATTTCTTTTGAAATTTTTACCAATATCTATATATACATTACTAGAATCAATTTATATGAAAACAATAAATCTAATTTATCATTGGTGAATAAATTTATTCAATAGTAATGAGTCATAGAACAATCAAGTTCCTTCTATTTTATTCATTAACTGTTTTTTCTTATACAAAATAAAAATACTTATTGCAATACATTCTCTTAATTACTTAGCATAAACTTTAATGTTAATCTTTGTTTATTTTTTGTAGAATTTATGTTTCTTTAAACTAGTATATATGGTGCAAAAAATGCCAATGGTCACCGAGTCGGCCCAAACCAAATTGACGGAGACGCCGCTCGAACCAATCGGTCCTTTGGATACGAAAGTCGTGCAATGTCTTGTAAAATCTTTTTTATCTATATAATCATTATTATTTTTAAAAATTTATCTGATTTATTTTAGCCCAAAATGACTGAAGGTTGTCATGTACCTGTCTTTATGGATATCCAACAGACATTTGGTAAGAAAAGAAAAGATTCAAAAAAAAAAACTAATTTTGTTTCTTTATTCTAGTTCCAGCTGAAATCGTCAGTATTCGTGAAAATAATGGTGTTAGTGAATTTTATATTCATTATGTTAATTTCAATCGACGTCTCGATGAATGGGTTACTGTTGATAAAATGAATTTAAAAGAATTAGCACCACCTTCAACAACAACATCCTCATCCTCAACAAATAATATTTCTCAGGAAATGCCAATTACCCCACAACCACGAACAGTACCACCACCCACAACTACAACAACAGCAAGTACTTCTAGTGAAACACCATCGGGAAATACAACAACATTTTTTCTTTCTGATGATGCCGATGCCTTAAATAGTGATTTATCACGTGCAGCAACTCTTCCATCAATGACAAATCCCTTACCAGCAACATCAACAACTACAGTACCAACAAAAACACGAGGAAATGGAAATAATCATCATAGTGGTGTTCATTCAGTTACAAAAGTGAAAAATATTAATTTAATACATTTAGGAAGATATTTTATTAAACCATGGTATTTTTCTCCATATCCTGAAGTAAATTATTTTTGAAGAAAAAAAGAACAAGATCGTAGAAGTTAATTTGTTTTTTAGGAATTTACAACATGTCCAGTTGTTTATATATGCGAATTTTGTTTAAAATATTGTAAAGATGTTGATGCACTTAAACGACATCGAGTAAATTTTCATATGTTTATTTGTCTCTCTATATATAATTGAGAATTTTTCTTTTTAAAGACAAAATGTACTTTAATTCATCCACCTGGTAATGAAATCTATCGTCATGGTTCAACATCATTTTTTGAAATTGATGGACGAAAAAATAAATCATATGCTCATAATATGTGTCTATTAGCAAAATTATTTCTTGATCATAAAACATTATATTATGATACAGATCCATTTATGTTTTATATTTTAACAGAATTTGATGCACAAGGATTTCATATAGTTGGATATTTTTCAAAAGTAATTTATTTTTTTAAGATATGATAAGAAAGAAAAAGATGTTTTTCTGTTTTAGGATAAAGAATCAAGTGAAGATTATAATTTATCATGTATTTTAACTTTACCACCTTATCAAAAAAAAGGTTATGGACATTTTATGATTGAATTTAGTAAGATTGATTTTTCTATTAGGAAATTCTTTTTCTAATAAAAATAATTTTTATTTATAGGTTATACACTTTCAAGACTTGAGGGTAAAATTGGTACTCCAGAAAAACCATTATCTGATTTAGGTTTATTATCTTATCGTCGATATTGGTCAGAAGCAATATTACAAACATTATTAAAACATAAACCAAAAGATGGTGAAACAGATTATCCATCACTTTCGATAAAGTATATTATTAATAAAAAAAGAGCTACTCTCAAATTTATTTTTTTGTATTTTCTAGTGATTTAAGTGAGATAACAGCAATTAAAAAAGAAGATGTATTAGCAGCTCTTCAAAATTTAAATATTATACGTTATCAACAAGGTTCATATGTACTTTCAATAACAAAAGATTTATTTGATAGTTATCAAGATAAACGACGTTTACGTGTAGAAACAAAAAGTTTATTTTGGACACCAAAAATACCAACAAAACCATCAAATCAATTTCAAACAAAATAATCAAAAACAAAAGACAAAAAAAACAGAATTTTATGTTTGAAAGAGGATAAAAAAAACAGTTTTTTTTTGTTAATCGACATATTGTATAGAATTATAAACATTTTTTCTTCTGTTTGTTCTTTATTTGCACCTGTTTTGCTCCTTGTAGATTGATTTTGTGTATTCTATTCATATATAAATATCGATCATATATATACATATTTATTATTCATAATTCATCAATCTTATACTAAATGAAAGAGTATACGAAATATTTTCTTATTATTGATAAAGTATTAGGGTAAAAGTTTAGAGTCGGATTATGAGGCATATATATATATATATCGGTAATAAAAGTCTTGAAAGATTGTTTTTGGAGATAAATTTTAATTATAACTACATGCAGTTATGAGTCAATATTTGAGTGATTATAAAGGATAACAAATATTATAGATTTTTAATTGGATGAAATTTAATATTTTATGAAATTTTCCCCAAATTAAAATTGTATAGATATTTCAGATATTTTAAAAAATGCGAACATCTAAAAATCGAACTTCATCAAATACATCATCAATAACTAAAAATTCTTTGTTTCAATGGCAACAATGTTCACAATGCCAGAAGTCTATACCCTCTACATCTGAGAATCACGAATGTTCAGATGAATCAAATAATGTATTTGTTGAACATAATAGAGCTAAACTTGTTGCTCAAGAACATAAATCTGGTTTGTTAAAAGAAAAACGAAATATTTAATCTAATATTTTCTTTTCTAATATAGAGTATTTCAAAGATTTAACATTACCTTCATTTATGCATACAGACCTAGTGTTCATATCTCCGGAAACTATGCGACTTCTTGGAAATATTCATCGAAATGAATATATTCTTTTAATATTAACAACTAAAGATCAACAACGATTGTTAAAAATAGGTTTACTTTGGCCCAATTCAATTTTAGCAGATAATCAAATAGCTGTTAATCGCGCAATAATTGATCAATTATCTGAACAACAGATAATTGAACTTCGAACAATTCCACAAGATCATATTCAAAGTACAAATAACATCACATTAAGGTAATCCTATTGTATATAATCGAACTATAGAAGTATTTTCTAATGAATATACGATTATGATTTCTTTTGTTAATTTCAAAGAGAGAATACTATGAGTTTCTCTTATGTTCATATTGTAGTGCAACTGTTCCATGTGAAAAACGTAGTATCAATGAACGTCGTTTAATTACAATATGTCTAAAACATCAATTAGGTAAATTTTGTTATTAAATATTTCGTTATCCTATTCTTTTTTGTTTTGTTTAGAAAATCGAATTGTTTTTGTTGAACAACGTATAGATTTTATTTATCTTGGTCAAACAATTACTTTTCGTGTTGAACAACCGTCAGATGATGAGAATTTACTTCAATCAATTCAATCCCTTTCACTTGAGAATAATCTTCCAACTTTCTATAGAATTTCTTCATCAACAACTTCTATTAATATACAATTCGAATCTAAAACCAAAGATAATAATAGTAATTGTTCAGATAAATCGATTTCTTTATCTGATATTGGTGGTTTAAAAAAAGAAAAATCGGATTTAACTGATCTTCTTCTTTCATCAGCAATAAATTATATTCCACCACGCGGAATACTTCTTCATGGTCCAAAAGGTTGTGGAAAAACAATATTAATCAATGCAATAGCTCATGAAATATCTGCAATAATTATTTATATAAATCCATCGGATATTTATAGTCGACATTATGGTGAAAGTGAAACAAAATTAAAACGTTTATTTGCTCAAACAACTACAATGACAAACAAAAAATACTTACTTGTTGTTGAAAATATTGAAAGTCTTTGTCCGAATCAAGAACGTATAACACAACAAATGGAACGACGATTAACAACAACATTTATTACATTATTAGATAAATATTTAGATGGAAAAAATATATTTTTAATAGCAACTACAAATCGACTTGAATCCGTTGATAATGATTTAAGACGGCCAGGTAGAATTGATGAAGAAATTGAAATTGGTATACCTAATCAACAAGATCGATTTGAAGTAAAATCATCTATTTTATTCTAATTGAGAATAACTTCTTTTTTTTTTCATCAAGATTTTAAATCTTAAACTACGTACAATAGCAAATGATCTTAATGAAGATGAATTAAAATTAATTTCGGAGAAAACACATGGTTTTAGTGGATCAGATTTAGAGAATTTATGTAGGAAAGGTAATAGAAAATATAATTGAAAATATTTTTTGTTATTTCTATTCAATTAGCAAATCATTATGCAAGAAAAAGTAAACAACCGGATATGAATTTAAATATAGAACATTTTGAAAATGCTTTAACTGTTGTTCGACCAACTAGTATGCGTGAAGTTATACTTGAAGTACCAAAAGTAAAATGGTCAGATATTGGTGGTCAACATGAATTAAAGAAACGTCTTGAAGAAATGGTTGTTTGGCCATTAAAATATGCAGATGCACTTGAGAGACTTCATGTTCAAGTACCAAAAGGTATTTTAATGTATGGTCCACCTGGTTGTTCAAAAACAATGGTTGCTAAAGCTATTGCTACAGAATCTAGTCTGAATTTTATTGCTGTTAAAGTTTGTTTGATAATAGATTTTATGCTTAAAATAGAATTTTAAATTTCAATAGGGACCAGAATTATTTAGTAAATGGGTTGGTGAATCAGAACGAGCTGTACGAGAATTATTTCGTCGTGCACGTTTAGCTGCACCAGCTATTATATTTTTCGATGAAATAGATGCAATTGCAAATTCACGATCAAGTTCATCGAATTCGTAAGTTTTATATTCATCATCAAACTTTTCATATGATTATTTTATTTATTAAAAAGTCAAGCAAATGTTAGTGATCGTGTTATTGCTACACTTCTTATTGAAATGGATGGAATTGAAAAATTAAAAGGTGTAACAATTATTGCAGCTACAAATCGACCTGATTGTATCGATCCAGTATGTACAAATAATGATAATATTGCCAATTTGTCTACTTTTTTATAGGCATTAATGCGACCGGGACGTTTTGATCGTCTTGTTTATGTTCCATTACCAGACGAACAAACACGTTCTGAAATATTTCAAATACGTTTTCGTCATTCACCAATTGATTCGAATATTCAAATAGAACGTTTAGTTGAATTAACAAAAAATTATTCTGGTGCAGAAATTACGGCTGTTTGTGATGAAGCAGCATTAATTGCTTTACGTGATAATATCGATGCTCCGCATATTGAATGGCAACATTTTGAACGTGCTTTAACTTCTATTAAACCACGTACAAGTGATGAACATATACGAAGACTCGATCAATTCACTAAACAACATGGAAAATAATTAATCATATTAAGTCGAATATCATTTAGTTTACTATTTGATCATGAATGGTAATTATTGATTAATAACAAAAATCAACAGTGATTGATTATACAAGAAAAGTTTTAGTTATTATAATAGTAAAATAACATTGATCTTTTTAATAAAAGTATTTGTTAAAACAAAAGACATATATACTGAAGTTAAAATTGATTCTTTTCAAGAAATATAATAGATTTTATAGGATTATTATGATGTTCAATAAGAACATATCAACTATCAAGAAAATGGATAGTTAAAAAAGAATAATAAATTTATGATAATGATCTTTTCATCAAAAATTTAAACATCAATAATCGTTTCATTTAAATAAAACAAAATATACTATGATTTTTAATTTAAAGTTCTAAAGTAAAAATTGTTCACAAATACTATACTTCATACAAAGTATTTGATATATATCAGTATTATGTAAATATATAATTTACTATATTAAAAAATTCTTTGATTTTATATAACTCAAAAAATTAGAATAATCCTAATATAAATTATGAATAAATAATACATTTCTTTCTCTGAGATTTAATTATTTTGTGTACGTATAATTACATTTACACATTATTGACTTTTGCTTTACATTCGCTATACGATAATGAGGGAGGAAAAAAACGTTGTTTATGTTTTATATAATGTTCGTTTTTGTGTTATTATTGACGCAATTTATCATATTCATATCGTATTACTCCAATGACGTAAATCGTGTCGTATTTTTATCGAATCAGTTTTATTTTGCTTACTCATCAGATAAGACACACCCTACAAATGACTGTTCCCTTTCTTCAATAGTGATTTATTGATAGATTTAACTTATCTATACATATTAAAATATTTTATTTAATAGAGCTTAATGTGCAAATCAAAGTATAAATTTATTTATTTGTCAGACTTTTGTTAAACATATATATTTTTCGTCATGCAATATGGATAGTAATTATCATATTCTACAAAAAAATATATTAAAAACAAAGTTATTCTAATTATGATGAGAAATTAATAAACATGTGTAGATCAGAATCCATATTCTATACTGCTAATTATCAATGTATTGTATTCGTAATGTATGATATATACTCACAAAAAACTTTTAGATAAACATCGTGTCAATCTTCAGCTTGTCTTCCTAAAAACACGCATAAAAATAAAAACTTCTGTCATTTTTTATGTCTCTTAAAAAGTATTTCAGTACATTCTGAAATCTAACAATCAGGATAAAGATTGTTTATGCTATACTAAGAAAAAACACCTGATAGTTCATAAATGATTCTAAAATCATGATAAATTACATAGTTTATACAAAAAGATATATGACTAATATATAAATAAGTACATTGTGAAATATGTAATGAGATATATAATCAAACGTCGAAATACAATATACAAAAGTTGCAAGGTAACAAAAAATATTATTCATAACTGTATGTATAATGTAAATGAGGCGCTCCTACGTTTTGCGTGTATAATCCTTGTATAATATATGTCAAAATAGATAAAACAAACCTAAACAAAAGCATTCGCTCGATGAATGACGTTAGTTGTATATTTTTAAGGCATATGACTATTATCAAATATTCACTCATGCGTCGTAAACTATTCATGATTTTGCCTTTTATAATTGTGTCAAAAAAAAGTTCAAATGTACGAATTAAGTATTTTTCTATATGATATAATTATAAAGAATTTGACAAATATTACGTTAATATGAAAGAATAAAATAGATTTTGTAATACATTTATAAAACTATTTGTATTTTTATTGTGTAAGAAAATGTATTACTGATTTGATATTTTCTATTAAATAACCATTCAATGTTTGTTATAGGGAAGTGTCCGTCAGAGCAAACTTAACTTCTTTTTTTTCTAACATATAAATGTATTATAAAAATATTTAATGGATAGCAACACTGTTAGGATGCATAGTTACTGCTTCACTGATACAACTTTACTATTGAAATAGAAAAATTAGCAAACGTTAAAATACAAAAGAAAATTTCAATAGTGTGTAGTTCATGACGCATATCTGAAATATAACATAAAACAGCGTTCACTAAAAGAAGGTACCCTGTACAGAAAAAAAATATGGCCATTTAACCAAATCATTAAATGATTAACTCTCAAATAAAGATTTTTTAAATAATAGAACTTGAATACTTAACTAACTAGCAAACAAAATACATATAGTATTTCAGTATGTTAACTAGTTTTGTGCAGTATGAAAATAAATTCTTCTTAGATTGAATGTTTTATGAGCATTGTATTATCATTTTCTTGTTTTATGAAATGATGTGGACTGTATAATATGTTTACCAAAAGTTAACTAGTAAATAAAAGCAGTCATGAAGAATAAATCATCGAATGACGAAACTAAAATAAAAAATAGATTTGCGTCTTTGATTATGACTCAGATAATTAAGCTAACGTCAGTAGAGTAATAAAAGTGCAATGGATGATTTATTTTTATTTTTAGATAGAAATCACACTTGAGTAGTTTTTTACGCATTTAATTATATGAATAGCATGCTTGCGTACAAACCAACTACGATAATTTTAGTAAATTTATTTATGGTAGTTTGACGTCAACTGGGCTGAGCTACATACGAAGTATAATATTTTTAGCAAATCTATTCATGGTAATTCTACGTCAATTGAGCTTCAAACGTCATCGAGATAATAGTAGTATCCCTTTGTATCGATATACTATAAAAGCTGAAAGTTTTTTCATATTGAATCGGCAATTGATCTTATTTATTCATTCTTCAATATTATCATATCAACAATTCAAATAGTTATGGCTCGATTAATTTTGATTACTTGTACAATGATTGTAGCATTTGTACACATGGGTTCAGCTACAACACCAATAAATGTTATTCAACAAGATTGTACAACTTTAGCAAACAATATGCAAACCGCTGATACTGCAACAAAAAATGCTTGTGATGCTAAAGTTATTGATCTTGGAAAATATAAAGACACAACAAATATAACTAATTTATTAAATAATCTTACCTCGAATATTAATACTCTTATTCCTGCACTTAATTTGGCTACAAATAACGCTCTTGTACAATCTCTTCAAACTATTTCTACTGCGATTGCAGCAATTGTACAAGCTGCTATTGGTTTAATCCCATTCTTAACCGGTATTAGTACTGACCTTGCTGGTATTCTTCAAAGTATTAGTACACTTCTGGCAATAGTTGTGGGATTAACTGGTGCAACTCTTACTTCTCTCACCACTTCGTTAAAATCAACAGTACAAAAATCATTAGTAAGTAACATAAATATTGCTTTTCATTTTTAATCCAAAAATAAAAAATCTTATCCATTATAGCAAGAAGTATTGAAGCTTGCTGATGATCTTCTTTCTAATGTTGGAAGTATGGTTTTTACGCAAGTTGGTAATATAAAGAATGCATTAGCAGCAATACTCAATGTTGTTTCAAACGAAATTCTTCCACAAGTTGTTGGTTTAACTGGTGATGTTGCTGGTCTTGTTGTAAATGTGTTAGCTCTACTTTGTCAACTTCAATTCGAGATTACTAATTTAACAAATGATATTCTTCAGGATGTATTCTTTTTATTGGAATCAGTAATAACTTCAGTTGAAAATACAGTGACTCCAGTTATTACAACATTGACTGATACATTAGGTGCAATCGAAGGATGTGCTACATGTCTGAATACAGATCTGGGTATAAATTTATTAGGTGCTTTAACACGTCGACGTCGTTCAATTAAACAACTTGTCTAGAAGACATCATTTAATAAAAGACTAAATAAATCAAATTTTCTTTTTTCAATTGTATATATTTCATACAGATTGTTCTCCTTTTTTTCGTTTTTATTTTTTGTCATATGAAGTTTTATTTTTCATTTAATTCCATGAATAAACAAGCATAAATGAAAAAAGTATATTTCAATAATATGAAATTTAGTTTAGATATTGAATTGATTTGTTTGACAGTAGAGCTTCAGATCCATTATCCATCTTTTCATTCAAATGAGCTCAATATATGAAGCAACATTTTTTTGAATATATAATAGAGTGCAAAAATAATTGTCAATAGATTTTTTTAAAGTTCTTCTCGTAGAAGTATGAAATATTAAGACTTTTTTATGTTGTTATATTACATAGACACTATACTGTATAACTACATTAATCATTAGAATTTCTACGTTTGCTGTAAATTTATAGAAGACAATAACCTAACGTCCTTGGAAGCAATTAAAAACTTTACAGGTTGCCTCACTAAATTCAAAAAGTAGTATCCAACGCTTGCAGATAACTACAGAAAAATTGCGCAAAGAATGTACGAAACACCGTCAAAAACAATGTCTATATACCAAACGGCAATTTGTTTTGCACTCTACTGTATATAGTTCCTACTCTCAGAACTGATATGGACCTATCACATTCCCAGTTAATAAAGGTAACGTATATTACATACAGTCTCAATTCTATGAGTATAGACAAATTCTGTTTCCAGATTTTGTATTTCTCAATTGTTTTTTCAATATAATATGGTATCTAATATGCATACAATAATGTTTATATACTTGCGAAGCTAATGTCATCTAACGTCAAATCATTATTGTAGTCAATACTATATAATCTTTGCCACTGGTGTGCTGTCTATAACACGCCTTCATTGTTTTCTTTTTTGGTGTTTTTTTATCTATTCGTTGCTTAGTAAGAAAATAAAAATGACTGTTCTCTTTCTTCAATAGTGAATTACTGATCGATTTAATTTCTGTATATTCTACATATATATTTTTCGTCTTACAATATTGGTAGTAATTATCATATTCTACAAAAAAATACTGATATTATCTATAATAAAGCAAATGATATTTTAAAGCAGTTATGAAACTTGAGTTATTTTGAAATAATGGATGAATTACCATTATTGTAAGTTAAATTAGACCAATCTACTATGTTTTGTATATTGACAAACAATTCTATTTGTCACAATCTGAAACGATCCTTTTTTACAAAAAATGTATCAAAAAAAAGTTATTCTAATTATGATGGTAAATTAATAAACATGTGTAAATCAGCATTCATATTCTATACTACTTGTTATCAATGTATTGTATTCGTAATGAATGATATATACTGACACAAAATTTTAGACGAAGATCGTGTCAACTTTCAACTTGTCTTCCCAAAAACACCCGTAAGAATAAAAACTTCTACCGTTTTTTATACCTCTTAAAAAATATTTCAATACATTCTGGAATCTAACAATAAAGATAAACACCGCTTATACTATGCATAGAAAAAATACTTGCCAGTTCATGAATAATTTTAAAATCATGATAAATTACATAGTTGATACAAAAAGATATATGACTAATATATAAATAAGTACATTGTAAAATATGTAATGGGATACATAGTCAAACGTCGAAATACAATATACAAAAATTATCTAACATTTAACAGAATTATTAAATGATTTAAATATAAAAACAATTCTATTTCACTCAATTTAATAGATACTACAACCTATTACATATTTTTTTCAGTAGCTTTTTCCTGTTAAATAAAGATTTTTAAATAATAGAACTTGAATACTTAACTAAAAATCAAACAAAAGACATATAGTATTTCAGTATGTTAACTAGTTTTGTGCAGTATGAAAATAAATTCTTCCTAAATTGAATGTTTTATGAGCATTGTATCATCATTTTTTTGTTTTATGAAATGATGTGGAGTGCACAATATGTTTACCAATAGTTAACTGGTAAATAAAAGTAGACACGAAGAATAAATCATAGAATGATGAAAGTAAAATAAAGAATAATTTCACGTTTTTGATTGTAACTCAGGTAAATAAGGTAACGTCAATAGAGTAGCAAAACTAAAAACGAGTAATTTGTTTTTCTTTCTAGATAGATATTACACTTCAATAGTTATTTACTCATTTACTTATATGACTGGCTTGCTTGAGTATAAACGAACGAAAATATTTTTGTCAACTTTATTCATGACAGTTTGACGTCGACTAGGCTTCAAACGTTATCGAGATAATAATAGTATCCTTTTGTATCGATATACTATAAAAGCTGATAGTATTTTTGCATTAAATTGGCAATTGGTCTTATTTATTCATTCTTCAATATCATCATATCAACAATTCAAATAGTTATGGTTCGATTAGTTCTGATTATTTGTATTATGATTGCAGCATTTGTACACATGAGTTCAGCTACGACACGAATAGATGTTATAAAACAAGATTGTTCAACTTTAGCAGATAATATGGAATGTGCTAATAATGAAACAAAAAATGCTTGTGATGCTAAAGCTATTGATTTGGAAAAATATAATGACACAACTCAAATAACCAACGTATTAAATAATCTTACTTCGAAGAATAGCGATCTTATTTCTGCACTCAAATTAACTACAGAAAACTCTCTTGCACAATCTCTTCAAACTATTTCTGTCGCCATTGCAGCAATCGTACAAGCTACTGTTCGTTTAATCCCATTCTTAATCGATACAAGTAGTAATCTTGCTGGTATTGTTTTCAGTATGAAAAGTCTTAAGGAAATAATTTTGAAATTAACTAGTACGACTCTTACTTCTCTTACTACTTCGTTAAAATTAACACTACGAAAATCAGTGGTAAGTATCATAAAGAGTTCTTTTCTTTTGTAATTTAAAAATAAAACATTTTACTCATTATAGCAAGAAGTAATGAAGCTTGGTGATAATCTTCTTTATAGTATTTCAGATACGGTTTCTACACAAATAGCTAATATTAAGAAAGCATTTGGAAATATACTCGACGATATTTTTCAAAAAATTCTTCCACAAGTTGCTAATTTACCTGGTGCTATTTCTTTTCTTGTTACAACTGTATTTGCTCTGCTTCTTCGACTTCAATACTTGATCAATAACTACACAAATGATATTCGTGATGATGTATTCTTTTTATTGATATCAGTAATAGCTTCACTTGAAGATAAAATGAATCCGATTATTACAATATTAACCGATACATTAAGTGCAGTTCAAGGATGTGATACATGTCTGAACACAGCTATGAATCCAAATTCATATAGTACTATGACACGTCGGCGTCGTTCAATTAAACAACTTGTCTAGAAGATATCATTTAATAATAGGCTAAATAAATCAGATTTTCATTTTTCTGTTGTGTATATTCTAAATTGCTCTTCTTTTTCTCGCTTTAGTTTTTTATTTTGATTTCATCAACAAACAAGCATAAATGAAAAAAAGTATTTTTGAACAATATGAAATTTAGTTTAGATAGTGAATTGATTTCTTTGATAGTTGAGCTTCGGATCGATTATCTATTTTTTTCATTCAAATCAGCGCAATATGTGAACCAATATGTTTTTAAATATATATAGTTTCCACTCTCAGACCTGATATGGAACTATCATGTTTCTCATTAATAAGAATGATCTACATCACAGATGATCTTAGTTTTATGAGTTGTAGGCAAGTTCTGCTTGCATATTTTGTATTTCTCAAGTACTTTTTCGATATAATATGCATATACAATAATATTTACATATTTGGTAAACTAATGCCATCTATCGTCAAATCGTTGTAACCAATACTATACAATTGTCACTAGTGTGCTGTCTATAACACGTTTCCATTGTTCTCTTTTTTGGTGTTTTTCAAATAATTCGTATTCTGTAGTTTTCATACAGTATCTATTCATTGTTTAGTAAGAAAAAAGTTTTCTACTATTATTATTATGTCTGAACAAAATGCCCAAGATGAAAATAGTGTTGCTACAGAACAAAATTCAATGGTACAACGTATATCACTTGAAGTAAAACGTCGTGAACCAAGTTCAGTAAGTAATAATTATTTATTAAAACTTTATAACATCTAATTTTTTCTTAAAAGATTAATGAACTTGTATTAGATAATTGTGCACGTTGTTATTCTATCCAAGGTTTAACAGATGAATTCTGTAATTTACGTGTCCTTTCAATAATAAATGTTGGCCTTCAATCACTTGCGAAATTTCCATCATTACCTAAACTTCGAAAAGTATTATATTCCAATATCTATTGACTATAATTTATATTTGAATCTTTATTCTAGTTATATCTTAGTGATAATCGTTTAAGTTCAGGATTGGAAAACCTTGAAGGTTGTTCAAGTTTAATTTTACTTGTACTTGCTGGAAATAAATTTAAATCAATTGATGAACTTAAACCATTAGTATGAGATATTAATTTTGTTTTTATGAATTATAATTAAAATATTCTTTTCATCAATAGATTAAATTATCAAAATTATCAATTTTGGATTTAATGAATTGTGAAGTTACATCTATCGATGGTTATCGAGAAACTATGTTTAATATGTTAACACAATTAAAATTTTTAGATAATGCTGATAAAGAGGGTGGTAAGAAACTGAAGAAATTTTATTTTTCTTCTTTATTTTATTTTTAAAATTTAGTGGAAAAGTATAGTGATGATGAAGATGATGACGATGAAGAAGAAGAAGGAAATGAAAATGGTGCATCGGATGATGGTAAATAAAATTTATTTTTTAAAAGAAAATAAATCATTTGTTTTTTTTCTAGAAGATAATGATGAAGAAGATGAATATGAAGAGGTAAGAAAATACGTAGAGAAATATTTTTTATTAGCTGAGTCTAAAAATTTTGAATTCGATTGATTCTTAATATTATGAGATTCTCGACAAATAATTTACTATTATAGGAAGATCATAAAACTGGTTTGAAAGCATTGTATAACGGCACGTTTGAAGAAGGTGATGATGATGATGAAGAAAGTTATGAAGGCAATGAAGAGGAAGAAGATGAAGAATCCGGTTAGTTTATTTCGAAAGTTTTAGTAAAAAAATAAATTGATTATTTTTAGATGAAGATGATGATTTATCTGAAGGTGGTGATGTTTCAGCAAATCCAGTTGAAGGTAAATGTTACTTTTATTTTTCTCGCCCATTTTTTATTTATTATTCTTGTTGTTTAGAAACTGCAAAAGGTGAAAAACGTAAACGTGCCATAGATACTACAGAAGAAAATGATACTGATGGTCCACCACAAAAAATCTAAACATTCTAAGAAAAAAAAACAAATTGACGTATTTATGTTTATATTGTATAGAAAGATCAACTATATTTTCATCTTTATTTACAACAATAAGATAGTTATTCATATTCTCTTTCGATCTTCTAAAGATCTTTTTTTTCTATATATGTATTTTCTTATTCATCATCAAATAAATGAATATTCAGAAAAGAAAATAATATGATATATATATATAATCTATTATATATTCTAGATGACTGATATAACAAAAATCTTTCGTGCTATTATTAAAGCACAACAAGCTTCTAATCGTGATTTGAATAGATCTCCAAGGACACCCTCAAGATGGTCAACAGGATTTTTATCACGTGCAAAAACTATTCTTAATGATATTATAAAATTAAAATATCTTTTACTTGAATCTCGTACAAATTATTTAAGTCCATTTTATCTTTTATCAACAACAAATAAAATAATGAATGATGAACAACGTCTAGAATTTGAACGTAATATTGAAAAACAAATAATACGTTGTCGAGATGATTTAGAACAATTAAAATCATCTATTGGATTAATTTGTTTTGAAGGACAACGACGTTCTCATTGTGAATTAGTTTATGCTTATTTAGAACGTGATCTTGTTCAATGTACAAAAATTTATAGTGAACAAAAATGTTTACGTTATAAACGTGAAACTGAAAGAAAAAAAATTGGACGACTTGATAATGATGTATATCGTACTATTTTAAATTTTGAAAGAAAAAATACTCGAAAGCTAACTGAAACATCGACAGAGAATGTTACTACTACTGAAAATAGGTATAAATCTTTTTTTTAATATATTATTAAATTTAAATGTTGAATTTAGTCCAAGTACTATGGTGACTGTTCCAACTTCTTATGATCATTATAATCATAATGAAAATGATGAAGAAATTCAAATTCCATCACCAGTACCAACTGGTAGTGAACTTCGTCAATTACAAATTGAAAATGATCAATTATATCATGATGTTGCTCAACGTAGTGAAGAAATTCATGCAATATCAACACAAGTTGTCGAAATAGCTCAGTTACAGAATGAACTATTTGATAATATATTTGGTCAAAAAGATCTTATTGAACAAGTAGATAATGCAGCTGTAGTTACTAATGATGATTTAGCTGCAGCTATTATACATATTCGTGATGCTGTACGAAATACAGCACAAATGCGTCATTGGGTGATATTCTTTTTACTTGTTATGATTTTTTCACTTCTCTTTCTCGATTGGTATAATGTATAAAAAAAAAAGTAAAAAAATTATACCTAGTCAAACCAGTCTTCTTTTTTTTATTTAAAAACAAGAAAACAGTTTTATTCTATGCAATAATATTCTCAAAATAAACAGTGTTTTTTTCTTCTTCTAGATGTCCGATACGAGTACGAGTGATAGTGATGTTGAAGATAATATAGAAGAAGAATCATTACCAATATCATTTCATGTAAATATAATTCATGGTCTTAAAAGTGTATCATGTTTAACATTAGATACAAATGGTATTCGAATGATTACTGGTGGACATGATGAAAATATGAAAATGTTCGATTTTTCATCGATGGATAAAAATTTTCAACCATTTCGAACTATTCAACCATGTCGTGGACGATTATTACGAGCTATTGAATATAGTCCTAATAATGATATGATACTTGTTATACCAGGAGATTGTCAAGCAATTGTGGTCAATCGAGAAGGTAAAATACTATCAATAATTCAAAATCTTTAGAATTTAATTACTAACTATTTCAAAATAAAACCATCTGAAGAGTGTGGGTGTGATTATTCTCTTTAAACGAAGAAGCGACTCCCATACCTACACCCACACTCTCTAGTTACGTTTTTTCAACAGTGATAACCGCAGTTCTCCACAATAGTTTCTGTGTCTAAAGTTATTGAATTAATCATCTAATATAACATAAATACAATGTATTTCATTATTTTAGCTTCGGGAAAACATATTATCTACAAAAGTGTACTTGGTGATATGTATGTAACTGATATGAATCGTACAAAAGGTCATAAATCATTATTAAATTATGGTTGTTGGAATCCATCATTAAATTCTCAAGAATTTATGACTTGTGCTGATGATTGTACAATACGTCTTTGGTCATTGAATAAACGTGATCAACAATTACATGTTATAAGAACAAAAGGTGAATCGGGTCGTGATGTTCGAACAACAACTTGTACATATAATCAATCATTGTATCATAATGAAAATTCTAATTTAATTACTGCTGGTTGTGATAATGGTAGTATACTTGTATGGGATCGTCGTCGATCATTTGTTCATGTTACATTTAAATGTTCAAATGCACATTTACAAGATGAAGCTATAACATCATTAAAATGGTCATATGATAGTCAGATATTAGCATCAAGATCAATGGATCATACACTTAAATTATGGGATATACGAAAATTTAATAAATGTTTATCATCCTACGAAAATATTCCAAATCATTTTTCAATGACTAATATATCATTTTCACCAAATGATAAATTTTTAATAACTGGTGTATCAAAATTAAATAATTCAAATGATAATGATACGAATGGAAAATTAATAATTTTTGATCGTAATGATTTATCAAAACCTGTAAATGAAATTTTATTTAACGATAGTGTTATTCGAACAATGTGGCATCCAAAATTAAATCAAATATTTACAACAACAAATAATGGACTTATACGAATTTTTTATGATGAACAACGATCACCAATGGCTGGTGTTCGATTATGTCTTAATCGGAAAGAAAAAAAAGATAAATCAGCTAATGATTTTATTGCAAATATTAATCCAATTTTAACATCAGCTAGTTCGTCAGATTCTCTTAATGATACACGAGAAATATTTCCAGATAAAAAATCATTAGAAGAAGAAAAAAAATCTTCTTCATTTCATCAGCATATTGTTCAAACATTAGTTAAATCAAATTTTAGTGAAAAAGAAGATCCTAGAGTTGAATTATTAAAACATGCTGACGAAGCTGAACGTAATCCAAAATGGATTACACCAGCATATAAATATACACAACCTAAACCTATATTTCAGCAAGAAATTGACGAAGAAGATAACGATGATATTCTACCATTATTAAAAAAACAAAAAAAATAGTTTAAATATAATTCTTTGTTTTAGATAAATAAATAAATATTGTTCGTTCTTTTTCCGTTTTGAATTTATAAAAATGCATATTTCTGTAACGAAATATGGTGGTGATACGGAAGAATTATTAACAGTGGAAATAGCTTCGGATTTAACGATAAGAGATTTAAAACTTGTTATTGCATCGGAATCAGATTTTGGAATAGAAGCAAACCAAATGCATCTTTATCATGATGGTAAATCATTATATTTTTATCAAAAATATAATAGATTTATCTGAATTTTGTTTTCTTCTATCCTAGGTAAACTATTGAATGATGAAGATCAAACACTGGAACAAACGAATTTAAGAGATTATGATCTAGTTACTTGTCAGCGAATATTATGTATGTCACTTTTGAGTGATTTAGTTTCGAAAATAGAAATTAACGAACTTTTACTAATTGTAAGATCTTTGTTTTCTTCTTCTATACGACAGAGTAGAATAATCAGTTCTATATCTTAAACATCAAGTTCATTAACACTAGATAAAAATGTAGCATGTTTGATAGCGAAGAATGATCATAAATATCATCTCAAATTTTTATATAATTCTATTTCAAACATCATGCAAAAAAGAACAATATTATAAATATCGAAAATTTCTTATTAGTAACTGCATAACAAATTAACATTTATCTTCTATTTTCGAATATATCATAAACGTGAAAGAATAAGTTGAAATTTAACATTAGAAAGACTAAATATATAAAAAAATAGTTTAGTGATACTACCATTTTTTATGTAATATTTTCATAATCAGATTTGATTTACTTATATTGTTTCTCTATACGTTATAACATTAGAAAAACATGTTGACAACATCTGTGATATAAGTAGACAAACTACCATATATGCATATTCTGCAATTAATCATAATCTACAAGGATAAAATGGAATAGATTAGATTGTATATAAACTGTGAGATTTTCAGTATTATAATATAGAAATAAATTTTAATCGATGTTAAAAGCACTATGTATTATATCTGAACTTTGATGTTCGACGTAAGCTATAGATTATTTTTGAATGCGCTTGTACGAACTTATAAACTCTTATATTAATATATTCTTATGAAAAAAATTGTTGTCAACTATTTATTCATAAAAAATGTACGAATAAATTTTTTAGAAATATAACAACTAATGAAAACAAGATGAAAATGAAAGGTATGAATAATATTTAAGATTTCAAAAAAATATTAACTAAATACAAACTTATCTTCTTCTCTGTTATTCAAGAAAACTAAAATCATATATTAATAATCACAGAATATTTATCTATGAGATAGTTCATTGCATATTTATGATATATAAAGAGGAAAAACTACATGAAAGATAAACTGAATATATTTCTTGTGATAAATAAAATGTAAATCGAGTATTGTATGTCAAAATTTCTCATCTTGACTAGATTTCTAATAATATGTTAATGTCTGTAACTTAAATAACTTTTCTGAATATATATAAACTAATATCAACTTAACTATTATGAAAGTCCTTAACAAATAATTCAATTAGATAACTATACATATAAGTATTTGTTTTAGCCAATGATGATTTAAATCCAAGAGGAGCTGTTGGTGGATCTCGTCCAATGCTTGATCGTATGTTTTTTTTACTCTTGAGAAAAAATGAACTTAAATTTCTATGTTTAAGCACGTATTCCACAACAACTATTTAATGAATTGCGTTCTAATCCATCCGCACTTCAACGACTTCGTCAAAGTGATCCTCAATTAGCCGAAGCTGTTCAACGAAATGATATGAGTATGTTAGGAGCTTCTTAAAACTAAACAATACAATTTTATCGTTTTTTTCAGGAGCATTCATGCAAGTTCTAGTAAGTCGAATGACATCTCAACGAGGACAAAGACAACATCCATCCGAACTTGATTTACTTGATCCAAACATACAACGACGTATTGAAGAACATATCAAGTAAACAAATAATTTATTCTATTGGATAATTTTTTACTTTCTATTATATTTAGTATGGAAAATATGAATGATAATATGGAACATGCTTATGAGCATGCACCTGAATTTTTTGGAAATGTTGTTATGCTTTATATTGTAAATATTAAAATAATAATATTTAATATAAAATGATAAATATTATTATATTTCTAATTAGAATTGTAAAATTAATGGTCATTCAGTAAAAGCATTTGTTGATTCGGGTGCTCAAATGACAATTATGAGTAAAGCATGTGCTGAACGTTGTGGAATTATGCGTCTGGTTGATACACGTTTTCATGGTATTGCAAAAGGTGTTGGTACACAAAAAATTCTTGGGCGTATTCATTTAGGTTTGTTTTTCTCATATTTCAATATTAATCAATGAATGAATGTATTTTGTAGCACAATTAGAAGTTGAAAAACAATATTTTGCTACATCATTATCTGTATTAGAAGATCAATCAATGGATATGTTAATAGGACTTGATATGCTTCGACGTCATCGAGTAACATATAATAAATTTATTCTAATTTTTCGAAAAATCTTTCAATATTTAGTGTGTCATTGATTTGGAGAAAAATGTTCTTCGAATCGAAGATAGTGTTGAAACAAGTTTTCTACCAGAATCTGAATTACCAACACATGCAAGATTAACGGGTAATACACCTGATGTAGAAACCGATAATCGTTCCAATCCACTTTTACAATCAGGTACAGAATCTTGTAAATATAAGAAAAACTTTCTTTTATTCTATATATTATTATAGATGAACGTCGAAGAACTTCAAACAGAGGTAAATTATTATTTTTCTAATATTAGTACATTTTTTTCTTCGTCTTCTAGCTGATAATCAATATCAATCAACAACAGCTACACCATCACCTTTTCCAGAAAAATCTATTACAGAAATAACAAAGAAAGGATTTACACGAGAACAAGCAATAGAAGAATTAAAACTAGCAAATGGCGATATAATGAAAGCACTTGTTTCGCTTATGGCAAAATCTTTAGCAAAACCTAAACGACAAAATTAATCGATATTTTTTTTTAATATTACATATGTATACATGTGTTTTTATTTTCACGAACAATATCCACATTATTTTCTATGATATTTCTTTTTTAATCTTGAAATTATGAATGAATAAAATGAGTATGAAATCCACATATATAATATCTTGTGCCAAAAAAACACATAGAATAATCTTATCAATAGAGAGTTATTAGATACATTATCTATCTTTGGCTATTTAGAGAAAAGAATCACGTCTCAAGAAGAGAAAGGAAGTAAAAAATTGCCAAATAGAAACTTATTATTCTCTATGTAAACTGTAAATGAAGATGATCGAGTAAGCAGAACTCGATCAATGAAGCGAACGACAGCATTACATTTGCCAACTGATCGCACGTGTATAGGTTTATTTTGATTAAATTAGGGCGGATAAGGAAAATAAACATTAAGTATCTATTTTTTCTTTTTTTGCTTTCTTTCGTATTTGACTAATATTACTTGAAGCGACTAATTTAATTAGTATGTGAATTCTACCAAAAGAAGACATATCGTCACCGCCTGATGAAATTTGAAGACAAGGATAAGACTAACTTTCATTTGGGATAATCCATTAGTTTTTCCCATATATATTAAACGGTCAAACTGACTATGCCAAAAGTAAATTGTTAAGATGAAATTAACGATAGATATATAGAAAAGAAAATTATCAATAAATTATGTCATTTTCATTATATTATTATTGAATATAAAAGAAAAATAAAAACCAAATTAAGTATTTAACAATAGCACTCACTACTAAGATGATATAGTTATGTGAGTATGCTTGTATAAGGTAGAAAAATACATGAAAGAAAAAAACAGAATGAATCGAAATTTTGTTAATATAAATCCAATTATATAATCGATCAAGAATTAATTGTTTGATAAAATAAAATAAAAAAAAAGTTTAACGAAATGGTAATGGAATCGATAAAATTTACTGTCGTTCCCAAACATCTACTCCACATGCACAAGTTGTATAGGAAGTAGGCGTACTTGCACCAGCATCTTCAAATGCTAATGATGAGTTACGTTCATTATTATTATTATTATAAGATGTTCTTATATTAAGATTATTAGTAATTATTTTTGTAGAATGATTCGATTGTAATGATGATGAAGCTGATGTAGATGATGTTAAAAATACGCTTTTAGGATGATTTGAATCTGGACATTTTGAATTAGTAGGAATATTTGATAATATTGGCAATGAAGATAATGGTGGAGGAGAAAATGATTGAGTCGATGGTAATTCTTCATATGTAAATGGAGGAATTTTACGTTGTGGTGATATATTATGTACAGATGATGTTGCAGTATTATTACTCGAATGTTCGTCATTATGATTGGATATTGGTGGAGATGATAATCGAGAAATACCATTTACTGATGATGTTTGATAACAACATTTATGTGGTGTATTAATTATTGGTAGTACATCATAATCTTGTGTTAAATGTAATTTATGTTCATTACTATTTAACAATGGTTTTGGTTGTGAACGAAAATATCGACAAGCACCAAATATAATACCACAACATCCAATAAAAGTAATACATATAGCAGCAAGTAAAAGAATATGTCTAAAACATTTTAAAATAAATAATTGTTGATCAATTGTTGATAATGGACATTCATCTGTAAAACGATATACTATAATAATCATTACACCGGCTATGAAAAATAACCATAATGAATAAAATGCTAAACGACATGATGTTTGTTGTTTTTTAGCTAACTTTTCATTTCTTGATCTTAATCGATCATTTAATGTCCAATAATTATATAAATGATGTTGATGTTGAGCTTTTATATTTGATGAATGTAAAAGTGCTGTTGTTGGTTTATCAGATGATGAATCTTTAATAACAATTGAATCCACCGATATTGGTGGCGGTGGTATAGAAAAATTTGATTGCATGAACACAATGTATAACAATACAATTGATTGATCAAAAGTTGTCAATTGATGTTGATAACATGTGCTTTTTTTTATTGCTCAATCTAGTCAAAAAAGAAACAGAGAAAGAGAGAGAGAGAAGGAATGAGAGAAAGAACAAGATTTAATCCTATGGATATGAAGGACAACACGTTGTCATTGCAAATCAATCGAGGGTGTAAAAATGTGGATTCAATGTGTAGAAAGCACGCGTTACAGTCTTACAAGAAACAGAATATAGAGATGATGATGATGATGATGAAAAAGTACTATGTCTGCGAGATAAGCAAAGAAACTAAAAGAGAGAGAGTTAGAGCAACAAATGGAGCAGTCGCAAACTAACAGAAAATAAGAAAAGACATGTAGTATATAAATAACGATAAGAAGACGTAAACAATCAATAAAAGAAATGTCTGGCGACTGATGCAAATCTTATTACGTATACTAAATCTTTCAAATGATGAGAATCAAATTTCAGTTACATATTTTATGTATACAATTTAACGTTCTTCGGATGTTGTGTCCTACGCATATATTTATGCAAAAATATTCTTAATGCAACGAAGAGAAAGTTTCTTTCAATTTTCTATAAATAAAGATACAAACTGCACTGAAAAAGAAATTAGTTAAGTGTTAATAGTTAGTATGATATTAGCTAAAGTGTCAAATGGTTAATTACTTTTTTTTATTATTATTATTCATATCATTTGCATATAAAAACTAAAAATCATAAGTTTAATCATAAATAATTACTTTTAAATTAATGCTTTTGTTTATCATTGATATGCATGTATGTAAAAGTACATATCTTATTTCTTATGTCGTTTCTTCTTTTAATGTAAATCAAGAAAGTATCTGTTTCCAAACGGTATTTTCTTTTACATGTCTGTCATCTCAATAATAAACACATTTGAGGTTACAGATAAAGTACAGGTCATTTCAATTAATCATCCATTGACTAGAGAAAATTTGTCAAAGCTATCTTTTGTAATTGGTTTTCTTTTTCTTTAGCCTACATATATGACATAATCTTTCAACGAAAATATTATCTAGAAAGTAGTAGGATAAAGTGTATACGAATGAAGGACGCTTGAGTTATATATTATTTCCTATTCATTTTTTTTTGGTTTATGAAGCTTTTTATTTTTTTTATTACTTCGTACTTTGTGATCTTTGAACATCATTATTATCGGTATTCTTACTAGCAACAGTAATCATATATCTATAATACATACTTCAACAAAAAACAACGATAAATTGAATGTCACATCTAAATTCATTTATCATACTTAGTTTTTGTCTGTTTAGTTCTATTCTTTTATGTCTTTCCGCTATATATCACATTCGACAATCAGTACTAATGTCGTTTATGTTTAAAACGAAGATAAATACAAAATCGTCTCGTACTGTTATGGGACAATTAGTAGAAAGACAAAAAAAAAGAGAACATGTACAAGATACATTAACAATGTATGATAGTCATAGTAATAGCGATCAAGGTTTTATCATGTAATAAACAATTTCAATTTTATGGAAACTACATCGTTTTAAATCTCAAAAATACTTTATTTATCAAATATTTCTTGTAATTATGATTATTGAAGATGTATGGAAAGCTACGTTAGTATTAATAATTGATCCATAGATATATAGTTCTAAGAAAACACGTTTTGATTTCAAACGACCATATTGTTTTGTTAATTAAAATTGAAAATATTTTGTTATTGTCAAAATGATTTATTTTATTTATCAAATCTTCTCGAAACAATTCATTTCTATCTTCTTCTTCTAGAAATTTCAAGCTTAGATGCCTTTTATTTCATTAATTATCTAATAAAATTGAGTTCTATGATTTGAGAAAGTCTCGAGAGACAATATATAGATATAGGATTATATAAAGATTTATATGTGATCAGATAAAATTCAAATCACACTATCTTTTCTATCATATTAAATATCCTTAAATATATTCATATCTAATTTCTGTACTCAATCTAAGATCGAATCGACTTATTGACTATAACCAATCCATTCGTTGTCTCTTTGTCATCCTTACTCTCTCTCTCTCGCTCTCTTCACATCTTCTACTATATGAATTACTCAAAGCTTTCTCATTTCTTTTTCTTTTTTCGAGTGATCAATCATAGAACTTGTATCGAAGTAGATTAATGTTATTCTGAGATTCTCTAATAAATTACAAATTCAAAAATAAGTAATCATTATTCACTCTCTCTCTCAAATATTCATCCAATTATTCAGTATTTTCTATTTCGATTAAATAAAATAAAGTACTTGTATATTCACAGTATTTTTCTATTATAGACAATCTTTTAATTTAATCAGAAAGATCTACATATAAACTATGCACATGGAAAACGTTTGTATATATATAGATATATAGATATATATATATAAACATTTTTCGGTAGTGATCAGTATAACTTCTCTGTATACATATATATATATATTTATATATATATTGTATGCATAAAAAGGTTATACGAGCAATTATCGTAAGGCACTGTTATATGTCATATGTGTCTGCTACTCTTCTATCTTTTTTAGCACAAAAAAAACAACAACAAGAAAAAAAAGAAAAAAAAAGTACTATGTACAATAGTATAAAGAATGGAAAAAGAGAAAAAGAAAAGAAAAAAAAGTAAAAGGAGAAGATTTTAACTAAACTATCGTATTGATACGATAATATTAGTTGTTTGATCATTCGATGAACTTGATGGTTTACGATGATAGTGAGAAGATGGATGATGCTGTTGACAAAGTTGATGAGGATGATGATGATTATGAGTATTTTTAGCATTATTAGCTAATAATGATGATGCTGTTGCTCGTATTACATTATTTTCTTCGCTCGAACGTGAATATTTTGTAACGAGAAGACTTATTAAAAATAATACAGAACCCGTAACAAGAAATGTTATACCTAATACTTTCATGGCTTGTCGATTACATTTAAATGATGACGATATAGATGAAACGGATGAAGGTAATATTGGTAAATCATCATCGTTATCACTATCATTATTTGATATCGTCAATGTATTACAACCATTAAAATGAATTATATAAATAAGTTGACATGCACCAATAATAATAAATAAAATTGAAAATATAAGCATGACAATACCACATGGAAAACTACATTGGACAAAACGATAACAATAACCACGAACAATTTCAACGCGACGTCGTTTTACAGTATATGGGCTAAAAGCGCCTACCATTGAATGCATTATTAATATTATGTGTGATGTTCTATTGCGTTGTATGAGTAATTTAAAGATAAAATAAATGAAAGTCTATAATAGAAGAAAAGAAATTAATGTTAATGAGAATTATTCTTTGAAGTAGTCAATAGTCAGATTATTGCATTTACTTTATCTAGAAAGAAGAAAAAAAAAGAATATACAAATTAATTCTTTTCACAAAAATATTCTAAAGATTTCTTATATATATATATGTACGAAAATAAAAATAATTAATTAAATTCATTAGTTGATCACAATCTTAATTGAGAAGTAAAAATTTCTCAGTGTATATATATATATATAACATAACAGTATGTGTATAGATCTGAAGGAATGTAATCATAAATCATAAATGCCTATCTTCTTCTCGTTTACTTAACACAAATATATGGACAGTAATATAGTATTTTTTGTGTATAAAGATATATCATTATTGTCATTAACTAAACAGTAAAGTCATTTGAGATAGAAACAAGAATTGTTTTAAACTATACAATGTAATAACAAGTGCGAACTATATTTATTCTATTATATATGTGTATATACTTTTGAAGAGATAACTACTAATGTCCACGTTGTAGTAGTAAGAAAAAGCTAACATCACTAATATAGAAGAAAAAACAGTAGCAATAGATAAATGCTTACTATAATTGTGTTGGGTTTGATTAGCTCCTGTTCGACGTGTTGATGAAAGAGACAAAAAGACGACCAGAGAAAAAAACAACGCGCTATGATGACGATCGGAAACATTTGTATTATCCGGTAGAATGATAGAATGCCTATAGGTACTACAGAAAAAAAAATAGAACGAAATAAGTATATATCAATCTGATAAGAAGAGGAGGACAGCCAAAAGCGGAAAGAAAATCATTGATAAGTAAAACTATTCTAATCTTTTTGATGGACAACAAGACTATGGTCGCGCTAAAAGAAAATAGCATCACAATCGTGTTTATGACCTAAATGATTGACATATGTGTCGAGTCTTTATCAGCTTATGTGTCTGTCTTTGTAAATAGTAGCACTAATCACCTAACTATTCCCTTCTCAATATGCCAAAATCGAAGTCTATTTTTTTTTTCTTATTCTATATATTTCTTTCTTCTATTTTTGATTAATATCAAGGCGAACAGAACGCAACCATGCTCAATATATAGTAACAAACAAATGAACAACTAAGTCTAATTTACCAATACGATGTGACAATAAATTAGCTTACAGCATAAAATAATAACAAGTTCCTCATCTCTATTGATGACGATGATGTAGTACTTTCTTGCTCTTTTTTTTATAGAATATTTCTTTTTGAAAAAAAAAAGAAGAAAAAAAAATGAGAATAACGACTACAAACGATGACGAAAAAGAAATCGACTGCAAGACAGAAGAATAACGGAAAATCCAACAACGTCTCTTTCTCTTGTGTTACAGACATACAAACAAACAGACAGACAGACAGAAACGAGTAAGGAAAAACTCCATCTTAGAATATGAAGAGGCATTTACGCATGCTTCAAGGCTATGAACGATAAAGAATATAGATGGAAGAAAGACGATGAATACTTCTACTCATTAATTTAACACGATCAGCAGTTTGATCGACTACTACAATTGATGTTATTCAATTGTACTAGGCTTTTCTATGTTATCAGAGCAATCAACCATAAGCAATTCAATCATGTACAAATTTGTTCGCTTTTATTCTCAGAAGAATGCGCATTGATGTCTTCCGAGTAATTCTATATATATATGTATAAAAATAGAGTACTATGTAGATTTTTCGTTGTATTACCTGTTGTGCCAAAATACATCTCTAGTCGATATTGAGATGAAGATTAGCTAGAGTATCGTCCAAATGTTAACTAAATAGAGACAGCCGTTGGCGCGTTGTCTGTTGTTATCATCAATGTACAATTTATACAGCATGCGGCTGTTTATGTGCTCTTTTTTGTCATATACAGTAGCCTAGTATCACCAATATAGTACATCTACTCTTTACTACACACATACACAAGTCAAATGATAGATTAATACGACAAATTAGGTGTTGATAAATTAAACAAGAAAAAATTCTAATAAAGAATTACAACCTATTTTCGTCACCATCTATCTATCTATATATGAATATACAAATATTAGTTTGTTTAATGAGGTCATTAAAGATTGTTTTTAGTAAGCAAACAAAAAATAAAGACGAAATAGCAATCAACTGAATTTTTCATATAAAGTATTTTCCAACGATATAACTTCTATAATAAAAAGTTAATTTTATAAATTTCTAAGACAATAAAAGTTTTGCATCGATAAATATATAATTACTAGCAAAAAAAACCTAATCAATCATTTCCGATAGAAAAAACGTGACAAAAGCAAACAGGTTGACATTTTATAATTATAAAAATAGTGTTATAACGTGCATCTAGGCATTATTTGTTTCTCTCTTGTCAAGAAGAATTCCTTTATCGTTTGTTAAAACGGCCTTAATGGAACAAATTATATCTTTTTGAAAATAAAGGAAACCCTAAACCATTTTAATTCTCTTCCGTATTAAACGTTAGCTTTGATGTTTTATTTAGACAAAAATAAATAAGAGTCATCCGGTTTGAAATAACAAAAAAAATGAATTCATGCCATTTTTCATATACTTCTATCTAAATTATATTTCCTAATATCTACTTGATATTTAATTTTAAATTCATTAGAAATGACATGTTTCAGGTATATCTACATATAAATATTTATATGACTGGAAACTAGCACACACACACCAAAGAATCAGACTGCAATGTTGTGTTCTATACTAAACAAAATACTTACGACTATATTATTTTTGCAAACATTTTAACATTAATTTCCAACTGCTAAAATATAATATTTCATAGAAAAAAATATGCAAAAGTGTAGTTTTAAGTGTTATTTTCTTAATATAATGAAAGGATAGAAACATATTTTATCTTATATTTGATATATATATATATAGTTTTTTTCTATGACACGATGCATTTTAGCACTTAAAACATGACAATATAAAATCTCGAAGGACTTTTAGTTTTGTTAAAAATTATGATCTCTGCAATGAACGTATTAAATTGCATACAATTAGATTTATATATATATAGAAAAAGCAATTTATCATTTAAGGAACCTTCTGCATAAGATAAGAAAAATCAAATCAAGATAATGATCAACATATGCAATGATGATCATGACTATGATAATGTTTATTCTATAACCCATATTTTTCTTTCTTGATTATAACGCTCAATATACATTCGACAGGAAATTACATACACAAACGTTGTTTATACATATACCAGTCAAAAATAATACTTTCCTATATAAATTAACTTACTCATAGTATTAAACTAAATTTTTATTTAATAAATTTTGTTGACATCTGGAAGAAAAATAATTTTCAGAAATATCTCCGAAAAGAAATATTTATCGAATGAATTGTTTACCAACTATGGAAATAGAATAATATAGAAATCTATTTATTATTCTTCTATCAAAAATAGAGGAAACGGTTTTTTGTAATCTCGTCACGAATTATCTGGAAAAAAAACACAATATTCTCGTCTATGAACTTAAAACAATATTATTCAAATATCTAAGTCATCAGTTGTCATAAAAAAATAAAACTTTTGTTTATTTCATTTATAATTAAAATCTCTCTTATCAATGTTTATATTTTAAACTTATTTATTTTTTTATTATACATTGATTCATACATCTATCATGACATTAACATGCAGTAATTAGTGCACTTATGCTTGTATAAATAAACATGTCTTAGTAAAATAATTTATATATTTTTATAACATTTTAATTCATTTAATAGGAAACTTCTATTTATGGTTTTATGCATGACGTATATTAAAATAGTTCGTTTACGCGTAATAATATTAAGATATATAGTAAAAGAGAATGTTTTAATTTTATTAATATTCTTAATATATGCCATACTTGTTATTAGACACGTTCATATAAAAATCTCTTCATTTTTTCTTCTTCTATACTACTCAAATGTTGTTCTATGTTATTAATTGATTAGATGATTTCTTTGATCAGTTATGTGCTCTTTTGCATTTTATCGATGGATCTTTTTTTTTTATAAGAAATTAATATAGATCTTATCATTAAATTAAACGTCACTGATAACTCAAGTCTCGATTTCTATACTATTCAAGAAACAGTGTAAATTAATAGTTTGACTGTATAAACATTGCGAGTCTATTCAAGAATATTCTTGACTATAAATAACAGCGTGAACTCTTCCTGCTATTATTGGCAGTAAATGTCAAATAAATAAATACTATCATATTTTTCTAAATCTAATTTATACTTTTTTTTTGTTACTTTATTTGGCATTGTTCAAGAGATAAAATCGATCATGATTTATTTTATAATAATACATAATCAAATAAATTCTTAACTTAAAAAAAAAAAGAATTCAAAATAGAAACCAATTTATTGTACAAATAATTCTTTCTTATCTAATTCATAATTCATGTTTATTGTTTCGCTCCAATGCCTTCATAGATCATTGACATATAAAATAACTCTATTCATTTAAAATGTAAATTACTTTTTTATTCCTTTCATAGATATACATATATAATAATGAATTCTATTTATTTATTCATTCAAGTATATAGACAAAATTATCTAATATATATATATATTTAATCAGATTCTTTTTTGAGTCTTTTATTTCAAATTAATTCGATTGTTCATAAATTATATTTGATAATAAATATGTTTGAGTAAATGTTGTTAGTATTAAAACAAAATATTATTTTTGTTAGCATCATTAACAACATTTTCTTATATATATATGTAGACATGCGAACTCATATAAAACTATTTAATTCTGAATGATATCTGTAAAAATGACAAAGACATAAGAATGATGAAATTATGAGTACTTAACAGAAGAATTTATTAATAAGAAAAGAACAACAGAAGAAGATCTTTTCGCAATAAAAGAGACTAATATATATTACATCGATCATTTTAGTAACAATTGACGAAAAGAGTAAAGAAACGAAGTAGCAGAATATATATATTTGTATGACACAGTTCAAGGTTTATTGCAGAAACAAGGTCAACGATTACATATATTTAATTGAAAAAATATACAACTCGTGAAAATAAAAGGCAGATCTCGATAGTCCCTAATTACAATCTATATAGATGGACAGAGGGCGACAAAAAAAAGTAGGCTAAAGAAAAAAAAAAGTAATTATTCAGTGTGTGTGAACCTCAACATACAATATATTCACGTCCATCATACATACTATTTTTTCTCTCATGCTAATCTTTTCCGTAGCACTCAGACAGAAGTAACATTGTATGTTAGTAAAAGAAGGAGGAGGAAAAGCTCTTGCATCTTATTCATCATCTTCTTTTTCTTGCTTTCTTTTGCTTGTTCCTTCTTTATTTTACTTTTCCTTCTTTTTCTCTTTTATGTTCTTAAGAAAAACTCAACATATACAGGTCATATTGAACTTCATATTGATGTGATCTATCCTTATGTTTGTATTTATATATAAATATATGTATGTATGTGCACTGATTAAGAAAATGACTAGTAGTAGTGACATTCATCTACAAAACTAATTTGGATCGCCATCGTCGTTCAACTCAATAATTGTTCCATTCCGTCGCCATCATCTTGCAAGGATTGCGTGTGTCCGGTCGTTTCTCATTATGTGAAAAAGAAAGAGAAAGAGAGAGAGAAAAAAAAGAGAACGACTGCCGCTACTAGTCTATGCAAAAAGAAACATAGAGAAGGCTACAGGACTTTTATTAGTATTGATATACCCTGCAACATAACAACCAATCTGCTACAACTTCTGTTTCTCCAACTGGTCAATCATCCCATCGGCAAGAAAAGAGGCAAAAGAGAAGAAAAAAAAGAATAGGGGCAATGCCGATAAAAGACTTGCATCTAGTTGCCGCAATACATTCTTTTATTTTGTCTATAATGATAATGATACACTATAATTGCCTGTCGTCTACAATGCAGGGATGACCGGATGGTGAATAGTTATGTATAAAAATCACCAAGACGCGTCAATCTGATCATTGGCCTTGCATCTCTATTTAAAACTTTATGAAAGATTATATTAATATCAACTAAAAATGTCAATAATACAGTAAGTAGCACCTGTGTCTTGTAGGTTATATCCAATGTCTCGAATATTTTTTTTTCCTCCCTGAAGAAGAACGAGATAAGGCACATATTATTGTGAATGGTATGTATGATGTAATCTTGACGATGGAATAGCTATCAAGTCATATCAAGCTATGCTATGTTAAGCCTGTCACACTTGATCGATTGATTATTGTCTGCTGTCGCCTCAATAAAAAAAAAAGGGAAAAAGAAATCTTTAAATCCTTCTTTTTCCCTTGTCTATGATGCAATCAACTGTCACTTTTTACTAAAGATTACATGAGAACACTAGAAGATTAGCATGCAGCTTAGTTATCTGTAGTCGTTTCCTAATGTTTAGACATGAACAAATGTACATATCTTTTTCTAATAATGATCAATCATTTATTTATTTATTTCCTATTTAATCAAAGATTTCTTCTTCTTCTAGTAATCAATGATTGTTATTCGATTCATTAATTTTTTGATTAATTAATTATTTGTATATGGATATACTCTGTTTAATACGTCGTTTACCTGAAATAGTTGCATACAATAAATTTGATGATGATTTATTTGATCGTTTGAATTATTCACATACAGTAGCAATATTAATTGTATTCGCTATTATTGTTACTAATCGACAATTCAGTGATAATCAAATTAAATGCTGGGTTTGTATTGTGTTTTTCTTTCAGTACAAAAAAAAATTAATATTTTTTGTTCTTTTTAAAGGTTCCTGCTCAATTTACTGGTGGCTATGAACAATATGTTAATCAAATATGTTTTATAACAAATACATATTCATTTGATATGCATGAAACTTTACCAGATGATTATTCACAACGTCATGATCATGAACTTAAATATTATCAATGGACACCATTTATTCTTCTATTAATGGCTATTCTATTTTATATTCCACATAAATTTTGGCGTGGTTTAAGTCTTCGTAGTGGTGTAGATTTAACAGATTTAATCGAAGCAGCACAAACATATCGTTCATCAAATATACGACATGATGATAAAATAAAATTACTTGCATATTTAACAAATTGGATAGATGGTTATTGTTCCAATACATATCGTTTAACGACACTTTATTCAAGAAAATCTCCGCGAACACGAATAGCTAAATTAATTCGTATTGTACGTCGTTTTATTTTTCCTATGGGTAGATATACTGGCAATTATTTAATAAGAAGTTATTTACTCATTAAATTTCTTTATTTATTTAATTCAATTGGACAAATTTTCTTATTAAATGTATTATTAGGAAGAAATTATTGGTTTTATGGTATTGAACTTATCTATCGATATTGGACACAAAATATTGGTCTACTAACTGCAGGAAATGAATATTTTCCTAAAGTGGTATGTTTTAATTAATATTTTATAAAAGAATAAATATTTATGTTCCATGATATTTTAAACAAAGAAGATAGATAAGCTTTAAAAGAAAGTTTTCTTTTTTTTTTGGTAAAAGTCATATATCTATGCTATTATGTTCTATAATAAGAAGGGAAATATGATTATCTGATGCACGAAGGTTTAAAAAAAAATTAGTTTTTATGTACGCTTTACTAAGCAGAACAATACAATAAAGGAAAGGTTAATTGAGGAAAAGGCTTTTGAATCGAACAACGGAAAAGATGTCAATTCTAAGCATGCTTCAATGCATAGAATTATTTCATCTCTAAACTAATTTCTTTTTTTTCCTTCTCTATTCAGGTTTTATGTGATTTTACTATTCGTGAACCAAATCATCCAAAAGAATCTCATCGTTATACAGTTCAATGTGTATTACCATTTAATTTATTTAATCAACAAATATTTACATATCTATATTTTTGGTTAGCAATACTTTCTTGTTTTAATCTTGTATCTATTTTCATTTGGTGTTATCGTTTGAAATCCTCTCGTAATTTTCATTATCTTGAACGACGTCTTAAGTTTCATTTTTTACTAAATGAAAATCCTAAAATAACAGATGATTTAAAACGTCAATTTGTTTATAAATATTTACAAGGTGATGGAACATTTATGTTACATTTAGTTACATCGAATGTTAGTGATTATGTTTGTAGAAAAATTTTATTAGAACTTTACAATGTATTTCAAGACTCACTAGATAAACATACAATTGGTCGTGAACCTTTATTTAAACCAATATCAATGGAGAAATTTGATGATGATGATAATACGAGAGAAGATGAAAATAAAAAACAAAATGATGACAATGAAAATGATGAAAATACAAATCAAACAATTGTAAGTGATATTCCACCAATACCTAATCCTCGACATGGAAAAGTATTTATTGAATCAAATACAAATTCGAAATTACAATTAGATCAAACAGATAGTGAACCAACGGAATCAAAACAAACTGATTCTTCTTCTATTTTGTTGAATACTACTAATGGACAAATACGTTTACGTAGTTCCATAACACCACTATTAAAAGATATTCGTCGCACATCGGAAATACAACCTGATTCTACAGCGACAACACCTCGTTATAAAAATGTAGACTTTCATCTAGAGTCAGATACAACACTATTATCAACATTATCTTCTCCTTCGGTACCATCTCATTCTCCTCCTCTTCCTCCTCCTCCTCCGCCACCTCCATTTCCTGTTCTATTTCAATCGAGTATAAAAGGTCCATCACCTTATGCAACTACATATTTAACAGCTAGAAAAAGAAGTGAACATGAATTACCTTATATTGATGATAGTATTTCAAGTGGTTCTACGTCGACTCGATTAACTAGTATGAATGTTGTTCGAGAACCAGACAAACCAAAAACACTACTCAAACCATCTAATGTTTTCTTTCGACGAAGTCATGATGTATAATTTTTTGTTTGTTTGTTCTTTTTAATTTTTCAGCAATTTTGTTGTATGTATACAGTGATAATTGTTGTTGTTTACTATTTTTTTATGAAACTAAGCCAGATAAATCAGGTAGACGACATGGTTTAACATTGTCTATCATTTATTTCTTTGCTTTTGAAATACATGATTTCATACATACATACATGCATATATATATATATATAATCATATCTATCAAAGATAATCTAATTATGCATTATTTTATATTATTAATGCAGATTATAGGCAATATAGAATTGTTTTGATTTGATCAAATACTTGACAATAATATATTTTTGAGATTAGTTATTAATCATAAAAAATCGAAAAGTTTTTTCGTTACAAATGAATTCTAACAACAAATGAGAAACTGCTGATATTATGATCTTTTTCGTATCATTATTATCCCGCACATAGAAAAAACAGAAATTTGCGCAACATATATATGTACAATCTCTATCTGTATGATTTGATTCAATTACATATGAAGTGGCTATGTCAAGTATCATTTAGACTCAACTACGACTGACTTTTATCAATATTCTTCAATTAGATATAGTTCAAGAGAGAACAATTAATCAAATTATTATTGATCTTTCTGATGATGAACGCCATAGTTGTCTGTATAGTTACGACAACATTTTCATACTAGTTTATGATTGTCATTTCGTAATCTTCTTACAAACTGGTAGTTATTAAAATGTAAGAAACTTTGAAACGATTTAAGAGGAAATATTTTTCTAAGAATAAAAAAAATCATGCTGATAGTATCACATTTTATTTTTTAATTTGATTATGACTCATTGCCACTATGTCTTTTATACAATAAGTATCTAATGTCTTTGATAATTTGCTAATTTTTCTATTCAAGTTCGTCAACGATATTAATTATGTGAACTCTGATGGGATAATGTTATTGTTTGTTACAATTAATATTTATTAACCTTTATTTTTTTTCAGAATATTGTTAATGCCAAATAAGATACTAAGAAACTCGTTTCGGAATAGTATGCTCATTTACTATTAGCGAACTGTATCGTCTAGATACATATATTATAGTAATATGATATCCGATCATGGATATTATTTTTAGCATTAGGAATAAATTGTACACAACAAATGGGCATTATAAAAAGAGAAAATAACCTATTTAATTGTATATTAAATATACTAACTATTTTTTCTCAACTGATACTTTTGAATCACACTCACCTTTTTCTTCGCCGAAAAGGTAAGTTCATCAGGGCCGAAGAGTCATTTTTATCCTTTTTTAATAAATATCTCTCTCAAACATCATGTTATACAGCTGAAAATTTCAACCAATTTGGATGCATCTGGATTGAAATCGGTTTTCACAGAAGGGGAGATATTTATCTGTATCAAAACATAGTAGGTAAATCATTTAATGCACTCAATGAAATATGGAATGATTATATATATTTAATAATGAAAATATGGTTTGTAAAATCAAACAGACAACTATTTATATATGATCGAAATCTTCCAGGAATAAAAATAAAAAAGTAACTGTAACAATAGGTTAATAAAAGTTGTTATAATTCATTATTTAATTTTTTAACCATGTTTTTACTATAATAAAACCACTTGCTGCATTATTTTCACATATTGTTTCATTTGTATCCAACATTCTAATCCAATTCAATACTAAATCGGCAGTTTGTTTTATTGGTAATATAACTTCCACAAAACGTAAATATTTAAATCTTTGTAAAACATATTTTACTTCTTCACACTCATCAGAATTCCGTAAGTGTTGATTTAATTTATTAGTAATTGTCATATAAAATTCTTTAACATTTGGAAAATATTCAGATAAATGAATCAAATTAATTACACTACACAAAGAAGTAGTCAATTTTAATCGAGTAATCGATAATATCGGCTTCATGCGAGTATTTTTGCTTATGATTGTATCATCTAAATTCGGTAGTGTAAGTGATATTACTTTAGGTAAATAATTAAGTAATTCACAGCATGAAGAAAATGAATAATTAGAAAGTGATAGAGAACGTAAATGATTTGAACATGTACTTATACTGGAAGGTAAAAGAAGTTGTCCATTAATTTTGAGATAAGTTAAATAAGGAAATCTAGTAAATAGTTTTGTTATTAATAACTTTGACGAATAATAATAATCAATACTGGAATCTAAAGAAAGATTTTTAATATATAAATATGATGGAGGAGTTGTCGCTGTAATTATTTGTTCAATCATATCAGTTGTTGTCGATAAAGAAGAATCTGTAATAGGTAATGTATAAATTGATACATGTTGAGAAGTTATAGAAAAACATTGAATTGTAATATTCTTTTGTAACCAATATGAACTAGAATATGTTGTTGCCAGTAAAGAATTAAGACTCACATCTAAAGTAAAATTATTCAAGTTTTTATTTATTAAACTAGAAAAGTTTTTATTGTCAATTTTTATGAATCTTCACCGTTCTATGATACGGGTGTGGGTACATCTAATCATACTGCAACCTACATCCTAATATTTAAAAATGTAAATAATTTGTCTTACCATTAGTTTTATCCACTTGAAACATAGCTGAGTTCGACACTCGTCTGGAAAGAGGCGACGGAAGTCCATTAATTTCAATATATAATTCAAAATGTATCGAACGATTATCATTTCGTTGTAAAGCTTGTTCCCATAATGACCCATTAGCATATGGAAAATATTTATTTTTATAAATATCTTTTGTTATATCAAATTGAGGATCGAACTGGAATGTAATATCAAGTGTAAATTTAACATGTACTAATTGATAAATATTTTGAATTATTTTCATTATTATTTCACTTGATATAACATTATCGTGTGAAGTTAATTCTTTTTCTTTAATAGAAAGATTAAATTTCGTTAAAGAAGGTATTTTCCACCAAAGTTGTTCATATGAATATGTATCATTATTAGAAAGAGAATTACAACCAATTGTAATATTTAACTGTTCAATATTTGAAAAATTATCAAATATAATTAATAAATCATTGAGACATTTAACAGATATTGTTAAATGACGAATATTTAAACATTTATGATTGATTGATTGAAGACTAAATCGAGTTTGATTTAAATTTAATATTAAACTTTGGAATGAATTTGATACCGAAAATAATTTTCCACATAAAAATTCATCAAATTGTACTGGTAATGTTGATATACGGTTATCTGCAATATCAATATTCAATTGACTTAAACAATTCATTGTATTAAAACGCCATGATAGATTTTCTAATGTTTCAATATCAATTTGATTAAAAACAAGTTCACGAAGTAATGGAAATTGCCGATCGATTTTATCAAATTTTTGTTCGAAAATTTTTCCTGTATTTAACATTCCACAATTATTTATATATAAATAATGAACATTTGGTGATAAATGTGGTAAATAATCGTTCATTAAATGATAAAAATCTTTATAAGATAAATGTGATAGAAAAATTCTTTCACGATATGAAATTATAGTTTTATTTAAACGTTTATTTAAATTTAATAAACTATCAAGAATATTAACTTGAGATAGATAACTACAAATTGATAATAAAATTTCATCGGGTAAATCTTCAAAACAACATGGATTAAATGGATAATTATGAATTGTAGTAGACATTGTTGATCCAAAAACAATAATTAATATAAAATATATAATATCGATTAAATCTTTATATTATTCTCAACTCGGAAATTCCTTAAATTTTACTACGAGTTCTCTTCCACTTTTGACATTTGTAATACAAACATCCAACAAACTTTTGCATCGATAGATGCCACTCACTAGCTGAATAATGATAATATTTCATTACCATAAAGTCATTTATTTTGTTCATTGAACTCTTTTGTTTTTATTTAAAATTTGTGTTCATTTTTGTCATTTACAATATTTATAAGATAATCTATCAAGCATGAAATGGTACTACATTCTATTTTTTGTATCAAAATGAATACATATTATTTAATTCGACTTTTATGAGAAAACTATACACGAACGAAAATATATAATTTGATCATTTCTTATTTTCGTTCTTTGATTTTAATAATTCTTGTTCACTTTTGATTCTTTTTGGAGATAGTTGTTTCATTTCATTTTTCGATGATACTGTACTATTATATTGTAATTGATACATTTGATAGAATAGTTTTGATGCTTCACTCAATATCAATTCATCATTATTTCGTTGTAAAATTTCATTAATAATAAAACGAAGTTCATCCCATGTTATTCGATCATGATTATTATTTTTAGCATGAAGATAAAAATATTCTTCAAATAATTTTTTTATTGCATGTTCATCATTACTTTTAAGAATATTATTAATAAATGAACGATTTTTATGTGAATTTGTAATCAGTTTTTCTTTTTCATTCTCGAATATTTGTTCATTACTAGAAATATTTTCATTCGATTTCTTTAACATAAATTATTTTATGATTTTGTAAGAAAATAGGAAATAAACGGAAACTATTCTGCGCCTTTTTCTTCTGTTTAATTTATTAGCTTAAATTCTTTGTTGGAAATTTTTTAACAAGTTTGAGTTTGGTGTATGTCTAGTTATATCTTAAGAATCTTTCGAATGATTATAAATATTTCTCTGTATCATTGAAATCATAATATACATTTTTATTTTGATAAACTATTGTCAAAAGTAACATTTATTTATTTATAATTGTAGAGATAGAAAAATAAGAGATCACATATCAAAAGAATAGAAGATAAATCATTGTCGTTATCGGACTTAAGAGATTTGTTGATTAGAAAAATAGTGCAGAGTTTTGACTAGAGGTAAAAAAATAAGGAAGAAAGTTGAATCTGACATGATATCTGAGTGAGAAAAAGAAATGTATACAATATATGAAAATATTCTTCAGTTTAATTTTAATAAGGATCAATTGTATCAATTTGTTCGAGTAATTTAGGCATGATAGGTTCTTGTCTAAATATATGATAAAATAAATATGAAATAATACGCATTAAAAGTTCTTACTGTGCAAGAGGTACAGACATAATAGGAGAAATAAATTTAGTATCATCATCAAGCTTGTCAAATTGAATATTATTGATCTGTTGTTGAATGGGTATGACATTTTCTTTTTCGAAATAATCTTCTTCTTCCATTTTATCATCCATATTAACTGCAGCTACATTTGTTTCTACAGTTGTTTTTCGTCGAGAACGATTCATAAAACTTTCTGAATCCATTTTACATTCTTGTTCAAGTGTAAGAAATGATTCATCCTCATCTGCTATTGTTGTTGTTGTTGTTGTTATTGGCATTGAAACTGGTTCACTAAGTAAAAGACATTCAAGTCCTTTTAACATTCCGTCATCAGTAGCTGTTGATAATGGTGCTAAGACTGATTTTTGACAACGAATAATTGTTGTATCATTATTCATAGAATCACTATTTGAATCATCAGCACTTATTGTTGCAATTGTATTACAACAAGTAACAAATGAATTTGGTGTTTGTTTACTCATTTGATCACGAAATGTTTCTCTTGCTTGTTGTCCACAATCAACTGATAGATAAAATTTTGTTGCAATATGATCAAATGGTGTTTTTTGTTCTTGCTGATCATTATAACAACGATTTATATGTTTAGGTAAATGTTCTAAATGATCTAATGTTTTATGTAATTGTTCAGTTCGTTCATTTGTTGTATGCATTTGTTCAAGTGCTAATTTTAATTTTGCAAAATTTTCATCAGATAATGAATGAGAAGCAAGACGTTTTTCAAGACATATATTTGCTGCTTGCATAAATTCACTAAGAGTAATATTTGCAGAAGTAGATGATGATGATGGTGTTTCACTAAATTTTGGATATAGACGACTTATTCGACTTGAAACTACAAAAAAATTAAATTATTCTAATTAATTTATATTTTTTAATAGAATAATTTACTATTTTCTTGTTTATTAACAATATCATGTATCTGTTGACATGTATTTGGTATTAAACCAATATCAACACCCATTGATGGTAATGATGTTGATAAACCATGTTTAGTAAACCATTCTAATTTATTATAAATATCTGAATTTATTTTTGTATGAAGATCCCGAACTAAGTTTGAAAAAAATTCAAATTGATTTTCATCAATAATTTGTGATTGATCAAATGAACCTAAAAAGATATAAAGATTCATTCAAGAGCGTATGTAGAAAAGATATTCTTTCTTACCATCAATAATTTCTGTTTTTTGTCTAATTTTTTCTAAATAATCAATCAGTTTATAGATACGTTCATCTAATTCATTTTTAGTTTTCTCATGTTCAATACGTTCACGTTTTTCATTTGCTATTTTACTAAAAAACATCATATAATGTCGTTGCGTATCAGCTTTAATCATACGAATTTGTCGTTTCGAACGTTCTTTTGTTAAATCCATATTTTGAAAATTTTCATTTGTTAAAAAACGTTCTTGAATATCGAATGGTTCTAAACGTCGTATTAAACATAATTGAGATAAATAAAATAAACAAATAAAATAACGTGGTGAACATGATGGAACAGGAATTAATTGTGGCCATGGATATTGTTGATAATTATCAGACTAAAATAACAATATTTCTTTTATTATTTATTGAATAATATTTTCTAACCAAGGTTTTAAAATGTTGTTTAACAATTCGATTAAATTCTTGTTGTTTATCAATAGCCATTGGTGGAAAACAATGTGTTGTATCACGTAAATATTGAGCTTGTTGTATATCATTTAAATACGTTAAGAGAAGAAAATGTGTAGTAAGACGAATAAGTTCAGTTGAATTTGATAATTCATCAATTGATATCTGTTGTTGTTGTTGTCCAGTACGATAACGACTAAATATTGATGAACATTCAATACCAAGTAAAAGTAAATTGGAATAAAGAAAACGTATTGTTAAAGAATTTTCATCAAGACCATATGTGTCCCAAATAGCACCATTATTTGATGGCAAAATTTGTGTAGCTGGTGAACGACGTGGTGATGCTTTCGGTGTACTAAATCGAACAAGACCACGTTGATGAGATGTTGGAGTTTGTTGAGGACGTACACGATTACGATTTGGTGTTGGTATAGGTGGACGTTGCATTTTATTTTTCTATACTATTCTATGAGCAGTAATAGAGATGACTGAGAATTGTGAATGGATAATGAACAAGAAATATTTCCATAAAATACCCATACGGATGCAATCATAATGATTGGCTACTTCGAATAAATAATCATAATTGTTCTTTAAGAACATTTTTATTTTTTTGATATTTGTTTTTTTGTATCGGTAAAGAAAAAAACACAATTTGATTCTGTACTGACGATGGAACACGGGCAAATGCTTGCTTCAACACAAATTGATTCTGGATGCTCAGAAAATAAGTACGTGTTGATTGAATATATAATTATACTAATTTATTGATTATTTGATAAGAAATGAATATTCAGTTTTCAAGTATTATATATATACTTAAACTATTTATAAAATAGTAAAAAGAATCAATTATATTATTTAGTATAATATATGTTCACGGTTATGCCATTTATTTCGGAGTTAAATATATCTATAATTTTTTTTAATTATTAACATGGTGATTGTTTTTAAATATATTTATTTACAGTGCACTTTTACCAGCATCTTTATCTTGTAAGTTTTCTCATAGTTAAACAATATATTTATATGGTGGCTTCTGTATTTATGTCTTTCTTTTATATATAATTTTTGTTTTGATTTTTGTTACTGCATGATTAGTGGTTTTGTTTGACAATAGTTTTGAATAACAAATAAAAAAGAATGAAATTCAAATAAAAATTTTTATTGTTTTATTTATTGTAGCAACTTTACATCGGAGAAGTGTCGATCGTGTAGGCAGTGAAAGCAATGCAGGAAAACGTTTGATAATTATTTATTTTAATTTATTTAAAAATTTCGATGTTTTGCTTTTGAATAGCTATTCCTCCGATGTTTTCTATGGAAGAAATGACAGCTCGTCGTCGTGGTAAACGAGTTGAAGATGCAAAATTACCAAAACAAGTTCGGTATGAATAGAAAATAAGAATAATTTGTCTTAATAATCCTATTATTTTTAAAGGAATTTTTATAAGAAACAGGATGATCTTATTTCAACATTTGAACGTGTATATCGACTTCATTCAACTAAGGATAGTGATAACGAAGAAGAAGATGATGAAGAAACTAGTGAAACAAAAACTAAGACTACCAAAGTGGATCCAAAAAAAAGGAAAAAACGTATTAGTCTTTATACAAAATTATCATTATTGGTTAATATTGTAAGTATTAATATAAAGATCCTTTTTTACTTGATTAATAAAAGTAGAAAATCATTTATGAATTTGTTTTTTTTCGTCAATAACTATTTTGTACTTTAGAAAATGTCACTATTGATTAGGTAAAGTTATATTATAAATAGTAAAGGGATTAATATTTAATCAATTCTACATAACATTAACATATTTAAAAAAAATTAAATTAGATAGCATGAAGAACTTTGTCTATTTTCATACGGGTTTGAAAATTGAATATTTCAAGTTATCTAAAGGAAATAGAAAAATCTAAAATAAATTCATAGAACTAATAGAAAAGATAATCTTAATATTTGTCCATATTCTAGTGTCTTCTCGGAATAAAAATTGTTGCTGCAATTATTTCGCATTCTCTATCAGTTATATCATCAGTAGTCGATAGTGGTGTTGATTTAACTTCAAGTATCATTCTGTTTTGGGCTACACGTGCCATTAAACGACGTGATCCAATTTTGTATCCACAAGGTAAAAAACAAAATTGACAAAATTTGATTCATGAATTTCTTTAGGTCGAACACGTCTTGAACCCATATCTATTGTTATTCTTTCTGTGATAATGTGTTCAGCAAGTATTCAAGTTATATCAGAATCATTACAAACAACAATTGAGGATATTCAAATGATGAAAAAATATCCATCAAATAGCTCTGAATATGTTCATCCAGTTAACATGACAGCATATCCAATAGCTATTATGTGTACCACTATTGGTAATTAATTTTTTAATTAAATTATATATGACATATGATTAATATTTTTCGTATTTATAGTACTTAAACTAATGCTTTTCTTCTTATGTTCTCGTGAAAGTAGTGCAACATTAAATGCATTGTCACAAGATCATCGAAATGATGTATTTTCAAATACTGTTGCACTTATATGTGGTATTATAAGTAAGACATAGATTTATTTTATTAATTCAATTTAATTCTCATATCTTTTCAAGGTTTTCACGCAAGAAAGAATCATAAATTTTTACCGATATGGTTAGTACTAGCAGATTCAATTGGTGCCATTCTTATTTCAATATATATATTAATTACTTGGATTCGTCAAGCAAATCGTAAATTCTATAAAAAAAATTTCATAATAATTTCAGAATAATTATATTTATATAGAACAAGTCAAACGTTTAAGTGGACATACAGCAAAACCTGAATTTCTTCAACAAATAACATGGATTACATTTCATCATTCACCTCTAATATTAAAAATTGATACTGTACGAGCATTTCATTTTGGTACACATTTTCTTGTCGAAGTTTGTTATTTTAATAAGATTAGATTATTTTTATTCTATTGATTATCTAAGGTTGATATTGTTCTCCCTGAAAATATGTCGCTGAGAGAAGCACATGATATTGGTGAACAATTACAAAAGAAAATTGAACGTATTCCTGAAGTGGAACGAGTATGTAGCAAAAAAATGATTTCTTTTATAGCTTTTTTACTTACAAAAACAAAATTGTCTTTTGATTTAGGCATTTGTTCATCTTGATTATGAATTTAATCATAAGGCCAGTGATGAACATAAAGTTGTTTGAAAATCCATGACATATTTTATCGAATTATGCACAAATATGTATCAGCTAATACAATTTTTTTCCTGCCTTTTTTTATAATGCAACTTGTTGTATACTGTAGTTAACATAATTTTGTTCCTTTTTTTTTGCACAATGCTTTTCTTTTAAGTCATGTCTCGTAAAAACTTCAATTTATTTGTAATGAAATAACTGTGTCTCGGTGACAAAATTTAATGTTAGAAAATAAAAATTATCAATTTAATAGCAACAAAATAATTACGTAGTATTTCATATCAGGGTGTATGAGAGTGGGTGGGTGAGTAAGGCTGCCGGGTGTGGATATCTCTTCTCTCACCACACACCCACACCCAGTCTTACATAAAGCGTAAACATTTAATCTAATCTACTCATTATTTAACTTTATTTTATATTGTATTATTTCAATTACGAATTATTTTAGTAACGTGCACTAATGACAACTGGATTAACAGAAGGAGATGGAATATGGTCTCTTATATAACACCATGCAATAGATCCTACGCCTGTAGGCATATCCCATGTAAACGAAACACAACTACTATTAGATTGACACCATGTACAACATTCAGAAAAACTTTGAACTTGACGAAAGTCCAGATATCCAGAAACTAAATCGGTTCCGATAAGAACTGTCATGTTACCGCATTCATAAGAAGGTTCTGTTGTATCTATAAATACATATTATTGTAAAAAAAATAGGAAAAAGAATAAAATATTCTTACCTATGATAGGTTCTGTTGTTATCATTGTAGTATTGCTAGGTGAAAGTGTAGTAGTTAAAGTGATCGATGATGATGCTATTTGAAAAAAATTAGAGAACATAAATAATTTGTGTTCTTTTAGTGTTGCAAAATTTTATTCAATAGACTATTCAATTTTTATAAAGCATTGTATATTGAAATTAAAGATACAAGTTTGATATGATTATTAATCATCTAGTAATCAATATTTAAATGATTTTCATTAGGATTATAATTCTGCGATATTTATTTTAACTATATCTCAATTAAAATAGTTTTGACAACTCAATTTACTTTTCTTAATAAGTTTAATAATAAAGAGGCTTTTCGAACTATGTAGATTGAGTCATATAAGATTTGCATGTTGATTCTTTTCTTAGCATATTTTATTTTTATTCAACTCTTTCCGGCCGGATACTGCCAAATGGCAACATTGAGATAATGTTGTACCGATATCCCTTTCAAACTACTATCGAATACCATTCTTATATACTACGATAATTAAAGGTACATATCACATAAATTACTCACTTCTCGTTCAATATAAATACCTACGACTTTTGGAAAATAGTCTAGTACATACTAGTTAATATGGAAGGTCAACATTATCAAAAAGTATCGTTTCTCGATGATTTTTGGAAATTGAGTGTGTTAACTAGTAATTCTAAATTTATTACGAGGCTTCGGTGGCATTATTTAATCACTGTGACATATCACCAACTCTAAATAATAATTAGTAACTGACTTAGCCATTAATCCGAACGTTTACAATAAATAAACGAATCTTCTCATCGATTAAAAACTCGTCTGGATTGATGAATGTGAGTATCAATCTAAAGGCGGGGTTGACACTATGCATTTGAATGGCGAATCTATATAATATTAACATTCTTCTCTAACGATTAACTCGCTAAACTAAATAAGGTGGGGTTTTCACTGGAAAAAGAAATCTTACGAAATTTTTCCTGAAATGTCTAGTTTCTTGGATAGCGAAACTATGGAATTTTTGCATTATTCATCATATATTTACTGAGTGCTATGAATATTGCTGATTGATTCATAAATATCAAAGTAGAATTGAGATCAAATTCAATTAAGATCGAAGTAAAATTTGTGTAAAATAATTGACAAGTTTCATTTGTTGAAAAATAGTTTAATGTCGATATGATTCCGTTTGATTGTATCATTTCACATATACATTGATTTTGTGTTATATTCCATAATGATTCAGATATATTACCCATGAGTATATTATTATCTATTTTACTGATAAGAATACAACCACCAGTGGAAAATACCAGTAAAACAAAAAATATCCAAAACATCTTTTATAACTTGATCTTTAAACTTTTTTTTAGAAATATTCTCGTTACTAACATTGCTGTTTCTCTCTCTTTTTATTTTCTCCAACTCTCTCGTTCAATATTTAATCACTACAAAAAAGAGCTGTAGATTGTTAGTCAGGTTTGTGTGAAAAAATAACTGCAATCATGACTAGTATACATACACAAAACGAGTAGAGTAACAACAAGGAGAAAATATTAGCTTAGTTTCTTTAATTATTTATGAAATTGAAATCGTCACCATCAAATGAAGAGAAGAAAAAAGAAATTGTTTTTTTTCTTTATATGTAATGGCGTTCAGTCATACAGAATAAAGTAAATGACGATCACATTTCTAGACCGTATTCTGAATAATGATGAACAAGCCTTTCTATATGTTGTGTGGTTCAGCATACTGACTAATGCATTACAAACTAAGATTATTGTGTATAATTTCATTTTTTGGATATTAATACGACCAATTTTTTTTTCAATTGATAGAAACTGGTGTGTAAACGCTTACAAAATTGCTTTTTTATCGTTTAATCTCGTACTTTCGTTCATAAACGTTTAAATGCTCAGAAAGTTGATATGTTATGAATTCTATCTTCAGATTATAAATAACAGATTTTGCACTGATAATAATCATCTTGTGAAAGTTCTGTAACTGAAACTTTCAATTTTCTTTTTCATAAATTTTCCCGTAACCGATGATAAAAATTTTACTGTGTAAACGACAAAATAGAATAAATAATAAATGTTTTCTTTTCATCAATTTTTTCCGCAACTGATAATACAAATTTTACCGTGTAAACGTTAAAATAGGAGGAATTATGAGTGTTTTCTTACATAAAATTTTACATTTGCGAATTTAAGAAAGATATTGTCGCTTTACATGTGTGATTTAATGAGTTCTATTTAAGGAGACGCGCCTAAACTTATCAAATCATTAATATTCGAGCGTTTTAATGGGTACGAGAAACTTGCATTTTGAACAGTATTAAATGAGCGGTATCATGAGTATTTAAACTCATATATTTTTGAATATCCATCTTTTTTCAATCGTGTAAAGGCGTAAAATACTCATTTTCTCCGCGACTTCACGCTGTAATTTTGAATGTATATTCAAAATTCATTATTTATGAGTACTTTAGGAACAGTTTTTTATCGAAATATTGATAACGGTATTAACATTCGTCTTTAGTTTCAAAAGAGAAAATATATAATCAAGTCGAATGGAAACTTTCAAATTACACCAAATTGATTTTTTTAAGAAAAAAGATATTTCTCTAATTTCATCGAGTTTATTCTTTCAAATAAAACAATTAATAATGAGAAATTCAACATTTCGAAATAAGTTTCCTTTTCATTTTATTTTCTTCAAATTGAAGTCGATTGATCTAAAATCAATCGTTTATTTAAACACATTCAAGGAACATCCTTGAGAGCAGTTCAAGAAAAACGTTGATCATCGTATTTAAGAGAATTAAATAGATTAAGGACACCGATTCAAAATTTCGTAAAGAAAATTACAATATTATTTGTATTTTAATTCATATAAAAGACGAAAGATCAATAAAATTCTCATGATTCATTTTCTTCAAAGAGAATCAGTTTTCGTTCAATACCCATGAATATTAAATTATTTTCATGATGAAGATTTCTTAACTATCGAAAAAATGTTTTCTTCGTTCTTTTTCTCCCTACTTGTATTTATTGACCATGACTCATTTTGCTTTGTATAAATAAATACCCAAACAAAATGAGAACAAATATTCATTTATTTTTCAAATTCTTCAACCAATGGCAGCAGAAAACATTAGAGTACAATGTTATATCTGTAATAAAGGGAATGCGACATATCTTTGTCGAGGATGTTCAAAAGATTTTTGTTTTCAACATTTAACAGAACATCGACAAATGCTTCAAAGACAGTTAGAGGAAATCATTAATGATCATGATCAATTTCAACAAACAATTATTCATCAAAAACATAATCCAGACAATTCTTCTTTAATTCAGCAAATTAATCAATGGGAAAAAAATTCAATTGAGAAAATTCAACAAACAGCACAACAATGTCGAGAAACACTGATGAAATTAAAACAAAAATCGATCAATGATATGGAAAAAAAGTTTAGTGAGTTATCTCAAAAATTAAAACAAATTCGTCAAGAAAATGAATTTAATGAAATTGATTTAAATCATTTTCAATTAAAATTAACACAAATTACAGAAGAATTTCTTCAACCATCAAATATTTCTCTTCGACAAGATTCACAAGAATTTATCAAGAAAATTTCAGTTATTTCGTTACCCGGTATGTTTATTCAATTATTTCATTTCAGCATAAGAGAAAACAAAGCTTCAGTGAAGTATTTTTTCAAGTTTTTTGTATTACAAATTAATTTTATCAACGGGATTAATGATATCTTATTGAGGAATTTGATTAATTGAAGATTTAGAGAAAAAATTTTCAAAAGTTGAAATGAAGAAGTATAAGATCGAGACAAGTTTAAAAATACATCATATCTAGGGTGTGGGTGAAAGTATAGAGTCTATCTCTTATCTTCACTCACACCTACACCCAAAAAGCAGCTTTTTTCAAGTTGTTGAATAAATTTAAGTTAAGTTTAACTTTTTAGTTTAGAATTCTTAAATAAAAGAATTATTTTAGTTTATTAATAAAAAAGAAGTTTTTAATGAATTTTATTTAAATCATTGAAATAAAAAGGAAATGTTTTATTTTAGAACAAATTCGAACAAAAAAGAATAAATTTCAACAATCTGCAATTACTGTTGCTGGAGGAAACGGGAAAGGACAGGAATTAAACCAACTCTATTGTCCTAATGGAATCTTGATCGATAATGATAAATCAATTTATATTGCTGATTTACTTAATCATCGTATTGTCAAATGGAACTTGAATTCTAATACTGGTCAAATCATTGCAGGTGGCAATGGACAAGGAAATCAAAATAATCAATTGTATTCTCCAAGAGATATAATTTTTGACAAAGAAAATAATTCTTTTATTATTTCTGATTGGAGAAACAGACGAGTACTTCGATATTTTGATAAAAATCAACAAATTATTATTTTAAATATTATATGTTGGGGTCTGACAATTGATAAAAATGGATTTATTTATGTTTCTGATCATGAGAATCATGAAGTAAGACGATGGAAACAACGTGATAAAAGAGGTGAATTGGTTGCAGGTGGAAATGGTGAAGGAAATCATCTTAATCAACTCAATTGTCCCACTTATATCTTTATTGATGAAGATTATTCTCTTTATATATCAGATAATGGGAATCATCGTGTGATGAAATGGAAAAAAGATGCAAAACAAGGAGTTATTATTGCTGGTGGAAATGGTGAAGGAAATAGTCTCAAACAATTGAATCGTCCTCAGCGAGTGATTGTTGATCATTTGGGCCATATCTATGTGGCAGATTCCTGGAATCATCGAGTAATGCGTTGGTGTGAAGGAGATAAAGAAGGTGAAATTATTGTTGGTGGAAATAGTCAAGGAAATGAATCAAATCAATTGAGTTTTCCCATTGGTTTATTATTTGATAATGAAGAAAACCTTTATGTTGCTGATTGTGACAATCACCGAATCCAAAAATATGAAAAAATTTCAAATTAAAAATATTTGAGATTTAATGTGATTAAGTTTTGATTTTTATTTTTGAAAATAAATAAAAAAACATTAGTTGATGAAAAATCTTTAACAAAAATCAATGAAAATGAATCAAAATATTTCTTCTCATAAAATAAATGATTTTTTTTTATTCTTAGAAGAAAAGTAAACAAATATTTATTAATTTTAGTTTTAAATTAAAAAACCAAAATGAATAAAATAATTTAGTTGGAAGGGTGTGGGTATGGGATGATGGAAACAACCACACCCACCTTCAGAATTATGTCGTCATAAACAATAAGACAAGTTGATTGAATGTCACATTTTCATTGTTAAACACGGACATAGACTCGAGTTCGATTCATAGTAGTCTTTTATTCTCAAATTTAAAGGACTTTAAATCGAACAAATTTAAATATTATAGGTTATAATAGTGATATCATTGTGGAAGGGTGGTGTGAGTAGCTGGACGACAGACACTGCAGTTTACAGACACTATCATCTTCACACCCAAACCCTTACCTGCATTTACTCTCACGGTATTTCAGCATATTATTCAATTATTCAAGTCTAATATTTACTTTAGGATTAATACTCATACGTTACTATTCGAATAGATGTCATTGGGAACAACAAATAATTAATATTCTCTACATCTGTATGTATATCCACTCTTCTTTGATGAAAATATCTACCCACTTATTAAAATAATGACCTATCTTTTACCAGCTATAGCTCTTATTTAAAAACTGCCATGCAATATGACTTCGAAATAGTACTGCAACTTATATATTATTTGGTGAATGACAGTTTAATGAGAAATGTGAATGATTAAATAGTTTGATTACATATAAAAAATTATGATTCAGTTCACAAAACAAAATGTCATTCTGTCTATATTGATTAATAAAGCTCGGCACTATTGAGAACAGGACCGTTGTCCCCACCCATAACTAATACTTTTCCATCTGCTAATGTGGATGCTGTATGAAATTCTCGTGCGACATTCATGTTTTCTGTGGTTGTCCAAGTACCTGTTATTGGATTGTGCAATTCAGCACTATTGAGATAATTACTACTACCGTTCGATCCACCAGCAACTAATATCGATCCATTTGATAATGTAGATGCTGCGTAATATGCTCGCGCGGCATTCATGCTTCCTGTGGTTGCCCAAGTGCCTGTTGATGGATTGTACAATTCAGCACTATCAGATAAACACCACTGCCCAATCCACCAACAACCAATACTAATCCATTTGCTGTGGGTATGGGTGTGGGTGTGGATGTAGATATGGGTACACTTGTGCGTGTGGGTGTGGGTGTGGGTGTACGTGTAGATGTGAGTGAAGGTGTGAGTGAATACAACACTATGTGACACCAGAATCCACTCTCCTCGACCTCATTCAAGTATTGTACTAAGTATTGGATCGCTGATTCGGGCTTCTACTTTTCTAGTGATATTCATAAATCATGCGCAAGACTGGATTTCTGATTATTTTCTATATTATAAAAAATTAACTATATGAAACATTGTATGTAGTTGAAAGAGATATTAATTGGGTACAATGGATACTTTGGAGAAAATGATCATATTCTTTTATATCTACATTTTACTATTATAGAAAAGAAGTCTAAACAGTATGTAAAACAATTTCAATTATTACTGTAAAAGTATGACTTGTGGTAGGCGCCCTCTGTCGATATTTTGGCTTGTTTTGTCAACGAAATAGCTGAGAAAAAACAAGAAACATTGTTATAATTATAATAAAGCAATATCCATAATGATTGTATTATATTATATGAAGAACTAGTTGTCAAGTAGAAAAAAATCTTTCTAATTTCTTATTGATGCATCGATAAGTGACTCATTGGACATCAGAAATTGATTGTGTGTAATATACATATGTATATGTGGGTATGGATATGTTTATTTGATTATATTCTCATTGAAAATAATTGTATTTGCAATAAATTAATTTTAATTTTAATTTTTAAGATAACATTAACGAATAATCATAATAAATGGCAGGCGAATATGATACAGCAATTACAGTTTTTTCTCCAGATGGACGTCTCTTTCAAGTAGAATATGCACAAGAAGCTGTCAAGAAAGGATCAACTGCTGTTGGTGTTCGTGGTAAAAATATTGTCGTCTTAGGTGTTGAAAAGAAAGCTGTTGCTGTTTTACAAGAAGATCGGTAAAATTAAATTCTAATATATAATTTATTTATTTATTTATTATTTTTCTTTTAGTACGGTTCGTAAAATTTGCGTACTTGATGATCATGTTGCAATGGCCTTTGCTGGTCTTACAGCTGATGCTCGTGTATTAATGCATCGTGCTCGTATTGAATGTCAATCCCATCGTCTTAATGTTGAAGATCCTGTAACAATCGAATATATTACTCGATATATTGCTGATTTACAACAAAAATATACGCAAGGACGTGGTCGCCGGCCATTTGGTTTATCAACTTTAATCGTTGGTTTCGATTATGATGGTACACCACGTCTCTATTCAACAGATCCAAGTGGTACTTATCATGAATGGAAAGCTAATGCAATTGGTCGACAAGCCAAAACTGTTCGTGAATATTTAGAAAAAGCTTATACTGAAACAATATACGAATCAACACATGAATCAATTAAATTATGTATTCGTGCTTTACTTGAAGTTGTACAAAGTGGATCAAAAAATGTTGAAATTGCAGTTATGGTACGACATAAACCATTAAAAACACTTAGCTCTGACGAAGTCGAAAAATATATTGCTGAAATTGAAAAAGAAAATGAGATTGAAGCTGAAAAGAAAAAACAAGCAAAACAATTAGGTGGTACAACAACAACTACTACAACACCATCATTAACAACACAAACTTCTAAAAAAGAATAAAAAAAACAAAATGAGTAAAACTGACCGAATATCTTGGTGAACAATCTTCATTCTTTTCTTCTTAAACACTTTTTTTTTCTTTTTTTTATGATAATTATTGTTGATTCTACTATTCTGTCATTCCTAATATATACACACTCATAGACAAGAGACACATGGTGTTTGAGTAAAACTTCTTCATTTCTAGATTATTACCATCAAGTTTTCGTCGAAAAAAAAACATTAAAAATACCAGGTAGATTGATTTCTTTTCTCTTCTTTTTTTCTTTTTATTGTTTTTGAATTTATTATATCAAATAAAACAATACTACAATTATAATTTATAAATCTTATTTGGAGAAATGATTTTTTCATATATATATTTATTATTTACTAGTAAACAATAATAGTTCTTTTAATTTTCTATGATATTTTAGGATAATTCACCATTAATCATGCCTTTATTAGATGCTAATGCTATTGCTCTTCTTCATACACTTCTAACAACAAATTCACTTTCACGTCTTTCAACATTATGTGCATCATTACAAGCACCTGTCGAACATATTTTATCAATTGTTGCTGCTCATCCTTTTGTTTTTGCTCGTCTTCGTGCTACTGATTCACCAGGTGATGATCGTATTGCTGTTGTACTTGATCTTACTAATTGTACGTTCTATGCACGTCCACCAAATGGTTGTACGAAAGATATTGCTTGTCCCTATTTACATTTATGTCCATCGGTTGTATTACCTAATCGTCGTTGTCAACGACCTCATGATTGTCCATTATCACATTCACTTGATACCGAACATAATCGACGAGTTATTATTGAACGTGGTCTAGAAAATTTACCACAAAAAACTCTTATTATGCTTATTTTAGCTTCGGCTGATCCAAGTAAAACAGTAAGAAACCATTTTGATATAAGCTTATATCAATTATTCTTTTATGTATAGTTTGCAGTTTGTCATCATAAGCCAAAACCATGTCGAGAAGCAAATTGTGATGATTTACATCTATGTTATTTTTATATGTGTTCACCTCATTTATGCAAATATGGTGATTGTAAAGCTGGACATTCATTAGTAACACAACGTAATATTGATTATTTGGAACGTCGTGGTCTTGCACATGTTGAAGCTCTTGATATTATTGCATTGTTTCGAATTGTGGATGAAAATAAGTAAATATCTTTTCTTTCTTTTATTGATTATAGAATATTTTATTAATCTATGTGTATTATCTTTATTAAGAAAACGTTCACATATTTATCGGTATCAATTAGAACAACAACAACAACAGCAACAACAACCACAACCAATGATGATTATGACTTTAATGATGGATGAACATGGTCAACAACAACAACAACCAATGATAATGTTTTGAGAATATCTTTTCCTTTGATAAAGATTAAAACAAGAATGAATGTTTTGAAAAACGCGTTGGTTTTTTTTCTGTTTGTTTTTTGGTTTGTTTTTTCTTGCCGTTACTTTTTTTTCTTCTCATCATTTATGTGATGTTGTTTTTTCTTCTTCTTTTTCTTTTTCTCAGGTGATCTATATCCAGTGCAATATTCCAGTAACACGAACAGAAGAAAAGGTTGATTGATGCATTGCATGTAGTCTGTTTCGCAGTTATTTTTTATCGTGCTTTAGTTTTTTTTCTCGTTAAAAAATCTAAACACTATTTTTTGTCATGTTTAATAACAAGAAAAGAATATCGAACATTGATTAAAAATAAAAACGAAAAGTTTTATTTAATGGATATCATTTTTGAGAAACAAAAAAAAAACCTAAAAATGATATTTCATATTTTATCTATTTTCCTTCTTGCAGATGTTTAATTAAAAGAAAAAAAGAAAAAAACTAATAAAATGGAAGAAGTGATAAGTCTTATTAAACATTTACTTACTACAAGATATTCAATTGATAGTGTAGATTCAATTGTCAAACATTTGAAAATTTCAAAAAATCATCTTCTACAATTAATAAATGAGGAATCTTATAAAGAATATTTTCAATTATTACATCCATCAAATAATTATCATCAAGGAGTAGAAAAAATTGCTCTTACATTAGATGTATGTATGAAAGAAAAATCAAATAGATATCTTTTATTTTTTTCTTTGTTGTGCCTTATAATTTAGCTGTTTTGTTGTACACATTATGCTCAGCATTGTAAAAATCAATCGTGTTCATTTTTGCATTTATGTCCATATAATATTCGACCAATGTATACAAAATGTACAAATAAAACTTGTCCATATGATCATGATATTTTACAAAGTAGTCATAATCGAAAAATTATTGATGCTCGTGGTTTAAATTTTATACCAACAATTACATTACATGAAATAATACGAGCAAGTGCTGACCCAATTCGAACAGTAAAATAAAAATTCTTCAATAGATCGATTTTATATTTTATCTATTTAGTTTTGGGTATGTACTGATCATGGAAAGAAAAGTGGTTGTTCAAAGAAAAATCATTGTGATAAATTACATTACTGTTATTATGCATTAATTGATGCTTGTACAAAACCATATTGCCCACATACGATAAATGATGCTTGTCTTGCATATTTTCGACAAAAAGATTTAATTGAACAAGATCAAGACGATATTCTTAATGCATTTAAAAAAGTTCTTCGACAACGGTACAAAACATTTCATATTAGAATAAGTGAATTATTTTTATTTTGTTTATAGAAAACTTGATTATGTTAATACAGGCAATATGTCTTATCATACATTATCATCTTCATCAAGTCCGAAGACTTCAAACTCTGGTCATAATCAACGGTAAATAAATTCGATACATTTCTTTCGAAAACATAGATATTTCTTTTTCTTTTCTAGTAAATCATCAAATAATAAACAACATCGTACATCATCTTCTTCTAGAAAATCAACACCAATAGAAATAACATCAGCAAGATCAACCTGCGACGATATTTTATCAACGAAATCTGATTCTTCACCACCATTACCTGACCATGAACAAGATATTCTTCTTGAAGATTCTTATGATCGATATGATTATGTACAAACCGAACATTATCTATCAGATGAACTTGGATTTCCAATTAAATTATTAACATTGAAAAGTATTTATTCACGAAATAAAGAAACTGAATGGTATTTTTCTATTTAATTGTTTATTCAATTTTTAATTATAAAAAGAAAATTTCTTTTAGTGCAAATAAACGTTCAAAACCAATATATTATTATTATCCAATTAGAGATCCTGCTGAGATTTTTCGAACACTACGATGGCAAAATGAAGATAAACGTTTAATTAAACCTCTTATTGTTTATGCTAACGTACGCGATGCACATGATGCAGCAAAACAAAATTTTGAAAATAATCAATTTTGTATTTTTCGCATACATCTTTTTCATTCCGGTGTTATTAACGGTGATTTATTACCAGAAAATCGTCTTCAATTAAAAGATCCATCAAAAATGTGTTTTGATCGTATGTGGATTTATATATTCAATCTTTAGAGACAAGAGAATTATTTATCGTTTCTTTTTCAAAAGAAAAACAAATGATACAAATCATTTTAATGTGGGTTTAAGCAGCAATGTGAGATATTTCTTTTCCATACTGATATCTGTGTATGTCTTTTTCTTGTGTTTTATTTTACTTTTTTTTTAAAACATTGTATGTATAGAATTCCTTTTTTTCTATGTCATTGAGATGATTGTAACCTATGACATAGCATATATTTTAATCCTGAACTATATAAAAAACAACCATGAACGAATAAGATAAAATTTTAAATATACAAGAATAGAAGAAGTATTTTATCATGCATCGAAAAATACTGATATGATAAAAGAAAAAAGTTTTCTTGTTAATTTTGATACTAATTCTCATAATTATTTAATGTCTCTCATCTAGTGCGTGAGTAGTATAAGTCAAAAATGACATTTATCATCTATGTATATCATTAAACGACCTTTTTCAAAAAGAAAATGTCTTGATATATTGGTACTTCCTCTTGTTCATCTAATCTAGGGTGCATGATATTTCATTTTAAAAATATCAACAGATAATGAATTAATTTCAGAAATGTTTATGAAAATGCATTTTAAAGTAAGAGATTTTTATCAAGTAATTAGATGTCGATTATAATCTTAACTTTCATAATGTCTTTTATTTTTATATACAAAAATAATGATCATTAGTGTTCGATGATTGAGATACCTCGAATAAGATGAAAGAATAACTGTATAGTAAATGACAAATTAACACATAAGATAGTAATAGATTTGAAGTCTCTAGATAATTATATTTACTTACGGTGATATAGTAGATAATGACAAGAGTACTATTTTAAACCATATATAAAATTGCGACCATTTTTTTTTCAGATGTGTTTGATACAAAAATAATCTTATTGCGAAACATCAGTGAGAAAAACATCTGTATGTAACGATTATAGATTTATCTATATTTAGTATGTTTTATCATTGCATCGATAAATAATGTTCTTTTTGCTAATTGCTTATTGAATACTAGTTGAGGATATATTTTCAAAACTAATAGTTATTTTTAGCGTTCTCCCTCAAGGCATCAATTACGTTGTTTCTATTTTTAGATAAAACGACGACATTTATTTCTCAATAAAATTTTTCTTCTTTTGTATTTCACGTTTTCTTCGTTGTTGATAAATTTCTAAAAAAAAGTTTCTTTTATCTAATTCTAATAACTTCATATATTTATGTTTATGTTTTAAATCATATATAATATTTGTAATACTCTAGAAACAAGCGCCCTCTATCGATGTTATAAATCAAAATAGTTTCATTTAAAATATTAATTGAAATAATAATTCAATAAATAGATTTCTTGTTTTTATTGAATTTATTTTCATGAAAATTTTTAAACTTGTTAAAACTTCCAAACCAATAGAAAATATTCGAGAATCTAAGAATAGAAAAAAAATAAGATCTAATTTTTTTTTATTCTCTTTTGTATATCGACCGGTTTGTGTCTATGTGTACAAAACATCGTCAATAATTCATTCAACTATATATTTGTCTTCTTCTATTACATCTTTTTTCTCTTATTTTATCAATAAGTTAAAAAAAAATATTTCAAATTTTAATTTTCCAAATTAATCAACAATTGAAATGGCTTCATCTACTGAAAATACAACACCATCGGTTGGTATTTTTTTTTATTGAATAATTTATAAAAAGCATATAAATTCATCTATAATTTAGAATAATAATTCTACACCTGAAATAAATGAAGAAGCAAAACTACGAGCTAAATATGGCGGAGCACTTCCTCGACAACAAAATATGTTAACAAAAAAATTATTAAATAAAGTAATCAGAAACGATAAAAGAAATTTATTTATATGAAATATTTTTTTTAGCCAAAATATTTCGATTCTGGAGATTATAATGTTGCAAAATCACAAGGTAAATTAGCTGCAAGTAAACCTGATCCAACAAATAAAACTAATAGTAATAAAGAAGCAATACCATCAATAGTACCGGAAACAATCACTGGTCATGAAATACCAACACCTGAAACAGTCATGCCAAGAAAGTTATCATGTGCTGCTACATTAACACCACAAACAACACCTATAATAATTAATAATTCTATGTCATCACCATCACATTCACAATGAGAATATTCGAAAATTTGGAAAAAAAAATTTATCAAAAAACAAAACCATAGATTTCTTTTTCCTGTCATTTTCTTTATTTCAATTCATTCTTTTCGTATTATTATTATTATTATTATTATCTTCTTTTTTCTCTGTATATATGTGAGAGTATTTTCGAAAAAAATCAACACATACACACACACGCACACATATAAGATTTACATCATTCTTCTTATTTTTGATTCTGTATAGAAGTTAAATTTTCATCGATCTTTTTTTTGAAAAGAAAAATGAAAACATTACAAAAAATCTCAATATTTTATTATAAAACTACGAGAATACATAATAAAAATAAACTATCATAAAAATTACGACATGAATTTCTGAATAATCCCGGAAATAATTATTCGCCACGTTATGGGGTTTCCATTTATCACAGTTGATATAATATATTCTTTACTATATAGATAAATGTAAATGTCATATATTTGATGAACACAATTATTAAAGGTGATCAGACATACTATAGGATCAATATTAGATCGTTAAACATTGTAATTCGGAAAAACGTACATTACGTTCTACCTAATAGCATTAGAAAATTAACTCTACTAACAACCATCTGATGAATGTTTTTCCTGATTTTACGGAAGTATTCTGCAAACATCACATTTTCTACATGACATACATTATTATTATTTCTTAGTAGTAGAACTAATTCGAAGAAGTATTCAATTGTAAAATCATTTTTAAATTTAAAATAAATCAAGAGAGAAAACGAAAAGAAATTAGTAATAATAATGATAATTTTTTTTCAATGCATAATATCAACATCATAAAAAATATCTACATTCTTAATAGATAAAAATTATATAAGAGCAAAAGTAAGACGAACATCAAAGAGAAGAAAAAAAAAAGAAACCTCAAAAAACAATAATATTCGTCGTTTGTCTATCAGAAATGCTGTAATATTAATTACAACATTATGATATAATTAACAAAGAAATAATTCAGTTACATTTTGAATAAATTACAATAGAAAAAAATCAGATTGTTATATTTTCTTGGTGTTTTTTTTAGTAAATATATGTATATATGTATTTATAAGTAGTATGATCAAATAAAATGTAGAAACGATTGTTCTTTATTTTTTTTCATTGTTGTTGTTGTTTTATTATTTAACAAGACAAATGATGATTTGAATACCAAGGTGGTGATGCTGTTGAATCTTTAATATTTGGATTTTCTAAACCCATTGATGATGTATTTGTACCCATTAAATCAAAACCTTGAAAGTAAATACAAATAATAATAATAAAAAAAGAAACAAATGTTTGCTTTATTTTTACTTTGAGTAGGAAATGCATAGGATGCTGTAGCCATCATTGATCCACCAAGATGATAATCAAAATGATGAGATGTTGGTGTATAACCATGATGAGATTGTTTTTCATTATGAAACATTTGTGCAGCGGCTGCAGCTCCAATAGCTGCTGCTGTAACAACATCCATATCGGGTGGTGTATGATGATGATAACGTCCTGTATTGTTATTATTATTATTATTATTTGTATTATTGGGTGATCCAATTGGATGTAAATGATTGCTTGACATATTTGATGAACATGATGAAGATGGTGTTGTTGCTGTTGGATTTGTTGAATACGGTAAACGATACGTATGATGATGATGCATCCAATCAGTATATTCATTTTGTGATGTTGGAAGATAAGTTGGATGTGGATACGAAGTTGGTGATGCCATAAAATTAGGCCAGAAAGTACTTGATGGACTCATCATGCTTGAATAACCATAAGATGATGTTCGAGGATCTAAATAAATTTCTTTACATGTATTTTTTTTTATAATACGAAAACATTTATTCTAAACTTATAATGATAATATAAATCATAATAGAAACAGATGTAGTAATATCTTATATGTATATATATGTCAAAAATAGTATTCAACTTACCTCGTGTTGGAATTGTTCTTGTTGAATTAAATGAAATTGGTTGTTTAAGTGCTTTATCAAAATGTTCATCAATAACCGAACTTGATTCTCCTGTATAATATCGATAAACAATTGCATTTTCTGATGAACATTCAACAATTTTTCCATCTGTTATTGTTGTTCGTGGTGTTGAACGATGATTCATTCGATGTGATTTATTATCAAATGAATCAATTGATACATTTGATTGTATTCGTGTTGATTGTTGTTCATCATGAAGACTATTTAACATATGATCAAGATGAGCTATAGGACCATCATTAATTAATGTTGAATTATTATTATTTAAATTTTCATTAACAAGTGTATTAGTACTCATCGAGGATGTACATACATATATATATAAGTAATCTAAAATAATTTCATGAATGTTAGGATCATTATAATGTATGAAGAAAACTTAATACTAATTTAAAAAATGTCGAAACATCCACATTAATACCTTACCAGTTATGCATCTTGTTATAGAGAAAATAAAATATAAAAATAAAGAAGAAGAAGAAAAAAATGATTTTCTGTTTCATTTCGACTTTGTATTCTATCTGATCACGTAGAACTAAATTCCATTGCATATGTGTCATGTTGTTGATGCTGGGATTTTTTTTTTACTCGTTCGAGAATAAACGTTATCTATCGTCGTTTGAAATGCATACCATCTTGGAACAACATAACGTCTCATCTTCTTGATTCATACATGCACAAACGCGCGCGCTTTCACTCTATCTTTCCCACACGAAGTAATTAGAGTGTAAGAGCTTATCGGCTACCAATCGAATTCCATTCCGAAAATGCGAATGAGGAAAGAAGAATAAGAAGAAGAAAAAGAAGACAAGACGAAGAAGAAGAAATAAAGATAGATGATTGATAGGGTACGCGTGTATGTTCACCAGACCAACGCGTTGATCATGTTTGTTTGTTTTACTTTTGCCACATTCATAATCAATTCGATCATCACCTACACACATACACGATGGAGATTAATTTTTTTTGTTTCATCTTCTCGGAGTCAAAATACACATTTGCGTAACAATTGTGTATGATCATCCAAAAAAAAAGAAAGAGAAAAGTGACTTTATGTTGTCTTTCGTTGAATCTTGATTGTACAAAACATGTCACTCATTATTGACATAGCTTGATAGTTGTGGTGGACATTGACATTTGCTCGAAGATCATTACAATACACATGTGAAACAACACGCATGTATATAAAACTCGTTACAAAAGAGCAAAATTCTTTTCCTAGCTTTTTCTTCTTCGCTTCGCTTTCTATTATTAATGATGGATAGTCTACAAATAATTACAGTATCAGTATTTTCTTTTCTCTAATAGATATGATCAATTGAGTTTGTTTTGCTTGTATTTTTTTTTATCTAGAAAGTTTTATCAAATGAGCGGCATTTTTAAAGAATTTATTGTATTATTCTTAATTTCAAATGTATGTTAAAACAAAATTGAAAAAAACGATACATGTCGATGAATTTCTTTTCTTTTGATATTAAATAATCGTACATATTTTAGAATTAAATAAGAAAAAGAATGAAGATATAAGAGAACTCCTGCTGATGTGGTAGAATGATTGATGCAATTAAAATGATATCCATAATAATTGATGTACTATGAGACAGAAACGAAGAGTTCATTTAAAAAAAAATGATAAGATCTTGGCACACAGCTGACGTGATTAATTTAAAATATGTCAACAATGTTTCATTCAAAAAAAATTAGTCTCAATTCTATTCAATATATTTCGTCCTAGAATATATTAACTTCATTTTATTCGATATTCTTTATTAATTATGTTATCTATTCATATGAGAACCTATATTTTCTGATAATTGAAGATGAGTGATATATATATATATATTCTATTAGTTTATCTGCATCTGATCTGGTATTCGATACTACTTCTTGCATAAATGATATCCATAAATTATAGTTATAATTATTATGTAGTATATCTCTCTTTAGAAATCTTATACAACTTATGAATTGAAAATTAAGAAAAATGTGTACTGTGACTTACTAAGAATTTTTAAGTATATTTTTTCTTTCTTTTTGTAATAAATGTTCTATTTGAGAATATCCTTGTATAAGAATGTAATAATACAATCTAAAGAATTTTTCTTATTTATTTATCTTTCAAATAAACATTTTTTTATTCTTTCTTTTTCTTTTTTTATCAGTACAATTATATTTTTCGTTATTAATTTGTAACTAATTTACCATTTGGATAAACATATTTAGTACGAATAAATTGTTTATCCATATTTTCTATTCGATAAATTGATTGAAATATTCGATAGATTGATGTTAATGGTAATGAAATACCGATTAATCCTATTCCAGCAAGAAATGAACAAAGAATTTTTCCAGTTGGTGATAATGGTACACGTTTAGCATCACCAACTGTAATTGTTGATATTGTAACAATATTAAATAAATCTTCTAAACGTGTTATAGAAGCTTGATCCCAATTTTTTTCAATAATTTGTATAATAACACCAAATGTAAATACAAAAAAAAGTATTATTAAACCAATTGACATAATATATTTAAATGCTTTTTCAATACCATAAAAAAGTATTCGTAATGATTTAATATAACGACAAAGACGAACAAATCGAAATAAACGTAAAAGTATTAAATATTGGAATAATTTAATATAAAAAAATGGATCACGTTTATCATTATTAAAATCATTTATTTCATATAATATTAAATAAAACCAACCAGAAATTAATATAAATAAATCAAAGATATTAATAAGTAAAACAAATGTTAACCATTTGTATGGAGATGATAAAAGACGAAGAAGATATTCAAATGTTATAAAAATAGTACATACTAAATAGACAAAAGAAATCAATTGAATAATTTTAATTGAAAAATAAACTTTGTTCGATTTTATAAATCCATTGTCCTACAATTTTTGATGGCCGAAAATCAAAAAAAATATTATCACAATGAGGTGAATTTTGATTTGAAAATAATTTATAACAAATAATTTTATTTCTTGATAATTGTGGAAGAAGTTCAATTGAAATATTAAAACAATAGAGTAATGAAATAATTAAACATATGAATTGTATCTTAAAAAATGAAAAAAGTTTTTCTTTTATCTTTTTAAATACAAAATATTTTACTAATTGTGTTAGAAATGAATAATCATTATATTCTAATGATATCCAAATCAATCGTTGAATTTTATTAAATGGTACAATACGATGATAATTTAGAAGTTCTTCATCGATTTCAGTTTTATAAAAATCTTGAATTAGTTGTTTATCAATTTGAAAATATTTAAGTTCTTCGAAGAATATAATCGGTTCATAGATTGTCGGTGCATTTAATTTGCCTGTTTCATAATAGTTTATTATTGCTTCAAATGAAATAATATGTCGATCAATAATATATTGTTGTTTTATTTTATTATAGAAAGTAATACGACGTTTTGGATCACCTAAATAGAAAAATATTGATGAATTGCGTTTTGTTTGTTTTCGCTCGCATTTACGAATAAGTCAAACCGAGAAGTGTATTTGGAAAACGATTTAAAGATGTTTCACGAATGAGAAATATAGTACCGAGACAATTGATTTCAATTAGATTTGATGAATAAGAAGTAGACATATTTAGTTATTGATCATTTTTATAATTCAATATTTATTCCGCGCATTTTAATAATTTTTACTATGCGATACATTGATTATCATTGTTATAGAATGAGAGTTCAAATATTACTTATAATTACATTCATTGAATATTAGAAATATCTTTAGCATTCTACCTATCGCACTCATTTGACTGTTTTTCAAGTTTAGATTTCATTCAATATTGAAATTTTTTTGAAAAAATATATTATATTAATATCTTTTTTTTTATCTAAGAAGAGAATTATCATTGACAATAAAAATCTTTTTAGCTGAACCAACAATCATATTTCGTCCAGTGACGCCAGTATCAGCACAATAGACAGCATTTTCAAGATTGGTTATACCACCGATGATCTAGTAAATTTCGAAAAGAATAATTCATTTACTTTTTATAAATATCTTATCCAGTACCTGTAATAATGAATAATCATAAATAAGTGCTTCATTCTTAGCATTTCCAGCACATAAGATATAATCTTTTGGAGTGAATTTTGTACAATAAAGCTATACACAAAATACAAATTAATGAATAATCAGAATATTCAAATATAATTTACCATTGATGTTGCTTTCGAACGAAATGGATCTTTAATTAATTTACCAGATGAAAAATCCCAAATCTATATAACATTTATTTATTTTTTTTTTCTAGATATATAAATATATCTTCATACTTGTAATGTTGAATTTTTTCTCCAAGAACCTGTTAAAATAGTTTGACGTTCATCAACAATATCCAATGCATCACCACATATATTTGGGCCAGAAAAATGCTTTTGTGAATGTGGTGCACGTTCATCCCAATAATGAATAGTTTCATCCCAACCACCTGTTAAAAAAACAGTTTCCATCGTTGGATGTGAACGAATAGCATGAATACGATTTTTATGTCCATCCATAAGTTCTCGACTTTCTCTAGATTTTTATAATCAATCATAATGCATAAACTATTTCATTTAATAGAACTTACGATGCTTGAAATTTACGAATTAATGTCTTCGTCATAAAATCATAACAATTAATTACACAATCACTACCTATTTTTTTTGATATAAATATGTAGCAAAATTCTTTTTGTGAAAAATCATTCTTTTTTACCAGCAACATATAAGCGTGTATAACTACAATTAAAATCAAGTGCTAATGGTTGGCGTTCTTTTTCATTAAATGTAAAAATACATTGTTGAGTTGAATAATGCCAAACTTTGACATAACCAGCAGTATCTGTATACAAGAATTAGTACATTAGGATAAAGCGAACTTTTTTTTAGTTGTATTTAACTTACAAGTAGCAGCTAAGAGTTTATAATTGTCACCGTTTAAATCTGTTTGATTTGAATAGAATTTGAGACATGTGACTGGATAACCTGACAGATAACAGAATTCTTTTGAAATTATATGATATTCAATGAATTATTTTCTATTTACGTCGTGCATTTGCATCATTATCAGTAAGAACATATTGCAATACACCTGCTTTTGAATAGATCTAAACAAATATTTCTTTAAATTTTTTCATAATAAAAAATTGATAGTTTTCTCCAACAGTAAAAAAACAGATCTTCTAAACACTTTTCCTAAACTGAAGTCTTTTAGTTAATCATTATATACAACAGAGTACATTTTTCTTGAATCTATCTCTAGAGATATTGCCATCATTTTTCGATAATGAACTGATCAAATAAATATAAAATAATTGTTCTCGGCAAAACGTTGACTGAAAATATAATATAAATAAATGATGAAATTTACGGAAATAACGATGAAATTCTTTTAATCAAAAGTGCGTTTTCTAATTTTAATAGGCGGTAAGTTAAAAAGTATTTTTTTTTGCGCACATATACCGAGTGTGAAGTGCAATTTCATTTTGATTTGATATAATTTTTATAATTAAGAGATCCGCTTTTTACTTTTGAGTTTATTTTTTCCATATGACTAATATTTCGAAGTATCAAAAAAAAATAAATAAAGAGTTTTAATATAAAATCGAAAAGAAAGTAACTTAGATTTCAAATAATATGCAATAAATTTACTATTTCTTTTTTGTTAGACAAAATAAATGATTACAAACTATTTAATCATAAAAACAATATAAGATAAAGAAAGAAATACTTTATCATAGATCAATATTTAATACACTTGAAACTCACTTTAATTGTACCATTGCCTAGACCAACAGCAAATACATCATCTGTAGGACTATATTTACAACACAATACATATTCTTCACAATCACTAGAATCAGATAAAAAAGTTTTCTTGTAAATTTATTTCTTTTCTACTTACACAATATGAATTAATTCAAAATCACCTAATATCAAATGTTCCAGATGATTATCACTAACTTTTGTCACAGATTTTCGACGTGAAGGAATAATGTCAGTTTCTATTGATAATGAATTATTCCTATTAGCTAATAAAAATGATCTACGTCGTTTATCTAATCGATTATATAGATTAGAATTACAATTAAATAGTATTGAAGATAGAGAAGATTAACGTACCAACTGATTTTAATGATTCTGCCATTACTTTGATTTATTATTCTTTGCTGGTTAGAATGTAAACTAGACTGACTTGAATGAATATAGGAAAGTTTTTTTAGAGAAACTAAGAGAACGAAGATCATTATAACAGCATGGCAATCGTTTTAGAAAAAAAGAAGAGAAAAGAAAAGAGAGAAAAACTCTAGTACAAATGAAAATATATAAATATTCTCATGTATGTCAGATTCTTCCTTTTTCTACGAAGAAAGCGATTCTAACGTATATGTAATATTGTCTTCTTTACAATAATTTCATACCTGCATATGCGAAAAATAATCAAGAAAAAGACAGTCTTGTTTCATGACTCATATGTAATATAGAAATATCTTTTTGAAAGGATATTTCTTAGATATTATAAATTAATTGATGATTATGATTATCAGTGACCGATCTGTTAAATTAATGAATAATAGTATAGATGAAATAATTATAATCACATGCATTAAACGTTGATAAACACGAGCCATGAAATAGATTTTTTATACAATCCGCAATCTATATCAATAGAATACATTGTATTTCGTATATTATGATTAGCAAATAATGTTTGTCTTTATTATACATGTGAAAATTTTCGATCAACTTCAATTGCATTAAATTTAATATTTTCCTTGGCTAGTGTATTTCAAGTAGATTTGATTTGGATATTACAAAAAAACATTTAGCTTTTTTGAGTTTTTATTTGAAACAGATTAATGTGTAAAATATCTTTATATGTCCTGCTTTCTTATGTTTCGAAAAGTGTCGTTTACAGATTACTCCTTCGCTTTCTCATCATTATTTCAATATGAAAGTAGATTGAACTTCATCAAAGTATAAAAAGAAAGTTTATGAGAGAGCATCTAAAGCAGAAATATAGCAACTCATCCAGGCTTCTGATCTGTACTGATATTATACAAACACTTCACTAATTGTTAAACTATTCAAGAATTGAAAAAAGTTGTATGATATATCAAGAATATCTTTATTGTTTAAGAAGATACTCAGTGAGGGTGTTAGAGTGGGTATGAATGTCGCTTTCTTATCCCATCATCCTACATCCACACCCACCCACCATCAATACGTAAAAAAAAATATTAAATTAATCGAAAAAGTTGAAAGTAACTAAACTTTGTAGGTAATTCTGAGATATGGCAAAGCTTGACCAAAACGATAGACAATGTATTCAGTGTAAGGAAAACAAGTTCCCCTCACAGAATGAAAGTCTTTCGGTGCTGCAACCAATTTATTATTAATTTGCCCTTGTATAGATTCTTTACCCAATGTGACCTTGTTATAGAACATCACACGTGTTTTATCATTTCCCTCTGCAGCGGTGTAACCATGAGATTTAAGAGGATGATCAGCAAAATAAGCCCCAGCACCTAAATACAACAAAGATATTTTCTTCTTTTTTTTGTATTTATATCCTTACCCCATGCTCCATCCGGATCAAAAAAACGATCGTCAAAGCCATTTTCTACTATACCTCTCATACCATCTGTTCTAGTACCATGGAATAATTTTCGTTCATTTGGATTCGAACCGGAACATTCTTTAGCGATCATCTTCTTGATTGCTTCGTAGGTGCTTTCGAGAAGAGGATTTTTCACTTCTTCGATGGCAATAATTTTAATAGATTGATTAATCTTTTTCATTTCATTTTCTAATGATTGGTATAATGGTGATGTATTTGGAAGTGGTACAAGAATTGAATAACATCGTGGTGGTGGTGATGGATTGACATTGATCGGCTCGCCTTGTTGTTTCCATCCACGTTGAACCATTTTGTCGATACGATCTCTCACAAATGCATCAATCGGACGAAGAACTCGAAAGCGTCCTTCCATGGTGTTTTCCACAATTGATTCTACTTCAATCGAGTAAGGCGATTCAGTCACATCGATACGCATACCAAGTTCTCGTGGATAATTTCGTTCTAATGAAAGATTACTTACATCAAGATCAATACGATCATGGGTCAATGCTACATGAGGTTCGATAAGATCCATAGTAAACGGACCGGTTGGTGCATTCTCATCAATTAGTACGATGTATCTCCAGTTCTCACGAAATACGCTACAAACAATATCGAATTTGTGTAATCGATCTTGAAATTTTTCAATATCGAAATACTGATGCAAAGGTAGATGGCAATCTAAATCTGACGGAACGATACCTTTCGTAATACCCGGAATATTTTGGCCTTCTTTATTAGTTCGATATTCGATCCATGCCATTGGATTATTCTTTAAATTCGCTGGTACATTCGCTTTATGTCGAACGACCCAATCTCGAACGAAACCACCTTCTAGTTTACAATGAAATTCACAAACAGCGATCCATGCTACTACTTCCATACGTGATTCCCTTGTAGCATGTTTGCCCTTTACTGCTTTGTAGAGATCGACCAAAGTTCGATCAACATCGGTGATACGTGCGATATTTTTCTCAATATGTGGGTATTTCTTACGTAATCGAGGATGAAGTAAACGGGGTAAGACTCCTAAGATAAACGGAACTCTAATAAACTAAAATTTAGAAATGTGGTCTTACCTGAATTTGGATGACGAATAACCACACACCATTTCAACCAATATGCAAACGAATCAAATTCTTTTTTTACATTTTCTTGTTCAGAAAGTCGTCCTTCGACCTTTACTACACAAGTCTTTCCGGCTGCATTATTGTCAACAGTGATTTTCATTTGTTTCTCTGCTTCCCATCGCCATCGCATTGGTTGAAAAATGTAAACCATTTTGGTCACACTTTCAAGATTTCGAGATAGATTATCATATTCAGTAGTTCCTACTTTACATTTGTTTTCTAATTCAAAGGTTTTAGTTGTAATTAATTCTTTACGTAATTGAAGTTCATCATTGAAAACAATTCCTGTTTGGTTCTTTAAGACGTATGCAGGTTTATTTTGTATCCAGTTGGCAACAGTAGTGATAGCCGTTCGGATTTTTGTGAGAACGTGATGACTTTCTAAATGATCTTTCTCTTCGTTGGTCAAAATAAAATACCGTTCTAAATGATGTTCGATCCATGATGGTTTGAGTTCACCAACAAAAGAAATAATTGATGTTAAACGAGCAGCTGAAGTATAAAGTACATCTCGTGATAAAACTAAACGTACTGGTGCTTGACTTATTGGTCGTGTTAAAGTTGATTGTAAATCAAGTATAGCAATATCTTTTGTATCTCTATATCGAGCAAATCGATGAGTTCGATCTTGAATTTCTTTCATTGATACAAATACATTATCTCCATATCCTTCTAATAAAGATTTGGCAATAAATTTCCAATTACCCGATCGAGTCTGTGATTGTTGACGAAATTGATTCGAAGTATTAAAGATTTTTTCTAAATTGTCATATCTTCTCAAAGCCTGTTTTATAACATGTCGAATTCGTTCTAATCCTTTTTCTTGACAAACGATTTGCAAATCAAACTTTTGTGCTGCAGTTGATTGTTTGATCAATAGAAGTTCATTCATTACATTCAATAGAGTCATAAAATCACCATCAGAACTTTTCATAACCGATGGAATATCTTTCAATATAGATGCTGTATTTAAAACACCTAACATCGATGAAAGACAGATAAGATCACGGCCACAATGATATTGAGTGAGAGCCGCTAAAACTGCTTTTGACATTGCTATTGAACCAAAATCAGGAAGCTGTGCCAGAGCTTGACCATGTGAAGTAAATCGTTCATCTGTTAATGCTTTTTCTAACACATCTAGAATACAATTAAATTATATAGGAAATATTCACGAATAGTAATTCTACTAACTGAGTCGAACGAGTTCTTTTACAGTGGCGTCAAGAGCATCGGCATCTGGCTTATCAGGTAAAAAGTGTTGCATATAATGTAATCCACGTCCAATTACTGATCGTCTCAAAATAAATTCTTGGTTAGTTAAATCCAATTGGCAAATTTGTGGGATTGGAAAGCGTTGTTCTTCAACTTGAAAATCATATAAAGCATAATATTCTCCATCTTGAGTTCGTCCCAATCGTCCAAGACGTTGTTTAATTGTTGATTCAGAAGCTCGAACCTGTTTTAAAACAGTTCGTTTTGTCTTTGAATCATAAATAGGTATATTAATCATTCCACTATCAATAACATATTTTAATGAAGGAAAAGTTAATGATGTTTCAGCTACCGTTGTAGAAAAGAAAACACTACCATGTTCAATGTATGATCGTTGTTCGGCAGCTGATTGACTTTGAATTAACGGATATCCTTTAATTGTACCTTGAGTTAACTGTTCTAATAAACGGCAACATTGATGAACTTCAGTGACTGAATTAACAAAACATAAAATTTGATCATGTCGTTGACGTTTTTTAAATAATTCTTGAACAACATCTAAAATATTTTCTTTTGGTCGAGGGATTTTTTTGACATCATGTAATAAACGAATTTGTGGTAATTGAAATTGTTTTACATTAATAGCAGAAATATTTTCAAATAATCTTGGTACAGATTCATTTAATGTTGCAGAAGAAATAATTAATTTTATTCTTGTTCGTATCGTCGGTTCAATAGTTAATAATCGAGCTAAGAGAGCTAAACATAAATCAATATTAATTGAACGTTCATGAACTTCATCAATGAAAAACACTGTAGCTTTTTTCACTTCAGTATGAATAGATATGAAATTTGTATTATTCAAAAGACTTTCTCGAAGAAGACCATCAGTTACATAAACAATTGGAGCATTGGGATTACTTTCTTCACCACTGATAGCCCATCCTGCAAGTTTTTCAGATACACCATTGATATCAGTTTTGATTGTGTCATTAACACGTTTTGAAACAGATGTACAAGGATAACGACGAGGTTGAGTTACTAATACTTTATCATATCCTTCAGCAATGAGTAAAGCAGGTAACAATGTCGATTTACCCGATCCTGTTGCAGTATCAATTGTTGTTACTGTATTTGCATCGATCATGTCGAGAAGTTTCGTCGATTCATCAAACAAAGGTAATTGTAATAGAAAACATGAATAATAAAGTAAAATTTGTTTTAATAAATCAGGAATTAATTTGAAATGTGTAATCTCATTACCAATAAAGTTTGGATTCGTTTGTAGCTGGTTTTTAATACGATCAAGAAATATATTTAAAGTTTGAATTGATGATGGACGAGGTCTCTTATTAAGATGGACAAATTGTGAAGTAATATTTTGTTGAATAAATTCTTCCATTGCTTGATATTTCAAATTTTCGATTTCATTCATAAATGAATTTTCATCAGTAAAGTTCTTTGTAATTTGACGAAGTTTATCAGATGGTGACATTGATGGATCATCAATAGCTTGTTCTGTTAATGACGTAGCGTTGGATTTAATATAATGATTAAACTTTGTTTTATAGGTAATCATCTTTTCATGTAGTAAACGTTTGAGAATTTCACTATATTTTTTCCAACTTTTTGTTCGAACATCAATATTTATTAAAGTCTGACTAATTAAACGTAATATTCGATTTGAATGTCGTTCATAATAATCTATACTTGATGTTTGACAATTGAACAAAGCTAATACTCGTTTAAGCATTACTTTGAATGCTACATGATGTTCTGGTAAACCTTGAATTATTAATTGATAATCATCATCTATTTTTCGAGGTTTTATAGTTAAAATATTATTAAGATCATCTTCTTTAATGCCTGTAACAGTAACTCTCAATTGATTAACAAAGTAATGATATCTTGGAAAAAGAAAATCATGCATAACTTCTCCTGGAATTCTATTATATTCAATAATTTGAATTTTTTGTTTCATTTTTTCTATAAATTTATTTTGTTCTTTCAATGGATTTAATTCATCTGTTAATTTTTTAATATTTTCAAATGCTACTTTAATAGTTTCTTCTGCTTCTTCTTGCTTCATTATCTGTTTTCGTTCCTGGGTTTCCAACTGTGTTTGCATTTTTATCGATTCGATTTTAAGAATATTTTCCAATTCTTCGATTCTCTTACGTAATTCTTCTTCTAATATCGATGTTTTTATATCGGATAATTGCTCCGATGCTTTTTCGTTGGCTAGGCCATCATCGATGCACTGATTAATAGTCATTTCCATTCCATCATCAAACGTATCTGATGGAATTGGCTCTTCAGATATTTGATTTTTATCTTCAGATAAGAATACTTCCTCATCGGATTGTTTATCATCTTTGACAATATCATAATCGATTGGAACTTCATCATTATCATCATCAGAATCGAATGTTGATTTTAAAGCTGCTTTACGATGTTCTGTTGTCAATGGAATTGGATTAATATTTGATGAAGCTTGATAATTATCAATCGGAACAATCCGATGTTCTTTATTTGATACTAATTTTGGAATCCATCTTATAAAACCTGAAATTGTTTCATTTTCATTATTAAATGTAAAATTCATTAAATCGAATTTAATAGATTGATCAATGACTGAAAATGTAATATACTTTTTTCGATTATTCATTGCATCATCGAGTTGATCATTAGTATTCGCATCACAATCATACCAAGTATTTAATTGAATATCTAGTTGATTTTCATCGAGTAATGAAAGATCTAATATTTTCATTGACGTATGTTCTTCTTTTTCATATTTTCCGTTTGGATGTTTAAGATAAAATATTTGCCATAATGAAAAACAATCAAAATTAAGAATCGATGAACCACGACATCGAACCCATGCAAGAATGTCTCCATATTGAAGAAAACGAACCATAGAAATTGTTTGTGAAATATTCCATTGATATTCAGTTTGAAATTGTTCATCATCTTTAACTATCATTAACTTATTCAATTGTATCATTTCAGATTCATCATAAGGAAGCCAAGTTTCGTAATCACAAAATGGTAAAAATTCCCAAATACAATCTTTTTTGTTATTTTTATTCATTTCAATTACTGGATATTCAGGTAAAGCTATTTGTTCTTCGAGATAGCCACGATTAAAAATATTTTGAAAGTATTTAATTATATGTGGCCATTTATTCGCATTCATTACTGATGTTTCTTCGGCTTGATTTCGAATATACCAATTAGCACCATAATCAATAAGATATTTAACGATATCTAAATATCCTCCATGACATGCACCATGTAAAGCAGTCGAGCCAGCACTTGGATCAACATTATAATCCGCTGCGGTAATTCTATCCATTCGAAGAGCTCGTTGAATATGTTGTCGATTTTGAGCATCAACAGAACAATGACATGTATTAAGAAGATATTCAACAACATCTAGTCGACCATTTCTTGCAGCAGAATAAAGAAGTGTTGTTCCCCATGGTCCTGGTTTATCTTTAAATGTTGGATAATTTTCGAGAAAGATTTCAACTAATTGTTTATTTCCATTCCATGCTGCACAAAATGCATCAAGAGCATCTCGAATTCCTTGAAGATCATTACGAAATGGTTCTAAACGATTAATAGTTAAAATCTGTTTGAATTGAGATTGCTCATGATCATAATGATATTCAATAAGACAATTCAATAGAAATTGATGAAATTTAATATTTAATTTTGATAAAGATTCATTGAGATATTTTTCAATATTTTTTGTTAATTCTTCCATACGTTGTTCTTCATAACGATTACATGATATTGTATCTATATCAACATTTAAATTCGAATCAGTTTTTGTTGGAATTCGATTAGACTCGATATTAATAATAGGAATAATTTTGTCCAACAAAGATTTAAATTCTTCATTATCATTCGTAGATGTCATCGTTCGAGTTTCTCGTACCACAACGCCAATTTTACTACCGAGTGTGTTTTAAAATAAAAAAGAAAAGAATCCCGACTAATACGACGAAGAAAAAGGAACTACTATACAGTCGCAAATATTTGCGTACAGAAAGAAAAAAAAACTTTGGCTTCACTGGGTTTTTTTGTATGAAAAACAAATAAATACTGCCAACATTGTCCTGGAAACATTTTTATGTCTTGCCAATGAGGGTAGATGTTATTTGTAATGGCATGATATTTCTCTTTCATTTCCGCACGTACTACTGATATCGTTGAGTATTTAAAGAGTGAGTATTGTGAAGACAGGGATGATTGTTGTATAATGAAAGGAGAGGAATAAAGAGCAAAAAAGGAGCTATACTATTATTCTTTGTTTATTTGAAATCTTGAGGGTGTGGTTGTAGAGAAGATCTACATTCACGTTCGCATCCTAGTATACGAGGATTGTCTCGGATACTATGCAGCTTTTTGCATACTTTTATATGTGCTTTATCCATTGCAGAGAAATTGATCGTAGCTAATAGAGTTAGTGCGGTAAAGTCCTATTATATTTTCTATTAAGCTAATTCTTGATTCTGCTAAATAAATATAATGTCGGAGAGGTTTTAAAGAATAAGTCTTTAGTTGATGGCAGACATAATCAAGATTCAATGAGTGACAAAAAGTAACGTGCACGAGAGAAAGGTGGAGGAATATTTTCCGTATAGTATAGTGGCTAACAGCGTCTACATGCCACTCAATGATTCACTGCTTTAACTGTTCGAGTATTCACTTTTCACATATTTAACGAAGTATTTAAGTATTCATCTGTTCAACCATTCTGTTACCGTTTCACTCAACGGAGACTTTAACCGTCGAAGTATTCGATTATCTAATTTTTCGACTTTTCTATTGATCACATTTGCAAAGTTTTAGTATGATTATTTATTGTGATTATGAAATTATTCCTTTCACCGTTCCATTATGAGATGTAGTCAAAAGATTATTATCTTCATACTCTTTCTTGGGCTAAATCCTAAACTTCGCAATGTACTTAATGTGGTGAAATACATTATTTTCTTGATACTGACGATGGAGTATATGCAGATGAGACTTGTTTGCTCACCTATACTATCACTACTAGTTGAAAACTCCACTTAACTGATAAATACTCGAATTCATCTTCAGTCTTTACATTTATCCACCAAAAGACAAAAAAATAATACCACATTTACTACTTACTATTGAGTTATGGAATAGTTTTCTTCTCTTCGTACGTAAGTGACAATAATTTTTTTTGAAACAAAAAATATAACAATGATAGACAGCTTTTTTTCCAGGAAAGAGTCTCAGAATGAGAATAAATAAATTTCTTTTCTGAAAAGAAAACGTTACAATGAGCGCAAAAAATATTCCTTCCAATATTAAGAATGCAAGAACGATGATAGACAGCTTTTTTTTGCGTAAAAGGCTGAAATAAAAAAGAAATATGTTTTTTTTCAGGAAGGAGAGTATAGGAATGAGAGCATTAAGAATACGTCTGACTATGAGAATGCAGGAATGATGATAAACAAGTTTCTTTTCCGGGAAAAAAATGTAACGAGACAAGCAAAAAACAATTTTTTCAGGAGGTAAAATGCAGGAATGAGGATAAGTTGTGTTCGTAGAAAATGCTTGCATGTTCCGCTCTCTTCCTGCAACCAAAACACAAGAAAACCTTGAAGGATCTTTGTTAAATTCTCAAAGATATAGAGTGGAAATATCGACAAAGTGTTATAGTAAATACATCTCTTTTTTAAACTGATTAAACTCTTCGCGTCATTCTGCTTTGACATTATCACTAAAAGCTGGATAGATAACCGTTCAATTTGAAGCACAATTTGGGTGATTCATTGTGTTACGATAGCTAGGATGTTCATGCAGATTATTTCAACTTATAAGAAACTACAGACTTGAAACTAGTTTGTTCATTTATCTATGGCAGGTGAGCCACTTTTTTCGCGTATATGTTCGCTTCTTCTTATGACTCTACCATATTCAGGTGGATCTTGAAAATGTGTATTATAGACAGATAGACTTTTAAAAAACTACAAGTGGTACGTCCATGTAGACCTTGAACGGTTATCGTGTTGATGCAAGGAGGGCAGAAAGTACGTTGGAAGATGGTAATGGAAAGGCTGCAGTGTGATCTGCTAGCTTTTTCTATATGAAGTGAGCCTCATTTCTTTGGCTGACATGTTACCGAATCAAAAACAAACTTCAGATTCGGATTTCCCACTTCCGACTACTTTTGATCAAATTTTATACAAAAAAACAATTTTTTGTAAAAAAACGTCTTTTTCATTAAGAAATTTGGTCCCAAAAAATCTTAAAAAACTAACGATAGATTCGACTTTCTCGACTTCAGAAATCTGCGGTTGAGTTTCATGTGAAGTGATATAAAGTAATTCGTAGGTGATAAAACTTTGCTGCACTCTGGTTGGCTTTAATAGACGGACAGATAAATAAACTTTATGCATTTTTAAGTACTATTTGACTTCCATATAACCCTTTCTTTTAGACAAGGGAATAAAAGCTGCCTATATGTGTATGTTATCACTGTATATTCAATTCAAATATCGTATAATTGATCATCTATAGCAAATGTTTTAATTGATGAATTAATGAATGAATGTACTCATTCGAATATGTCCTTTTTTATTAGTCTTAATACAACGTTTGTATACGATTACTCTTACTCATTTTTAGCTTTGTATGGATGAAAAAGATGATAAACTGACATTGTAAACGGAATAAATTTAAATGAACTCTACTTTTGATCATCTTTTATGCTCGTGTTTGATGTTATGAGTTGTATTTCATCCAGTTTCGTGTTTCATTTATTCATCAGTTACTCCATTGAATGTCGTTGCTTAACAAAAACTCATCTATTATCCTTTCTACATCATATAGTACATGAAAGTTTTCATGAAAATGTATTATGAGAGAGATTAGTATTTTTGTGCGGTATATGATCACATAATTAATCAGTCTCTATTTACTCGCTTCCTGTTCTTCTTCTTCAAGAAATAATTTCAATGAATCAAATAAACAAATCGATTAGGTTGCTTATGTATGATTAAGAAGAATAAATTCATTTTTCCATTCCTTCTTATACCAATATTATATATAGTATGAATTGTTTCAATCATGATGAAAAAAACATGTACATCTATGATTGATGTAGAAAAGTAAACAACTATTATATTTCATACTAATGAAGATGCCAGTCAACATCAAATTTGCAATGATGCCAAATAAAAAATTAATCGAATGTTTTCATTGATCTTCCATCATTGACATTAACGGATATAAATAATTACAATGTTAAACAACTATCACGGGGCGATGATTCCTGACACAGTATTCCGTAAATTTCCGGCTAATACCCGCTGAAAACATACCGTTTCTAGACGAAACCAGCAGGGAAATGGCAGGTATCCGGTCAGTGGAATGCTGCTTCCATGAAATCACCGGAATTATCTGAAACCGACCGTTTCCGGGTTGGATTATTCGATCTGGGATTAACTACGTTACCACTTCTATCCAATTTAGTGTATTTTGCATTAACGGCACAAGAATATGGCTGCTCGAAGATACTTGATGCTATTGCAACAACTAATAGTGAAATCTTGTTTATATCTAAATTAATTTGTTCAACAAAATTTATCGGTAAATTGCGATCTTTAGTAGCATTAAGTATCATAAATTGTGATTTAGATGATTTATTCCAATTATTTAATGATAAATCTACATTAACATATTTACGAATTGAATATTTATATAATGATAATTATGATGCAGATAACAAATGGAATTTAATTCAAGTCAATACTATTCATTTAAAATATTTTACTATCAACAATTGTAGGATCGAACTTAAATTTATTCAGTTCATGTTAAACAAAATGAAAAGTCTTAAGTTATTTTCGATATCAGCATCTCAAGCTGACATGATCAATGCGGAAACTTGGAAATTCATCATCGAACATTCATTAATTAACTTAAAAATATTCAGATTTTGTTTTGATTACAATAATGATGATGTTTATGATGAAAAAATTAAAAAAATTAAACAATTTCAAACTGAATTTTGGTGGAAAAACAATTGGAACCTTCCCCAGGACGATGGTTGCTGAAGCAGGATTCCATGAATTTCCTGCGAAATTCATGAGGAAAATCGCCATTTCCGGGCGGAACCGGTCGTTTCCGTGCCGGATTGTTCGGCCTGGGTTATCATTATGAAATTAACAAATATATGTTATTAATTTATACAATTTCATATTTAAGAAAAAGCTATCGATTAGTGCACATGCACAAATTAATACAAATAGACAATTTGTCAAATATATTTGACAATGTGAACAATTGAACATTATGTATAAGAAAAATTACACAAAATAGCGACACGTAGAACATTGAAGTAAATAAAAATGATGCATACATTATCAAAGATAAGAAGTTGTATATAAATATACACTCAGTAGCATCTCGTATATTATCGATATTATTCTATGATAGTATAACTAGGTAAAGTTACTTTCAGAAGTTTATCATATCTTTGTCACTTAAAAGTTTATTTCTTACTTTTTCAATGAACATCTATTCACAAAGATTTTCATTACTAATCATATTAATCTGATAGATTAATTTCATTATGTATCGTTTTATTACTTGTATTTTATAATATATGTGAGTATTTATGATATTCATATCTTCATTGACAGTAACACTCTCAAAATTGAACAATTATTGTCTTATCGATTAAATTTTTTATATATTTCATTAAATTTAAACATTGAGACTAATTGAATGCTAATTTATTATTTCCAAGTTTGATTCTATTTTTTTCATCATATATATCATTGTTATTGTATAGTAGTATCTAAATTGTTTCACAATATTAGTGGCGGCGCGAAAGGCTAAGAGCAGAAGGGGGATGATCACAAAACGGGAGAAAAGAAATCCAAAAATCGGAGCAACTTCAGTCATTTTTCTAAAAGGAGGGGGGACCCTCCCCAACCCCTCCCTGATCGCGTTGCCATTGCACAATATATATGTATATATTTACTCCGTAACTATGTTTGCAACACGCACCAATAACGTTTCTTTATTTTCTTGTTGACCTTTATGAACAATGTTTGCATCTAATTCTTCACTTGTTTCATCGGTCATTTATTATTGTTTGCGTCAAATCAATAGTCTTTTAGTATATATACGAAGATTCTATATTGTTTTTGTTTCTGTTTATTCTACGTATTATATAGATAAGAGCCCTCTCATTCTCTATCTCGTCGTATATGTTTAAGTATTCGTTAAAGAAAATACAATAGAAAAAAGTTAACGAGTTCGAATAAGATAGTATTCACAAAGTTTCTACTTCGTTTAGAAAAATGAGCATTTACCGGTCATATTTAATATTATTTATATTTTAGATAAATTTATTTATATTTTAGATAAATTTATTTATTTGATAAACTCTATTTAATATGAAATCTATTATTATTTTTCTACTTATAATATATGTCAGTGGATTTGATAATGAAGATAATAATCAAGGTCAATGTGATAATTTATGTTCAATAGATGTAAATGAAATTGATGTGTCAAAGTTTATTAGTGGTACAAGTGAAGAAAAAAAAGAAATAGCATTATTATTTGATAAAACTTTCCATGAATATGGTCTTATTCGATTAATAAATACAAATCTAACATCAAAATTAATAGATAAAGCTAAAGAATTTTTTTCATTAGATTCAGAAATAAAAATGAAATATTATCTAAATCGTACACATTTAGATACACCGGGATATAAACCATTAGGATTTGAATCTGTTGGTAATTATGGAGGAGAAAAACAAACATCATCTGTTGATTCTACTGAAGCTTTTTTTACATATTTCAAGTCACAATCAAAACAATTAAATTTTTCCATTGATACATTACCTGAAGAATTTCATAATGTTATACCAGAATATATATTTCAATCAAGAAAATTAATATCTATTGTTCATAATATTGCTGATCTTGCATTGGAATTAGATGAAAATACATTTGATAGAAATTATACAAGTGATAATGCTTCATTTAGTTTAAGATTAACTCGTTATTTACCAACTAAAGATCAAGAAGAAGAAGAATTAGCATTTGGAGAACATCAAGATTATCTTGGTTTTACATTATTACAAAATGATAATGTACCAGGTATAAATATTTTCATTTCTATTAAATTTAAATTTTATTTATTTTTAGGATTAGAAGTGAATATGAATGGAAAATGGTTTCGTGTTGATCCGAAAGCAAATAGTTTATTATTACTTGGTGGTCAACTGATTGAAAGATGGACAAATAATTATTGGATATCAATATTACATCGTGTTGCAACAGTAAAACAATTAAGATATTCCGCTTTAATCTTTAGTGGACCAGATTTAAATACTCTTATTGAAACATTACCATGTAAAAATTGTACACTGACAAAATCTAAATATGCTCCGGTTACTGTACAGGAACACTTAAAACAAAAAGAAATGGCTACTCTACATCATTGATATTGCAACTATTCAACAAACTTTTTATTTATTTTTTTGTTTTGTATTTTATTTCGATATTCCAGCTGATCTATAATATATTACTAATATCAACATTTCGAGAATTAATACTGATATATTAAGAAAAGTTGGGATGGGTGTGGGTGTATATAAGATTTTAAGAACGCAACTACCCACATATTCAAGCACCCACATTTCGCTAGTTTTTTAAACTACTCAAGAATTGAAAAGAGTTATATGATATATCAAAAATTTCTTTATTTTTTAAGAAGATATTGCACGTAAACCAGCACGTCTGACTGAAATATCTTTAGTATCATCAAGATTATGTTTTTGATGAGCAAGTTTAACAATATTTTGTACACCACAATGAATAATTTGATCAAGTTCTACTTGAATTCTATGGACGGATTCTCTATCTGGAAACATATTACTATATCGGGAACTAAATAGAAAATGAAATAGACAAATCATTTCTAAATATTAAAAAACTCACCTTAGCCATAAATACAAATCAAAACAATCGAAAACTTCTTCCAAATGTACCAAATCAGTGATTGTATTCGGTATTTGCAATGGCCAATCTACATGTTTTGAAAGCCATTCAAATGTTGTCGGTTCATTACAACTAAATTGATGAGCATACTAGAAAGATAATCGATAAAATCTTTTTTTATTGATACATTCGAAAATAATAGATATTCACTTTTAAAAACATTGCACAAACAAAAGGCATTTTTCTATTAATAGGAGCACATGAAAATACATAACGAACTCGTAGTGGTAATGCAATATGTTCAACCATATCTGCCAAATATTTCATATTTTCAACATTGCACATAAAATATAAATTATTATCTAATTGAGAAAGTGTTATAAATATATCCTGAAAGAGAAATCATTCATTTATTTATTATAATTGAATGATTATTAAATATTTACAATTAAACTTGAAAGTGATTGTTTTGGTAAATAATAAGCAAACATTTCAATTTGTTCAGCTGTTGGATGAAGACCAGCATGCTAAGAATAAGGAATGACTTAGTTTTTATATTTTTTACAAGTATATATACTTTAATTATTCCTGCTTGTCGATTCATAATATCTTTTAAGAGAGGTAAATCATCACGACGAAATGTTGTAACTTCGCCATCAGGAAATGCACTTGCAAATCTAATAAAATCAATGATAATTTTCATCTTTTATTTATCTTTTCAAACCTTCCAGCTCGACCAGCAATTTGTAGAGCTTGTGATGTTGTCACATCAGTTCTTTCTTTATTACCTTTCTCAGTCAATTGTGATTTAGTAAGACTATAGAAGATAACACGTTTGATACTTCTATAAATTATATAAATAAGACAATTCAACGAGTAAAACGAATATTAATTTCATACAGATTAAGACCCATACCAATCGCATCTGTAGCAACCATAATTTTACATACATTATTTGGATCATTGAAACGTTGAGCTTGTAATAATTTCGTGCCTAATAAGAATGTGAATATTATGTTAAAGATGAAAGAAAAATAATAGTTTTAACCTGGTGGTAGTGATCCATATATCACAGCAACTTCATGACCACGTTTTTCTAATTCACGAGTTATATGAAATATATCACTTTTATTAAAGCATACGAAACAATCACCTGATTTAACATTATCAAATGCTTCTATAGAAATGAAAAAAAAATAGTTATCATAAGATCAATTAAATATTACCTAATGCTTCATCTAAATAAGATAATTTTGTTAATCGTTTATATTCTCGAATTTCAAATTCATCTCCAGTTGTAATCATTAATTGTTCTATTAATTCTTTTGTTGATATTTCTCCACATAAATGAATTTCTTTTGCTTGAAGACCTTAAATAAATAAATAAATAAATAAAACAATGAAAATATTAAGAATAAAAATTTAAAATTACCAAGTAAAGCTCGTGTCCATGCCCAACCACGTTGTGGATCACGAATCATTTGAATTTCATCAATAACAGCAACATCATCTATTAAAATATTAAATAATCATTGTAATAAATATATCTAATTGTACGTACAAACAGTATTTAGATTTGTCATTTCAACAGTACATGCCACATGATTTGCTGGTACTCCGTTTGAATCAGCAAAACGACGTTCTTCACCAGTTACTAAGTCACATTTTGTATTCTACAAATACATATATATGTTCTATTGAAAGCATTTATGAACAAGATCACAATCTTTACTGTAGTATTTGTTTTATAAAAAACTTCTGATGCTAATAATTTTAAAGGTCCACAATAAATACCACTTTCACTATTTATAAAACGCTGAAGTGCATGATATGTCTATCAATAAAATTAAATAATATAAGTTATATTTTACATATTTATATATATATCATTGTACTTTTCCACTATTGGTTGGACCAGCATGGAAGATTACTTTTCGTTGAATATTTCTAGCATCTGGATACCTAAAAATACATTTTTTTTCAATGAAAAGAATTATTTTTATTTATACACTATTTACCAATTTGCTGGATTTCGAAGATCACTAATTTTCTTTAGATCTTCTATACATGTTAAATGTGGAAACATTTGTTTGGCATGCTTTAAAAAATATGGAAATATTGCAGTAACATTACCTTATAAGAAATAAAAGAAAAATAAATGATAGGAAAAAAAATCATAATAGAATATTTACTAGCACCAGATATGATATCATTCAATATGGTAGTGAAATCAACAGGTAAAACAGATGATTGAAGACAAAATTTTCGAAAGATAACATAAACATTTTTAAAGATTTGAAGATCAACACCTTGATCAACAGCTAATTTTTTCACTTCATCATGACGATAAAATTCATTTATCATACGAAGAAGATCATCTAAAAAAAATAAGATATTTTTTTATAAAATATTCTTATTTTATTGATTCTTAAATTTACTTCGTTGTATTACTTTATCAGATATTATCTTTTTATCAATATTTCGTTTATTATTAGTCGATAGAAGTGGATCAAATTCATCTTTAAGAATCATTGGTTTTAGATGATTCGATCGACATATTTGATGTAGATTATGTGTTAACTTATTGTTTACATTTGAATATATCCGAGATACATGATCTTGATGAAGTAATGTAGATAATGTACGATATTGTTTATTGTCTGTTGACAAGATATTAGTAGAAACATTCGACAGAAATTTCAAATATGAAAATAGACGTTGATAGGAATCGAAATGACAAGGATAGATTGTCATCAACTTTTTATTGGTAACAGTTAACATATTCATGAATAATCTATAATAAGATATTTAACATATATAAAATAACTTTGTATTTCTGTATCATACTCATTGAAACAGTGCTATCTGAGATGGAGAGTAAATACTTGTTGAGTTAAAAATCAATCAATTCTCTAGACAATTCGATTATGTATCATTGTCACATCATTGAATGGAAAAAATGGAAGCTTATTTTTATTGTTGCAAAATTTCACACGATATTTCTACTTCATCAACATTATTGGATAGAAAAACAATGATTTCATTTAATAAGTAACTCATAGATAAATATATATATATTTTTTTTTATGGAAGCAAACAAAAAAAAATAATAACAAATATGAATCAACATTTTTTATTATCATCACATGATACATTCACTCTCATCAGTTAAACCATGAATGAGAGCAAAAATGAAGTGAAAAATAGTGGAAAAAAAATATTTTGTTGTTGTTAATGTAAATAATTATTGCCAAAAAAATATATATCAATAACAACATATATCTGCTTATGCATTATTATTATTATTTGTTTTGCTTTGCTTTGCTTTTGTTTTCTTCTTTGTTTTCTCATCAGGTTCATCTTCAAAATCTTCATCACCATCATCTTCTACAGCTTCAACATTGTCAAGAGCTGATGCACCTATTCCTGTTGTGCTTTTCTTCTTCTTCTTATTTTTCTTCTTTTTTTGTGTTGAACTTGTTAATAATTGTTTAATATCACTATCAGTTATTTTATATTCAGATTCATATAAATCTAAATCAATTGGTAAACCAGTTATTTTCATTTGTCCATTAGGCATTAATAGAAGTGTAAATTTAAATTGCGCAACAAATTCACCATCTTTTTCTTGATAAACAGGATAAGGTTCAACAAGATCATGATTAGCACATTCAATAACACCCATACGTGCACGTTTTTCATCTTCAAAATGTCTTAATGTAAATGGCATTAATGTAAAACGTTTTTCAACTTCAGATAAAAATACACGCGATGATTTCATACGTAATTGATAAACAAAATCTTTTTTCTTATACACAGTTGTACGTATATCAGTTTCACGTGGTTTACCTTCACCAGATGATACAAGAATATCAACAGCATAAACTTCATGTAAAGCAAATTCTTCTTTTTCATTATCACGTCGTTGCATTTCACTTGGATTTTGATAAATTTTTTTTTCACCATCAATAATACCACGTGACATTTGAGATGATATCATACCTATAATATTTTTATATTTAAAATTTTTATTTCAAAAAAAAGTAATAATATTTTTCTAAATACCTTCTACTGGTTTACAATGATAAACATTTGCAATACGATCGATCATCTCTGTTACAGCAATATTATTTTCACCGGGTTTAATCAAACGAAGAGCTGCTTCAGCAGCATAATATGCAGCAAGAATACAATCAGCTCGTCGTCCAGTAACTTTTTTTTCTCGTGTTGCTCCAATAACAATTGTATGTGCAGCAACAGCAATATATCCATCAATATGACAACCCAAATCAATTTTAACAACATCATTATCTTTTAATATCATATCTGGATCCGATACTAATGGACTGAAATGACAAATATAATTATTAACGGATAAACATGTTGGAAATGCAATTCCTTTTTTCACATCTTTATCTTTCTTAAATACACGTAATGTTTCTTCATCTAAACGTTTATCACCATAAATACATGTCTCTCTAACAGATGTACCAGGTATACATCGATCAATAACTTCTCGAAGAACACGTTGTGTTATTTCTGATGCCATTTTAAATTTTGTAACCACAAGATCATTGGCAATTGTTTCTTCTTGTGCAGTTTTCGATGATGTTGATTCATCTGATGACGATGCAATACTCGCCGAACGTGATGATGACATTATTGATGGAAATCTATTGAGAAAATGAAATCTTTTTAAAAAGAATTGCCTCAGAACAAATCAATACCATGAAAGTCGATTAATGACCTCGTTGAAGATTTGAAAAATTTAATCATGAAAAGTAAAATAAATTTTAGATTTCAGATGAAAAATTGTATTTAAATTAAAAATATATTTGTATTAATTTATAATTATCTCGTAAATTTAGATCATTTATCTAATTGGTCGAGAGAAACCAATGAAATTTGATTGTAATAAAATGACGAAAAAATATATAAAAAAATAAAAACAGTATTTTATTTGGTGTTTCTTCTTGAGGTAAAGGCTATTACTCGCCTTAGTAATGCATTTTGTAACATCAAATGTTACTAGCGTCTTTTTTATTATTTTTTTACTTATCTCACCATTAAAGCTAATTACGGCAACAACTTCGGAAAATGATAAGAATAATTCGAGTTTTCTTCAAAAAGTTTGCTCAAGACTGAATCTTAACGAGGACCAGTGTTGTATATTAGGTAAATCGAGCACATTTCTTGGGTATGCGGCAATAGCAGGAGCTGTTGGCACAATGGGTATACCTGCTCTGCTCGGTACTATGGGCTTTACTGCAACTGGCATTGCTGGTGGGTCGTGGGCTGCTTGGTACCAAGCAACCTGGGGAGTAGGTACCGCCTTTTCATGGTTGCAAAGTGTATCGATGACAGGTGCAGCTGCAGCGAGTGTAACCAAAATAGGTCTTCTGGCAGGTGGTATAAAAAGTTATTTTTTTAGTGGCGATTGCAAAAAGAACTCGGCTGAAGATAATCAATGCTCAAAAAAATGATCATATGAACAGCGTCCTATATAACAGTATCACAAGAATCTCCTTCTTTTTTTTCTTCTTTTTTTAACATGAATATTTATTGTGCCATATACTGGTTCTCATTTAAAAAGGAAAAACTATAACAGACAAAAAATCAGCTATATAGAAAGATAGAGAGAAGAATGCGAATATCAAATTCTCAGGGTGATTATTCGATTTCGTTAAAACAAACATCGTTAAAGATATAATAATACTATTTTAAAGGTTTACTATTAAAGTAGTTCGAATTTGAAGTGGATTTTGAAAGTTGAGGAGTTCTTTTATAAGAATTGTTTTTGTTTATAAAAGTTAGAAAAAATTCATTTAATAAATGCAAACAAGGAATTTTTTGTCGTATGACATCTAGCTAAACATTTATTCAACATCCTTTCACTATTCATATTTTTCCTACTATGCAGTTTTCTTGATTATATTCCAGTTTGTTCTTACTTCATATATTTTATACGTGTATGATGTTATCAATAATTATTTAATAGGGCAAATACAATCAACATACTAGTTCAATAATTATTATTTCTCATAGTTTTATAGATAACTATAGAATATTTTAGAATCATTTTGTAAGCTATCCATTTTTCTCATCTATTATTTGTAATAATAGAAATATTATTTTAAATAATTCGAAATGTATATATATGATATACGCAGGAAATATAGTTTCTTCTCGTACATAAAAAATAGTATTTCACACTATTAAAGTATTGTCAGTTATTATATGAAGATAATACACCGAAATGCTGCCGTAGTTAGTATACTAAGGGTCATATAAGAAGTGGTTTTTGTATAGATTTTGCAAGTCACTTCAGTTTCTAATTCAAATTAGCCGTTTTTCGGATTCTAAACGATCTTTGTAAATCATGTTTCATTAAAATTTCAGTAATAAGATATTTATTGATTAATAATAAAAAATATCTATTAACAAAAAGATGCGTGTGTGGATTCGACGGTTATAATATTTTGGCAATCACAGCCGCACTCAATGTTTTTGCTATAAACTGTAGATAACAAATTCTCAAATAGATATCGTATACGCTTGTGAACATAATTTCTTATATTCAAATAGTCGTGAATGATATATGACATTAGCATAAGCCATTAAACCATTGATAGAAATTTATCTTACATAAATACAAAGGTTGATTATTCTACAATTCGTTTTAATTACTTCAAAGTATCTTAGCATCGTGTAAATACCTTAACAAAGTAGTATAAACCGAAAATATATATTAATTTTTATTTATTATAGTATAAAAACAAAGTGTCTCTGATAACATCTACTTAGAAAGGTTAAAATGTTTGATGCTAATAACTTTCTTGTATTATAATCTTTAGATGTAGCTTTTGTATTAAGAAAACATTTGAATATATAAAGAATAAATATAATTAGAATGAAAAAAGTGAATAATAGATTAAAAAAAGAAATAGTTTATGAAGTAGAGTATTAACATGTCTGTAAGAGTATATTTAAACTGTCAGTACCATCGTTAATCACAGCGTAATCTGTTTTTTTGTCATTGTTGAAGTCACCGATAACAACAGACGAGGGATGAGATCCATAGTTGGTTGCAACTATCAAGAAATTTGCGAATGTACCGTTACCCCGTCCAAGAAAAACACCTTGATTGTTGCCATCATGATTAGCAACCAAAACGTCCAAGAAAGTATCATTGTTAAAATCAGCAACAGCTAGAGAATATGGACCAGAACCTGAACCAGTAGAGTACGTTATTTGATTTGCAAAAGAGCCATTTCCATATCCGAGAAAAATACCCATATTAGCACTGCCATAATTTGCTACGACGATATCTAGATAGGTATCATTGTCAAAATATCCAACAGCTACCGAATATGGAGATGAGTATAGACCAGTTGAATATGTAACCTGATTTGCAAAAGAGATACTACCATATCCAAGAAAAATACCAATATTTTGTGTGCCTGAATTAGCAACAATAATATCCGTCTGATTATCATTGTTAAGATCACCCACAGCCAAAGATCTTGGTCGAGAATAATTGCCAGTTATAAGTGTCGTTTGTGGAACAAATACTTGATTAGAATGGCCAAGAAAAATACCCACAAAATTATTATAGCAAAGCGCGACAACGATATCTAGTTGAGTATCTATATTAAAATCACCAACAGCTATCCAACTTTGAGAATAGCCAGTTGAATGCGTGATCTGATTTGCAAATGATCCATTACCATATCCAAGAAGTACACTTATATAATCGTTGAACAAATTGGCGACAGCGATATCCAATAGATTATCCTTGTTGAAATCACCAACAGCTACAAAGTATGGCGATCCACCAGTTGAAAACGTCATTTGATCTGCAAATAAACCATTGCCATATCCAAGAAGAATACTGACGCTACTGTTGCCACTATTGGCGACAACAATATCCAATTGATTATCTTTGTTGAAATCACTAATAGCTACATATAGTGGATTAGCACCAGTTGAATGCGTTACTTGATCTGCAAATAAACCATTACCATATCCAAAAAGAATACTGACGCTACTACCGCCACTATTGGCGACAACAATATCCAATCGATTATCTTTGTTGACATCACCAACAGTTACCGAGTATGGATAATAGCCAGTTGAAAA